TAAAGTTGCAGTCCTTGTTAAGGGTAGTCTATTGATCGTCTCATGACATTTTTTGGTTTAGATCCTAGTAAGTTATACGCAAAATACTAGAAAGGTGGAGTGTTCAAGAAAGTTCAGGCACACAACTAATATTGCTTATTGCAGCCGTCCCTAGGAATAAATATAAATTCTCCTTAGCTGCCTCAGTCAGTGAATTTGTTTGCTAAGTAAATTATGGAAAAAAAAATGGAAAAAATGGGACTACGTGATTTGCTAATGTCATTTTCAGTGTCCTTAAAATTTTGACAATGAATTTTATACCCTTACATTCTCGCGGGTAAAATTCAATGTCCCCAGTTGTCAATGAATGCAAGTAACCAGAGATTAAGTGACACTGGGAGTGAATTCAACACATTCATTGCCACTGTCACTTAATTTAATGGTTTTTACTTCCCACAGTGGATTCCTTCGTAAGTCGACATCCTTCTTAGAGTCTTGGTTATGAGGGTCTGCCATAACTAACTATCGCCACAGGAGGAAGCTCTGGGATATCATATGTCTCAGCCCTCGTTCTAATCCCGGTCTCCTGCTACCATGTGCACCCAAGCAGCCCTCAGGATAATCACCTCCCATGTTTTAGCTGACGTGTCTTGAGAGCGCGTGCGGAAGGGCCTATGGGGTGGGGTAGGTAGAGAGTGAGAGTACATCCTATTCAACAAACGTCGACTTTCACCATCACTCCCCTTTTTCGTGCCTTATATAGCGCCACCACGCACATTCACGGCGCCCCAACAGCGCCACCACGCGTCCTCAGCCGGTGACCTGTTTGCTCCAATGCGTTTTTTCCTTGGAATCTTTTTATATGATTGTAGATAGATGTGTGGATGTGACATGGTGTGAACGACGATGGGTGAGAATTTTTGCAACTCAACAACTGTCTCGCACCGGCTTCTCTCTGGCAACGTAGCCTCGACGTATTTACCTGTTCTTTTTACATAGCCTTACAGTATATACTGAATCCTACCCGCTCGTGTTGTTGCCTTATTTCAATGTTGTATAGTGTCCCACTACTAAGTATAGTATGCTGCGCGTACAAAAGCGAACACTGAACTAAAAAAAATCACATACATCGAAACTAATGCAAAGGACCTCGGTAGATGTCAAGAACGCACTCTAATGCAATGGTGGGGCGATGCTTGCCAAACAAACCACGCTTAGTAAACATTCGAAGGAAAAAGGAGGTGGTAGTCGAGTCTTTATCTTCGATCAACTGCTGCAGCATGCTGGATTCTTTATCTCCTTCATGGCAGTCGATCAAGTAACTATATGCACGCCGGTTGCCATCCAATGTGAAGTAGATGTGGAGTCTGGGATATTCTTCCGCTTTCGAGGACTGTTGAGTTTTGTTTTGAAGGGGCAGATTACAGCGTGAAAGGTCGACAACCAGGCGGAGTGGGTTGACGACTTGGCCCGGATCGGTAAATTGCATGGCTGGGAGAAAGCGGTAACTCACTTGACTCCCGGTCTTTTCTTATCACAGAAACAACAACAGCACTAATTGGATTAGGGTCTTCACGATCGGCGGTGACCGCACCTGAAAATTCGACGAGTTGGAATTCCTTAGAGTCTGTTCGGGATCACGATTTCGCCCAACTTCGAGAAATTCAGAAAAGAAAAAAACAACTTAAGTAAGCATGCCGGTGTGCCGTGTGCCCTGGTCACAGTGTGACATCTTCTTATCGATTCAATCATGCCCTCGACACGAAACTCATCAGTGCGATACTCTCTCCGGTTCCACCCAACTATGACTAAAGGAAAAGGTAAAAAGAAAGCAGCCACTGACAGTCAGGAAACTGCCGCACCAGCAAAAGACCGCTGCATATGGTCTCTGGATGATGAGAGGAAGCTCGTGGAATACGCTGTACAACACCACGCCAAAGGTGGCGATGGTATGAACTTCACCAAATTGTTCTGGGTTGGTGCCGCCGCCGAGATGGCAACACGCCCATGCCCCGAAGGCGCTCCCAAGACACCCGAAGCCTGCCAATCCAAATGGACTCGGGTAAGTACTATTGTTGTATTGATACATGTGCCGTTACTGATATAATTTAATGTATCTCTAGATCAAAAAGATGTATCAGGTGGTCGACAAAATCGCTAGCCATGCCTCGGGGCTATCATTCCACCCGGAATTAGGAGCCAACATCAGCGAAGAATCAGAGACTATGTGGGCGGACTTTATCAAGGTCTTTTTTCGTCTATTTCCCCTGCTCTACCTTACTAATTATTCACGCAGCATAACCCCTCAGCGAAGCCTTTAAGAAACAAAGGCTGGTCACATTACGAGGCGCTGCGAGGGATCATTCCGACACACACGAGCAGCTGGGTTGGGTTTCATGCCGGCACGAGCCTCACCACAAACACGTCGACTCCTACAGCAACTGGTAGCGACATAACTCAAAATACTACCGCCGATGCCCCCGCCGATGTCATGTCGTCACTGGAGAACGCGCTCCATCAGGTCGAGTTCCGCGATCTCGATCTCGATGATGACGACATGCGCACCACCCCAATACCGAACGATACCCCACCTGTCCCCGCGCCTATCCTACCTGTCCCCGCGCCTATCACACCTGTCACGCCAAGAGGCTTCAACGCTGCAATGCAGCCTTTTGTTGCCCCCTCGATTTCCACGCCTGGTTCATCAACCGCAGTGAAGCGCAAAGCCGACGGGGACGATAGTGAACGATACGCGTCCCGCCCTCCACACTCTTCAAAAGCAAAGAGTGCGTCAGGGTCGTCGAAATCACAACGTCTCACGCTGCCGCTGGCTTTGGAAGGGTTGGGGGATAAAGTGTCCGGCGAAATATCTACCGCATCATCCACACTTCAGGACGTCATCACAGCCCACATCATGGAGCCCGTTCCATCCCGCAAGCGGCGCGCCATGCTTCGAGTCCAAGAGGAGAAGGACTTGGATGATTATGACGCTTTTGCAATGATCAGGCTGTTTCAAGCTGACGTCACTATCGCTGACGCGTATAATAGCATTACAAGAGATGGTATTAGGAAGATATTTTTAGCGCAGCACCTGCAGGAGGCAAGGAGAGTGCGCGCGAACGAACAGCAACTTTTATAATACCTTTACAATACATCTGCGCGCAATACAATACTTGGAGTTGACAGAAAACATCATCATGATTGGGCAGCAAAGACAAGATACATTGTACATAGGACTAGATACCTACAGCAAAAAAATGACAATATTATTCAGTTTGCACCAGGTGGCACAGGTGCTCCTCTGCGCCGCCTTTCCGCAAGGTAGTCATCCCACATCGACTGAGAAATCTCGTCACGAACATCGTGTGCACGAATGCGTGCTGCTTCAGTGGGAGGTCCATCGGCGAGTGTGCCGCTATCATAGTTACCGCTCCACTCATCCGCCTCCACGTCACGATAGTCGAGTAATTCGTCTGGGTCGTGGATGCGGATGACATTGTGTACGAGACACAATGCCGGAGGGATGCGGGCCTGTATGTCGGAATTGTACTCTGGAGGGAGCCGAAGTATACGAAAGCGGTTTTTGAGGACACCGAAGATACGCTCGACGACATTGCGGAGCTGCGCGTGGCGTAGGTTGTATAATTCCTGGGCATTGCAAGGCCTGCAAAGATTGTAAGTACTGTGCCAGGGTGATAAGTCAACTCACTGCAACATACACCTGATTTGCGCGGCCCCATTCAGCAAGGTGGTAGCGGACACCACGATAAGGCACGAACAATTCGTCGCATGCACCAAATCCAGCATCCGCCAGGTAAACCTTGCCTGGAGGGATTGTAAAATCAGTGAGACGTGCCACGTTGTAGACACGAGCGTCCGCTGCGGATCCTTGAAAGCCGCTCAACATGTACGTGAAACGCATGTCGAAGTCGCATGCAGCAAGGCAATTTTGAGTTAAATTGCCTTTGCGGTCACGAGCGGCATCGTGATCAGCAGCTGAGGGATGGCAATTGATGTGCGTGCCGTCAATAGCGCCGATAACGTTTGCGAAGTACGGGTATAGTTTCATTGTCTCAACAATTTGAGGGGGTATCGGAGTGTCTGCGTCGGGGAGCCGGACGTAAGTGGAATAGATTGGGCGGGAGGAGAATGCGATGAGAATGCGTTTGAAGTATCTGAAAGGAATAAAATTAGTACGCATAGCTAGGGGTAAGAGTGGGGGGATGCACTTCGATATAGTATCATTTGAGCGCTGGAAACGCTCAGCAAGGTGGCGTACAGAAATGCCTGTAACGCAGGCATATAGGAAGATGGCTAGCTGCTCTTCTAGGGTGACGTGCTTTGAGTCGTTGATCCCGCCATTGCGAAGTAATTGAAGTAGGATGATGAATACGTGGCGATGCACGCCGAGCTCACATCGAATCCGCTCTGGATGGCCATTCAGCAGTTCGTTGACCCAGCCAACCCCCGTCAGGATTGACGTGTGATAGGGTTGTTTGTCATAGTAGGTAGTAGTGTATGCATTTACAGCGATCCCCGCAATGTTGATGACTTCGGAAGCCGACGAGACCACGCGCTGAAAGAACTGAATGATGGCTTGGAGAAATTTTAAGTCGGATTGTTCAGCGTCTTCTACACTCTCCTCCAAGTCCTCATTAGACTCATCTTCCTCATCTCCTTGGTCCTCCTCATCCCTCTCATGATCCCTCGAGCCTGATGTTGTTGAATCCTCGTCATCGACCTTGTCACGGTATAGCAAGAGGTTGGAAAGCATGGCCGCGGTGTGCGTATACTACACGCGCATATTGATAACAACTGATCAGCGTGACATCGGTTTCAAGCTCCGATCAGGGCGTGCTTACTTAACATTGTTTTTTTCTTTTCTGAATTTCTCGAAGTTGGGCGAAATCGTGATCCCGAACAGACTCTTAGTATTACGAACGACCTTCCCCCGAATTCTGGTGCACAGTTGATCAGCAGCAAGGACCGCTTCTTGAACCTTGGTAAACCATGTCTTATTGCTAGCCCAGCTCCATATATCTGGATGGAGAGTCGCTGTTGCTGACAGCCGCGCATTTTTCTCGAGGAGGTATGTGACAATCTCGTCAGCACCTTTATCGAGAGCAATGTGTAGTACTGTTCTAGCAGTTCTGTCCTGCACAGAAAGATCATATGATGGTTCAATGAGTGCTTGTACGACTGCTAGCCATCTGGTTTTATCGACATATCTTCCGTATTTGGAGAGTAAAACATGGAGAGGGGTGGAGCCATTGACAATGAAATTGACATCCGCGCCGCATTGACGAAGTTTGCGAACAATATCGGGGGATGGCTTGGGAGCCACAACGGCCATACGCAGGATGTTATCTGGTATGTTGACCTCCGTGTGTGACAGCAAAAAATCCACGGCAGCTTCGCTTCCAATCGCAACCGCCAATGAAATCGGAGTAAGGGAGTCTTCAAAAACATGGTGGAGATATCGACGGTGCGTAAAGGGTCTGAAGGAATAAGACTTGTTGAGGTCGGCACCCAGCTTCTGGAGAGTACTGAGGAAGTCAGGCTTCGATGCTATGGCAAAAATCAAAGGAGGACCGTAATGAGTGGCAACATCCGCGTCCAGTAGATGGGGTTGCTGCTTGACAAGGTATTCGACCATCCATGGCTTTCCGTGCTCAAGTGGGATTAATAGAAGTGAGGGCAAAGTCGCAGCGGTACGCAGCCACCTGGGTTCATTTTGAGTCGGCCGATGCTCACAGTCTTCAGTTGCAAGCGCACGATGTTTATTTGTGTTTCGAATAAACTCCGAGTTCATCCATGCCAGGGCGCCCATGACGTCCGGATCCTCATCCTCAACATGTCCAAGGTGCTTCCATCCTCGGATTGCATAGCTGAACAACGGATGTTTTCGGCTAACATCGATAACATCACGATCACGATCATCCATGCGAAGTGTTGAACGACATTTAGCATCTATACACACATCAGTTTCTTAGCTCATGTACGTGAAAGATAGTATCGCACCTTTTGCGCAGATCTCATCCACAAAGTCGCATAACAGATACGTAATCAAGAGTTCGCAGATACGCGCATGCATGTCTGAGATCGATTTTAGGATGTTATTGGGGCAACGACTGATCAGGTATTCCTGGTTACATAGCGCATCAGCGGCCGAGTAGGATGAGGAAGGTTGACAAATCATACTTTGATGCTATAATGGGATAGAGCAACGACGCCGGTTTTCTCGTCATAGGTCACAAGACTTCCGCACGCGGCCACGATATCCATAGGGTCCATGACGCCAAGGTCCTCATTGAGACTCGTCTGCCCAACTTCGATCATCATCGCTTCATTGAGCTGGTCAAGCGTCAAAGGGGTGAATGCGCCAGCCAACCAAAGCAAGCAACTCTTGGCAATTTTGTCATCACTTCCTCCTCTTTGTTTGATGACGAAAATAATCCTGTCATACGTTTCGTATAGTCCAGCTGGAAGGTTGTCGAGGGCTGCCTCGATATCGATGCGTCTTTTGCAAGCCATAATTTCATCCAGTTGACACTGAGCCCAGCGAAACCTGGATGCGATCAAATGATGATGAATTTCCTGGAGGTGAGTGAAAGGCGCTTTACTTACATGCCCTCAGCCTTTTCTAACAGTTTCTCCAAAATCGTCTTCTTCAGTGTGTCGGGTAGGCGTGATAAACGCTTCTGAGTATTCAGCTGTTCGGTAATGTGAACCTGTATATCTGCTTTGATTTGTTCTGCGCTGTCCTTCAGCGATATGGTGGGGAGATTATCGAAGGCATCTTGGATGTCCGGCTCCCTTCTACCGGTGACGAAAAGTCGTAGCCGAGCGTCTTCAGCAAGATTTACAAGGTGTTCTGCCAGATCGCAGTGGTCCTTGCATTCGTCCAAGGCGTCGATCACGAGGACTGGTAGGTAAACTAGCGTAGACGCTTCAACAAGAAGCTTTCGTAGAATACCAAGATCTGTGGGACATGACTCTTCGTTCTTTTGCTGCTTCCATAGTTTTCGCAGAGAAACAAGGTCCCCGTACGTGTTCGGTCCTTGCTCCTCGCCTATCTTGGTTACCCAGTCGTCATTAGATTGTCGGAGCAGTTGAACAACCAAAGAACGCAATACTGCAGCCGCGATTGTCGTCCGGTCGTCCCGGAAATTGCAATAGAAATAAGCGAGTGTTTGTGGCTCTGCTTCCCCACTACCCTGAAATTCGTCGATGACGGCGGAGCTGAAATTGCACAAGTCACTATTGACTCTGAAATCTCTCCAGACGAGGTCAAACTCACGCAAGAATGGTCTTTCCGTTTCCAGCTGTTGCGGGTGTCAGTGACCTGCAATCGCTGGTGAATCTAATCAAACTCACGATGGCCATTCAACCATAGGAACGCGGAATCCGATGTATTCCACGTCTTATACTGATCGTCCTGGAAAATCCAACGACCAGTCGCGGTGTTGCGCTGGCGACGGGAGATATCGTGCTTTTCGGTACAAGACAAAGGGTTCATCCATTGAAGGAACTTTTGACGGTCCTCGGCTATGCATGTTTGAATAAGGTGAGGAGATAAATAACAGTCAGCGACTCACCTTTCTTGCGCGCCTTTTGTGCGGCAGAATCCTCTCTTAATTCCTGGACTCCTTGAGTAATTTCCTTGATTGTATTCCTAATGCTGCGTTAAATGATTGAGAATGCATCACGAGTGAGTCAACATACCATGAGTCGATGGCTAGAATTGCTGTAATGTCACCATAATATTGTTTCAGTCTATCAGCAATTACTCCTGCTTCCTTTTCTTTGAAAGGCCAGGTCAATCTGGTTTTCTTGCTCATTTTCCCGCTCGCTAGGTCATTCGGCAGAAGGCTCTTTAGTTCTGCGTATAATTTCGCCACTGGTCCATCTTTGGTCATCAAAGACGAAAGTGCGCGTTGGAGATTGTCTGGAAGAGAGTTACGGTGATCCTTCTCGATCTCCATGACTGTGGCGAGGACTCCTGTAATCGAATTACACTGATCGAGGAGCCTTTGGCAGGACGATGGAGCGTTGCGGACGGAAGCAACATATCCATACAAAAGAGCTGAGGCTTGCGCTATAGTTTGAACGACCTGAAAAATAGTGAGATCACTAGTGATGGGATCCATCTGGACAGTGGAAAACGCCACCCTGGCAGCGCCATGACTTTAAATCAAGGAGAGGTTAGGCGCTTATTAACATGTGGCATGCACTGCCGTCGTCGAATTTGGGCTAAGTAGTAGTAGCCCTCGTGTTATCCTGCTGGTATCCTGCCGTCATTAAGCGCTAAGCACTGATCGCTTCCAACCGCAGGCCGGATCTCAATTTGTGTACGTACCCGTTTTCCTTCAGCTCTCCAATTACATAAATAATCCACAGATTCCACACGAACCCACCATGGACGATATTACAGCTATCTGCACGTGCTCTCCAAATGCGCCGTCGTCATTTCCTCTCCCACTACTCATTCTGGCCCCAATATCCTGCTACTACGCAACACGGACGCCACACATGCTCTTGCTGTACACCAATGGACATCAATCAAGCAGAACAGAGAGCCCGCGCCATTTTTTCGGACCACCTTCAGGCTTCGACCAAGACACCCTTCCCTCATGTCAATGCCTCCCCTTGGAGGTGTCTCGTTGGTTGAAGAGAGCTCTGCTAGTATTTGTGTTACTCTCCGCACTGTCCACAGCTTCAGCACGCACTGACAGGACATCACTAGTAGCACCTATTGTAGATGATCGATGAGAATATTACCTGAGGGCTTAGGTTCTTGGGCGCCGATCTGGATTCTGATATATTTATTTCAAATGAAAGAACATCACCACAGCGTGCGACGAACCTAGTACTTACTGATGATTGTATCAAGATTCTGCAGTATCACGGGCTCGTCGGGCTAGCCTTAAAAGTTGGGCTTTGTGTCTTCTAGAACCAGATCGTGTCACGACTGATCTGTTATAGTCTGCTACTTATGCTAACCACAGAGGACCTTGAGGAAGGACTCCGTGAGAAAATGAAGGACAACGGCCAAGGATCGACTCGGTTGAGCGCGAATCGCAACTCCCCATCGATGTTCGACCGCGAGCACCATTGAAATAGTCCTTTTACATTACTCTCGGCGCGATACAGACCAATCGGACTCGCTGGCATGTATTATCGAATTCGTAGAGTTCATTGAACCAGATACGAACAAAAGGAATTACAGTTTTTGTTCGAACCTGCTATAGATAGGGTTAGGGTTATAATTTAGGAGGATCCTGGCAAAAAAAGAGTTGATTGACGCGTCCACGCGACTTCGGACGCGTTCTTGTTCTTCTCAATACCTACTCCACTATCCACCTTTCTCAAAACATGACCGACGTCGAGGGCTCACCAGCCCCACGACGCTCTCAGCGCGATAAAAAACAAGTAAAACCCTATGCTTCAGGTCCGTGCCCCTTCTTCTTCCTCGTTCGCACCGTTGATTCGAGATACACGAGTAGGGAGCCAAAGCCCCAACAAGCGCAAGCGCAATGTGGAGGAGGAAGACCAAGTAGATGATCAAGAAATGGGTGATGCTGAGGTTGAAGCAGACGATGAGGAGGATGCCGATGGAGTTGAAGACGACCGCGATGATGAACCAGACCGCCCAGCCAAACGAAAGGGAAAGGCCACTGCGCCACGCAAAGCAAAGGTGAAAGCTAAGGGTCCTCCGCCTCCAAAGAAACCACGGACGGCAAAGAATGCTGCACCGAAGCCTCAGAAAGCCCCTAAGCCGACGAAACGTAAAGCTAAAGCCAACGGAAACTTCGATGCAGACAAGCTGGCGACTGAGACCAAGATTTCTGCAGATAATCCACTTTTCAGTGCGCAGGAACCCATTTCCTTGTATTTGCCTTGTTCATGTCTTGTTTGTAGATGCTATCATGAACCCGTCAGCGGCGCTGCAGTCCACCGCGGAGGATTTTTTGGACTCATTAACACAGAGTCCAGGTACCGCTCAGGCGGAACTTATCAACTGTATTCTACGGGCATGCGGGTGCAATGACTCGGTGGATGCAGATGAAGTTCTAGACTATGACGGCGTTGTCGATTCGCTTGATAACTTTACTGAGGGACTGAAACAGGTACGAGCAAGATACTTTAAACCATGAACTATCTCTCACACTACCCAGGAAAATTCGCCAATATACCCCCTGACCTCCAAGTTACCAATTTTCAAGCGTTTTCGAGCATGCTTGAGCGAGCTGATTTCACGCCTTGTTCTAAGCGCGGCCGACGTCGGAGCACTGTACACGAGTGATATGATAACGACACTGCAGACGTGGGTCGTTGCGATGAGCAGTTCACAGATCCGAGCTTTCCGGCACACAGCAACAGCAGTGGCTCTAGAAGTGGAGACCGCGCTGTGTCAAGTAGCAGCGGCAGTTGAGAAAGAGGCGGAGATTGTCGGGCGACAACGTGAAGGAGAAAGGAAGAGACGTGCAGCAAACAAAGCCCAAAATGTGAGAGAGAAGGACTTGGATGGCAAGGCGGCGGAGGTGAGGAAACGTCGTGCTGCCCTTGCAGAGTACCTCAAGGAGATCGTTGATGGGTAAGTATCTTGTTTACTTTATCTGATGTAGTTTCTTTGACTGATACGCACCCTTCAGTGTTTTTGTGCACAGGTACCGCGATCTTGACCCGCATATCCGCGCTGAGTGTGTGCGTGCAATGGGTCACTGGTTTACACACTACCCCGCCCATTTCCTCGACGCGTCCTACCTACGCTACGTCGGGTGGGTGCTTTCCGACAGCGCGACACCCGTCCGCCTCGAAGCCGTACGCGCTTTATCAGCCGTCTACGCACAGGCTGAGTATATCGGTGGCCTCATGAACTTCACTGCACGCTTCAAGCCCCGCCTTCTCGAGATGGCAGCGCGTGATACAGAGCTCGCCGTGCGCACCGCTGTACTCGGCGTCCTAGGTGCAGTCGACCAACATGGCTTGCTGGAAGACGAGGAACGGGAACAGATGTGCCAACTCGTGTTTGATGGCGAGGTGCGTGTGAGGAAAGCAGTGGCAGGATTTGTCGGGGGCCTCTGGAATGAACTTGTTGAGGAACGGTTGGCGGGGCGAAAGGTGGGTGAGAAAGGAAAGGAACGGGCAGGTGCCAAGGCTCTATCGTTGTTGCTTGTGCGGTGGGACCGCGAGCGCGTGGAGGAAGAGGACGGGAGTCAGGATGATACGCAGAGAGGAGTGGCTATGAGCACAGACATTAAGGGGCGTACGGCGCTTGCTGTGGAGGCTCTGTGGGATGACGTGGACTCTGCGAGCGGGTGGGAGGGGCTTCTTGAGATGTTGTTGCTTGATCACTCTGCTGGAGGAGGCGAGGAGGATTTGGATGCCGCGGATGACTCCATCGCTGCTTCTGCGAAAAACACCGTTGACGAGGCATGGCGCCTGACTGAGACAGAGGAAAGCGTGCTGCTGGAGGTGCTCATTGCGTCCCTTCGAAGAGCAAAAAATCTTGCTGGCACCGCGAAAAAGGTGAGTGCCACTTGTCGTTCAGTCTGATTGGAAGGCTAAGATTCGACGATGGTAGGGCGAGGACGAGACGCTGCTCTCGGATCTCACTCGTGCACTGATCAAGGGACTCCCGAGGCTGTTCATCAAGTACCAGACGGACGCCAACCGGATTGCGAATGTGCTGCTAATCCCACCCTTAATGAACGTAGAACTGTATCTGGAGATGCGGATGATGACTGTAAGTTTGGTATTCGACGCCTTTGACTTTTTTTCTGTTTGGTGATTGCGTATCTGTCAAACATCTCCGCTCTTTATTTCTCTTCTTATTCCTGTGCCTGTTCGCTGATACTTGTGTGTGATCCACAGGCCTACGCCAATCTCTGGGACGATATCACAAAGCAATTCCTCTCCCACTCCGCCCAAACTGTACTCACTTCTGCTGTCGCCTGCATCACGCACCTCCTCTCTTGTCCCTCGCTCAGCAACACCAACAGCACAAAGATTCTAGAACTCGAGGACGAGCTTGCAGCGCAGCTTCGCGATGCTGTCGGCGGGCGCGAGGAGATCGAAGTCGCTGGGTTCGTCGAGGACGAAGTGCTTGCGCTAAGCGCAGTGTGTGCGCGAGTCTGTGCATTAACAGGGACGAGAGATATGTGTGGATGGATGGAGGAGAGTGAGGGCGGGAAGCAGAGTTGTGTGTGGGATATAATATCTGCACTCGTGGAGCGGGGACGGCTGGGGTACAGAGAAGAAGAGAGGGTAAGTCTCGCTTCGCGCGCTTTATCGGATTGTGACTGATGGGTGTGGTATAGATGATCGAGCAGGGACTGCAGGTCCTCGGACTACATATTATGTGGAAGACCCGGAGCTTGCCTGACGCTAGGGAGGCGACACCCGAAGACGAGAAGTATATGGAGACTCTGCGCGAGCAACGGGACTCTTTGCTCGAGAAGTTGGTGGAATATGCAGTTGGTACGCAGTCGAATACTGCCGAAGCTGTCAAACGCGCAGTATGTCTCTTCTATTTGGGTTTCCAATCTGGGAGATACTGACACCTTTCTAGGCCTTCCAGAATCTTATGACATTGCACATCCTCTTCTGCGCGGAGCAAACGACGACGCCAGATGGGCGTGTGCTACCAACTGCTGCATTTCCCCTTGAGCTTGACGATGAGGTACAGTACCGCTGCGCAGGGTTCATCCAAGCCGCGATCGAGCAGTACGCCGAGGTTCTCGAGGAGGGACAGGCACCCAGGGAGGAAGAGGCAAGTGAGAGTGGTGAGAGCTCAGGTGAGGAGAATGTGCCTACAAAGGGTAAAAAGGGCAAAAGCAAAGCAAAGTCGCCTGTTATCAAAGGTTAGTCGTTGTGCCAGGCACTTTTGTTGATTACTGACAGTTTTCGGCTGTGACGTGCAGAGCAGCCACTCACGCGCACTCATCTGGAGCAAGAGTACGTGTTCATGGGAACGATTTCTACGTTCCTAAGGGCTATTCGCGCAGGCGCTGTGCATGTGAGACATAGCGCTGTACTACTAGCACATTACGGACGCCTTGGACCTGCGTTTGATCTTTGCACGAAGGTGATCATCGATTCTCTGCGCGAAGCGGGTATGTACCGGGAGAACGGCGATCTCGTGGTCGATGTTGTCACGCAGGCACTGAAGGAGGTGCGTCTTACTCTCTTGTTTTGTAGAAACTTATTAATTTGGTTAATGCAGTCGTTCACACTTGTCCTTGACTCTGTTGTTCGCGGAGAAGACCATGTGGTTGCTCTTGCCAAGCAGCTTGGGCAGAGCTTCATGATCCGAGGTGCACAGCTCTCGATTGTCAAGAAGCTTGATAGCCAATACATCGTGCAAACGCACACGAACCTCCTCACTTGGATTGTGAAGCGCATTGGAACATATGAGGCTGCTAAGAATAAGAAGGCGCGCAAAACGGCTATTTTATTCTTCAGGGTCTTGCAGCCTCTTCTGGCAGCTGTTGATAGCCGAGACGGCTTAAAGATGTAAGCTGAGAGTAATTCTACAGGAGAATAATCAACTGACAGAATGATTTAGCAAAGCCCATATGGACCAGGTTCTTGCTCAGGCTAAGATCGAGGTTCCACCATCATCCAAAATTTGGGAACCCCAGAGAGCATATGAGAAGAAGTTGTCTTCGATCATGGCAAAGGATAAAGGCATGTACTAAGTCGATGTAAAAACGGTATTTATAACTCAGATCCTCTCTAATAGGCGGTGCGAAAGGTAGAAAGGCTAAAGGCGCAAAGAGTGCAGCAATGATCACCAGCGACGAATCAGAGAGCGAACCAGAACCTCAACCAGCTGAGGAAGAACCTCCCGCACCGAAACCACGCCCGAAACCGCGTCCTTTACGCCGCCAGCGATCTCCTACCTCGTCTCTGTCGGAGCTTGAAGCGAGCGACCAAGAGGCTGGGGGACAGGAACCCATCGAAGAAGCAAATGAAAAACCCGAAGCTGAGCCGGAGGCCGAGCATGAAGAGGAGCAGGCGACTCCGAGGAAACGACCTCTTCCTCAAGCAACATACGGCAGGTCACCGACGAAGACACCATCTGTCCCTCCTGTATCTAATGGCATCACTTCCCCATCTACGCGGAAACGACAGAGGACGGACGATGATGATGAGGACGTTGGAGAGAGTGGAATTGAAGCTATTGAAGCCAATGGCAACGCCGATACCCCCAGAGACGAAGGCCCTCGAGAAGAGAGCCCGTCGAATGAGATTATCTTCAGGAGGAAACGTGCTCGTCATTAGTGCGAGGGATTTTTCGAGTTTTTATACTTATTTGTGACTTGTCGGGCGTGGCTTTATCTTGCTGTTTTACTGCTATGTTGTAGGTACATATGATCAGGATTAGAGAGCAAAATGATTCCGATTAGCATTTGGTCTCGTCAGAGTCTACAAATGCGCTAGATCAAGAGGTTCTATTAGAGTCTAAAACACGATCATTTGTGAGACTACTTATTATAATTATAATTAATAGCACTGTGAATGATTATGCACGCTTTCAACTCGGAAGACCACTTTTCTCCTGGCACCTGCACTCTAAGACCGTCTCAGGATTTCGATTGATATTTATGCTATCCGGACCCAGTGAGCGTCTCAGCAACTTTCACTGGCAGATGGCCCTGCCTCGCGGAATCCCTAGGGCCGCGGTATGATACGGGTAGGGGTACGGTATTACCCATACTAACCCGCGGTGTAGGACCTCGGTGTTGCATTCATCCGCAGGTACACGTACAAGAAGTAGTAGCACTACGTTGGTCCAATAACCTCACCCAACACATCCACTGTGCGAGATTTGCCCTAAATCCAGTGAGTAAAATCATATGCTATACGGCCCAAAAACGCTGACTTAACTCACCGAACTTCATTACTGGCGCGCTCCTGATCAGTATGATGGGCAGGCTGCTTGTCCTTTTCGGACAAAAGCAGAGAATATCAATCTCTTCGTTGCCTGTACCTTGTGTCCCAGGACCCAGGGCGATCAGCTCAGCTCTCGAGACGTTGGTATCTTCCTTCCATTGATCTGGCTGTATACTTGACAGCAGCTGAGAAGCGTGCCTTCTTGGTGCCTTCTGCAATTATGTTAACTTTGACGGCAACACAGCAATTATAAGTTCCACCATTTCTCCCTCTCTACCTCTGGGCTGTCTTGGGAAAGCAGTGGCTCGATGCTTATAATGCAGCTCGCGGACGGGGGACTCTGGAGGAGAGCGGCACACAGAGACAGAAGAAACTGGACAGACTGGAGTATTTTCACCTCCAGTCCGTCTTGCAGGCATTTATCGTGCTCCTCCAAATCTCATTAATCCTATTTGGCTTGTCCCTCAATGCCAACATGTGGGCCCGGGGCGTGGCAAGGCCATGTCCTATCTTTGCAGCCAGTCGCTGGAAATCCATAAAGAACTTCGTTCGGAATCCATGTATACCCGGAATTATTGGGGTGGCAAGAGCCGGTTCATTCGTGATGCGTTCATGACTACCCGTAACGCCTGCAAACAGTTAACTCATAAATACACAGCAAGAATCCGCTCGACAAACGCATAAGGCTGGCACACGCACCGCTCTCAGTTGTCCACGGAAATTCCTATCGTTTTTCACTTCCAGACAATGAAAATGTGATTTGGGATAGTGATCTGCGGTGGTCTCACAAGTGACAGATTGATGCCCAGCTGTGAAGAATTTGACTGGTTACCTAGTGGACGAAGCAGACGACAAAGGAGACGACGAAACAAAAGCTCTGCTCGCGCTGAGTGCCATGCGTGGACTAGGAAGCTCTACCAAGCGACGCTCCTATATCACGGCATTCATCCGCTGCGATAAATGATGAGTGGCGTGAACGTCTGACCCGTGATGGCCTCCTCGAGCGGTGCATTTATCTATTCGAGGAAGCTCTCGAGCGCAGGTCTTGAGTTCTTGGATGCAACCTTGCTGGGATCTTCGCATATATCGGTTCCTCAGCCGAGGTTCTTCTTTTTAGTTCTGCCCAGGAGAGGTGGTGGACAGTCATCAGGGAAACATGGGGGCGATCAGGAGGTATCTGGTAGCAGACCAACCACGTTAGGGCGACAGCGACTAGGCAACAGGTCTCGCTAGGGATGTGCACAAGGCTTTGGAGTCTTTGCAGGAGAGACAAGCACTCTTTTGCGACCGTCAGTGTAGTCGCTCAGGCTGACGTCGATGCTGGACTATCCTCCGTGCAGGGCTTGGGTGACGATCTGTGTCGTTTGATCGAGAACGCAAACCCTTAGCAAAAGGATGAGGTGTCTTTATGGCCTTGAAGGAAAGGCGTTATGTAGCCTCCCTTGTGGTGGGATATGACGAAATATTCATTCAACATCCGACAACTTACAATCCACCCTGGACTATAGCTGGTCTTTCGGACATCTCCCCTTACTCCAAGTCAAATGTACAGCGCCCATTTTACAACCGTCAGTATTGGATTGGGCATAGCACATATCATAGCATAAGAATGATGCAGGAATTACAATTTTTGCCGAGTGAATGCTCAACCGAAGCCAAAATCCAACGACGAGTTGATGATATTGAAGATGCAGAAAATGCTGCACTTGCAACTCAAGGGAAAGGGAGACGTGATATAAAAAACGATGATTGGGTGGGCCTTCCCGTCCTCCACATCTATCATGACAGTAGTCCGCCGGCCCCTCAGCCGGGGGAGAGAATGCCCCACGAGTGCATTTATTTCTCGGGGTTGGGGTTCCTGGAAGTAAAATCGATTGATTAGTACTTTGCGAATAGCGATGAAGAATACAGGAGAGCAAGGCGTGCGAAGGATCGGCTCATCGATATCATCAAGGATGCAGCACTCACATTCTCCGCTTGCCTCCAGGAAGCGTCGTTACGTTCACGAATCTGCCGGGCCAATTAGCTTGAACTACAGAGTGGATGGGATGATACACACCTGCGGTTGTACAAGATGCGCTTCTTCGCACGGCCCTTGGGCGTTTTCTTCTTCTCCTGTTTGTCAACCTTTGGTGTTTGCGACTTGACCTTACCGGCACGCGCGAGAGATCCGTGAACTGTTCATAATGAAACGGTCAACAGGTGCGGATTGCAAGTGCGAGCAGCCTTACCTTTACCCATAGTGCTTGACGATGACGGACTTCGATAGTACACGCACGTGAGTAGCCAATTTAGTACTGTATAGTTTGGAGGCATAAGGTTTCGGAAAATACCGAAGACAGAACTTCTCTTCCATCTTGTGAAGGACTCAGGAGAGCGCGCGGCAATATTGCGGCGATTGGATTAATCGTATAATATTCTAACTACAACGCACGACATGTGTCATGCATGTAGATCGTTTGTAAGTGGGTCCATGTATACTCGCAAGTCCGTATCAAACAAATAATATCATGAACAACAAGCGAAGTATCAAGGGTAAATAAATATCGCACTGGGGTATATTAGTTTGTCATCATGCCAAGCTGCGCTAACATGACTTGTCGCTATCGAGAAATAAGGTAAGGGTTTGGTTCATGGAGTGTTGAGCAAACGCACGTCGTCATAGAGAACACTATGGATGGCTCTGTTTTCTCGAGCACGAGGTCGTATGGCAATCATGTCGGACATTGGCCTGGGGCTAAGTGACACATGCTTAGAACCAAGTAACCCAGACACAGAGCGTGGCCTGGAAGATGATTCGCTAGGAGTCTCTTGAAGAGTCAGACCCAGCATTTCATACAGCTCTCGCTGAGCTTGCGCCAAGGCTCGGGCACCAGAAACTGAGGCGTTCGAATTGGAGCCTATATCGATGAACGTCGTGAGATAATACGTGGCTGTGAATCCAAGATGTGACTTACCCAGAGAGCTGCGACCAGATAAATTCGACGTGACAATGCCAAGCGGTGTGTGTAAAGGCAGTGGGGGAACCGGCGGGATATCGTCTGAGGTTGCAGACATAGACATCATTAGGCTCGTACGAGTACCCGAGCTACTGACAGAAGAACGCTGACTTCGAGTTTTGCTGAGCGGCCGCAAGCCTGCTTTAGATTGACGTATACTCGACTTCCGAACGGCCGAAACTCGCGCAGATCGTCTACTTGACGGCCTCAACGCTGCCGTCCCTTCAACGTGCTCTCGACTGTCTCGAACCTGATCCGAAAGATTATCAAAATCTTGGGCGACATCCTCTGCTTGTTTCCACGCCTCATCTCTTTCGGCCCCCATCGAGTCGATTTGTTCTCGAAGATTCTGTGTTTCAGTGACCTGTTTAAGGAAGGTAGCGTTGACCTTCCTCAAAGCCATGGCAAGGGCACTGGCAGAGTGTACGTCACGCAAACTCTTCAGTTGACCTAGCTGCTCGACAACAGTATGGAGCTCGTCAGTGAGCTGGTCAAGAGCAATGGACACTTCAGAAAGCTCCTCCACGGTGCGCGCAGCAGTCATAGGATCGCACAAGTCTGGACCATCCAGATGTCCAGCAAGGGCGCCCATAAGCTGCCACCGCTTGCGTACGAGCGCCTTGTACTTCGTTTTAACATCGGTGCGCTGCATCTCTAGGCGATGGACTTCCTCAGGAATATCCACATCTAACATCTCTGTCCTGAGAAGACGTATAGACGAGGCTTCAGCAGACTGCTTGATGGCTCGCGAGACGATCGTTTGAAGCTCATGTTGAGAGAGAGTCCACTGAGCTGCCTCCATGGTCAATCCTCGCCACCTCTGGGGTGGCGTCTGGAATTTCGGCGCCGGCGTCGAAGCAGCAGCGGTCAGTTTGCGCCATGCATAGCCTGATCCGGAACCATGGGCATATCCGCTGCCCACAGATGAAACAGACCCGTTACGCTCCCTGATCCCGGGTACAAATGACCCAAGTGGCTGACCAGGACCACTAGGTTTGCGTGGACCAATTGGCAGTGGCGGTCGAGCCCTAGCTCGACTCCTGATATTGGAAGGCGGGCTAGAGGTAGCAGAAACGGATGGTTGTCGGATGATGAAGTTGACGTCTGAGCCAGTTTCCTGCGACGAAGCACCGCCACTAGTGCTTGTTGTCAAAGGTGTATCATTCTCGTTTGAAATCACGCTGTGATATGGGGGAGGAGCTACGAATGAAGGCGTCAACGATGGTGATGAATTGACAGATGACGGTCGGAACGGACTCCTTGAAGGAGTAGAGAGTGGCGAAACGGAGGGTAAAAATGAGGTACCAGCGACATGAGAATCAGATTCAGGGCGTTGCAATAAATGATCCGGAGCTGAGCCGGTGGCCCTTGAAAATGCCGCTTGCGGCTGAGGGCTGAGTAACTGAGGGTGTTTCGGTGATGGTGTACCAGAACTGAATAAATTAGTGCTGGAAGGTTGAAGATTAGGGCTAGATGATGGCAGGCTAGCGCCTGGTGAATTGGATGGTGACAATGAGGATATGCTTCCAGAGCGAGTAAATGGGATGGAAGGTGATGCATTTTTGGATCCTGGAAGGGGCACAGATGTTGGGGACAACGAAGGCTTCTCGACCAAAGAGAGTGGTTTTGATGAAATAGATGTGAATGAATTTGGGGAAATAATTGAAGGGATCGATGATGCAGTATGGGGTGCGAGCGCTTGCAAAACTTCATCCTCTTGAAGCTTATCGCTGCTCGTGGATACACGGTAGAGTGGGGAGCATATTACGGGATCAACAGGGGATGATTGTGGTGGTATCGCGATATCAATCTTCTGATCAGTTGTATGGGTCTGCTGTCCTGGGGATGCTGGAATGGGTGCAACTTCAGAAGGGATCTCAAGAGGGACAGGTTCAGGCGGAGGTGTTGACCTCATAGGTGACGCGATAGACGCAGGCCTGCGAGGGGCAGCAGAATTATCATCTCCCGCTGAACCCTCTGCTCGCGATAGAACGTTCAGTGTCATCGCCCGGGACAATGCGCCAGCGCCATCTTGTGGTACCGGAAGGGTCGCCGACCTAGGCGCCTGAGGGCGTCCAGGAAGCTGGAGTGCCGTTATGGCTACGGGAAAGTTGGGGGAGAATAATGGAGTGAAAATATTTGGAGTCTCGGGGAAGGTCTGTTCCCCAGTGGAAGAGCTCGAGGAGGGGAAAGACGGTGAACTTTGCGACTTGGGGCTCACAGCGATCGCATAATCAAGGAGGTCATACTCTTGACTGACAGTGACGCTTCCGGGAATCCCAGGGGCACGTTCCGCACGTTGACGCTGTGCAAATATTCCCGTATCGGAAAGTGGGCTGGTGTCAAGATTATCCAACTCTGCAAAGGCGGTTAATGGCATCTCGATGTGGCCAGCAGGAACTGCAGAAGTGGGTACCAGAGGGAACTGGGACAGCACAGAGGGATATTGCACAGTAGACGAAGCAATCAATGCAGGAGTGATTGGCGTTTGTGGGACAAAAATTGAACGAGGGCGCTCGCCGATGGGAAGTCTGATCTGCTTTTTATTGCGTTGAAAAATACTGCTAGACAGTACATCTGATGCCTTGGAGCCTGAAGAACGTTTAATGACAACTGACAACAAAAACTCGTGGACGCTTACTTCTCCCACCCCTCAATGATGGCGATGCTCCCAGCGCTCGTGCCCTGCGCTTCCTCAGACTGACATCGCTAGATTCCATCTGCAGGCATGCGCTGACCTCAGAGCTAATGGATGCAGCAGGTTGCGTAGGCTCAGGGGCAACGAATTGATACCCATCCAGACCATCCGTTGGACTAGGAGAGAAGAACTCAGATGATTGAATCGATGTGCTAGACACGCCTGTTCCCGTTTGGTGAAATGATGGCTGCGACGATGCTGTTGCAGGCGTGTGAGAAGCAGTATTTGGAACATCTGAATCAGTCTCATCCATCCTTGCGAGCATACTGCTTGCAGCTATGGAACTACCACTCTTCATTGGCCGAGCGTCGCGAATTGACTGTGGTGACATTGGCGTCGTCGGCACAGGCGAAGGAACCTCTGATATTCTGGAAATGCGTCTTGATAAGCCTGAATGCATGATTATATCAGGAGACGCTGTGGCCGACCCGCCGGCATCAGGAGATGGCTCTGATTTATCTTGAACGATAGACGCTCTCGCTTGATCCAGTATGAATGATCCTGATCCTGAAGGCAGGGGAGGCACAGGAGGCACAGTTGAGTCACGACCCGAGTCGTGTGCACGCGCAATCTCCGCCAGCAGATGGTCACCACGAGGAAGAGTCGCAGAATCTTGACGCGTCATACCGCTGCGGTATCGCGATCCCCGATCACTCGACGACAATATGAACGAGTTCCCGATCAGGGCACGAGCAAGAGTTGTGCCGGATATAGCGGACATGTTTTCCGACTCCATGGGGGATGGAGGGGAAGCGCTTGGAAAAGGTTGCTGATTCGAGCCCGAAGATCCGACCACATTCGCTGCTGGTCGCCTGGTCGGTGCTCTGGTCGGAGCAGTTTCGACTTCTGGTATATAGATTGGGGCAGGAATCATCTTCTTCGAAGCGGAAGGTACCTTAAGGATATAATCAGCTCATGTTTCTCTGGAAGTCGTTTAGAATGGAATAAGAACGTGATTTTCTGCCACAACTACCGACACGCAACCAATTGGATTCGAAAAGACGTACCACATTATCAGATGGCTTCCGGAAGTGAGATATATTAGCGGTAATAGCCTCCTAGATGTCATAGTAAGATATCGAAATGGCAGAATTGTCAAAGACTCACTTGAAACGTAGGACCCCGATTTAAATCCTCTTTCGCGGTATGAAGGGCGGTAGCTTCAGCTATCGCTGATCCTTGTGGTGGGCTCATGGTAAGGCTCCATGTAGAACCATGGGAACCACGCTTTCCATTCAATAGCTCCTGCGGGAACCAGTCGTCCAGGGGCTCTGGGCTATAGTCCAAATGGACCAAACAAGATCCAACATTTAATTGATTGCGAGAAGTGGACGAAGAAGGGTTCTCGACAGACGTGTCTCTGTCTGAGGGAAGTTCTTCGGTCATCTGAGAATTGAACGGCTTCTCGTGAATGTCGAATATCTCTTCTGGAGGAGCAGATAGAGCGGGTGAAGTGGGTGACTGGTGCGGTCGAGTAGGTATCCCAGAAGATTTTGTCACCTTCGGCTTTCGTCTACCACTCTTTCGCATGAAATTAGTGAGGATCATCCTCCGTCGCACTCTATATGACCTCCAGGGTAAGCTGCCAAGGGGTGCCGCAGCCTTCGAGTGGTAGATATACGAGCTATACCAGATTCAAACAAACTGTACAGCAATATGGTGTCCACGGGCGCGCAGAAGCGCGCTGTACGAGTGGTGGGACAAGAAGGTTGAAGGATGAGGAGTAAAGGGAAAAGTTGGTACATTTGGGTACATTCCGGCATTCATAGCAACGTCTGGCAGTTGCACATCAAAGCATCAAGGCATGAATGTTTGTTCCTGTTTGTTCTCTCTGGGGATCATATTGCTTTGCATGGCCTCGTTCATCATACGACACAGCTTCTTAAACCTGTTACCTATGGCTATCTGCATCGTTTCCCGGTTGCGCGCAAACCGTGTGACACCACGACGCTACCAGATCATGGTTTGAATGGCTTTCTCCTCAGTTCCATCTATGACCATGGGAATTAACGGTCTCGTGCGCGCCGCCTCCACTGAGCGTTTTATAGCACCCAGGCACATGGACAGGATGGTCCTGGACGGATGAGGAGCTCTAGTCCCACTCCCGGCGTCAACTTGGCAATTTTCTGCACACGCTCTGCAGACACTTCCATAGAATCCAAGGCGTAATCCTATTTCCGGCTTCGTCTCTTTTGTTTTCCCAGGTCGCTCTGCGCCAACTGAGACAGCGTCTCACTGCCTTATCAATCGTGGCAGTACTAATCAAACGCCTACGATCCGCTATCACAGCCTTTGAAGTCCAGTACCAGTCGCATAATCCCATCTTTCTCAGATCTACACCCACATCAAGACTCTGTTTTATTTTTGACAATTTATTTCCTACATAACACGGAATTCCAGGCATGACCTGATGCCCCACACGACTCGACTACGTGTTGAATCCATCTAACAGAAAGTTCGAGGGTTTCGGGCCGATCCTTGCAAACGTTCAAAGGCTAGTAGCCGCTGGCATTGCAAGCTGTCAACCACAGTGGGCTGCAAGGCTTCTCACCTCAGATGCGACAGGTGGCGACAGCAACGGGACGTCAAGGTATCGAAATAACAACAGGTACACCTTATCCAACTCGACGGGACTCACATGTTCAATTATAGCAGCTACTCGTACGATGGAATGCCCGCCTGCAATCCTTACTCGGAAGGGCAACGGCGTTCACCTGACCATGCAAAATAATAATATTTTTTGTACTCCTTCCTTGGCTTCCCATATTATGCCCGCCAAATAAATACGTTGTGTATGACCGAAGGGATGGTATGAGCTTATGCTGATCAGAGGTATGTAAACGAAAGAATTGTGACGATAAACGACTGTGGTGAATATCAAATGATATACCAAGAATGCAGATGCCAAATGCGAATGCGAATAAGTGAACGACGATGCGAGGTATCCAACTTCCCGTGGACATCCTGCCAGATGATGAAATGTAGACTTGTATAGTTGTAAATTGCGTTGATGCGAATAACTCCATGAAGTGTGAGGCGAATTAGCTAAGCGGGTCGAGAAAAGAGCGGAAAGGTATCGAAGGCGTTGAAGGCCGCGATATGATTTGACAGCCCATCATGCAGTGGCACGCGGACAGCTGCTGGATATGATCCCGTCAGTGATTCCATAATGAAATACGTTATGCATATCGTACACACCATGAAGATCAGCCCGATCAAGTATTTCGAAACGGACGCAGCTTTTCCAGTACGTTTTCCATGCTGGGCGGGGAGTCGAGCGTGTGATCGATCGGCAAAGGAGGATGTGCCATAAGCACTCCGGATATCGTTGATGACACCGATGACGATGAGATCCGACGTAAGGCCCGAGAAGCGCGCCGTTCTTCCTTCGCCTTTTGACGTTCTACTCGGCTGATGTCTACCTTCCCTGAAGGAAGTTCCGGGATGGCTGACAAAGACGAGGTTGTCGACGGAGTCAGCACCGGAAGAGACAGAGAGGAGCGCGAAGATGAGGCAGAGGCAGCGGTACCGAATTCTGGTGAAGGTGGCTCCAGGGACGCCCCAGACGGGCTAGGCTGATCAAGATAATCAAGACAGAGTCCTCTCGCAGAGCGCAGGGAGGAGCCAGCTATCCCTGGCTCTGCGTCAGCAACAGATGCATTTGTTGTTGGCGATCGTGTGCTCTTGGATAAAGCCTCACCGCGTGTTGGGTCCACGGCCCGCGCAGCGTCAGATCGATCCCCATCATCCAGCGTAATCAAGGAGGCTCGTGCTAGGTTAGCTGCCGCATCAATATCGTCTGCACCTCCATTGTGTATGACGAGCCAGCGCAGACCCTCTATCTCTCTGACCTTTTTTCGAATCTCCCGCTCCAGCATCTGGATGGTCTTAGCCATAGATTCCTTCTCGTCCTCAAATTTCTTGGTGATGGTGACAGCATATTCTTGGAGTTGCGCATATTTTTTGTTCTGCAAGGCAAGCGCATTCTTGAGTTCATCCGCGGATGTGGGCGGCTGGGTATCTACAGGGATGTGTTTATCCTGTGGGTTCGGTTTTGGAGCCATCCATGCCGCAAGTTTGGCTGAACTCAGCGAGGTTGCTGCTGATAGCGTGTTAGCTCGCGGTCGTGGTGATATACCCGGGGAGTGAACTGTCAAGTTGGAGGGAACGCTGTTTGTAGAAGGGACGACTGGCAATGAGCTTATCGGTAGCCTAGGTACTGACCGACCTGAGGGCGGTGGCGAAGGTAGGGGGGCAGAAGGAGGAGGGCCGCTGGACAACTTCTCTGATGAAGAGGGCGCACGTTGCAAAGGGGTCGGACGTTTCATAGCCGACGCCTTCGGCAACGCACTTTGATGTCTTCCTCTCCTGCTACGCACGCTGCTGTTCGTAGCACGAGATGCATCTGTATCACTTCCCGAGAGACTGAATGCACGAGCACTTTCATCTTCTGAAGGAACGCCAGCGGTAGTACTGCGGTCGCTCCGACGGTCACGAGAAATTGAGAAACGATGTTGAGGGCTCGCGGTCGGCAGCTTAAGGCTGCTGTTAGAGTGCTTGCTTGAGGGAGTAGTCGGCTCCCTTCGAGATGATTCGTTTGAATATTGGGGAGATGGTTTCTCGCCTGCCAGAGAAGTTAAACCAAAACTTGAAGGAGGGATGGGGAATTGGAGACGAGGAGTTGATGGGGGAGTGGGACTAGCAGGTGTTAGAGGTGTGGCAGGACTGGGTTCAGTGATCTTTTTTGAACTGTCCGCGGTGTTGACAATGACGGGTGACAGGGTGGAGGCTTTTTGGGCAGACTTCGTCTGCTTCACAAAATGCTCTGGAAGTGTGAAGAGATCAGAAAAATCGTCCCGCATTTCGTAGTGAGGAGGGTTCGCGACTGGGGGTTGGCGAAGCGGCTTTGGTGTAGTGGATCGGCTGTGGATACTGGAGCTGTGGGACTCCAGGGAGGGACCACGACCATCAGGTACGGGCAGAGAGAGAGTGGCGGATGAATGAGTGGGAGGGGTGCTTGCTAACTTGTGCGATGACGAGTATCGTGCCTTCAGAGTTTTGGTGGGAGATCGCAAAGGAGTGAAATGGGCGGCGAATTTGGAGCCCAGTGATGGTGGTGACACGTTCAATGGAGGAAGGGTAGACGGGAGCTGTCCGTTAGACGAGTCGTCTGTAGTTGAAACAACAGTCAAGGGACTTTTCCTACAGTGATATGCGATCAGTCTTTGATGCCGAGAAAGAGTGACTTTAGCAGCAAATGAATGTACAGTTCAAGAGTGTCCTGAGCGTGCTATATGCCCTACTTCCGCATGTATAAGCATATACGCCGACACCACATGTCGCTAGAGCACCCCATTTGTCTTGTCCTCCTCAACTTGAACAACGCGTTCGATCACGAACTTAAACCGGATGAAACACTTACTCTTTACCGACAGATCCCGAAGGAGCGTTTGTTGACTTCCTAGGCAGAGCGGAAGATGAAGCGGATGGTCGCTTGCTCTTCCTCCTTCCGAGGAAGGGCAGCATAGAGCGTCTGGACTTGTGTTTTTCTTCAGATGGGGTATCGGGAAGACCGCCCACTGCAGTTTTTGGAAGCTGGCGTGACCCATGCGAGCTGCGGAAGATCTCCGAGAGATCTGCCGTCTTCGTTCGTGAACGCTGGGGAGTTGGAACACCGGTCATGACGAGCACGAACAGCTTTACAAATGACAACGAAGTAAACGAGAGCGGTATGCTAGGCGCGTATTCAGGACTGGAATACAATCGCAAAGGTCTTTTCAACCGAAATACATTCGGGAACCGACAGGACGGCGCTAATTAGCTTGAAGGGGGATTCTGAAGCAGGAATGATGGAAGATGGTGCTTTTATTGGATCAGTGGAGCGAGAAAGCAAAAGCCAGGCGCTGGCAGTCCAACTGTCATGGAGGATAGAACAGAAAGAAAACTGGTGGGCACACAACGGACCCTATGATATATAAAACTTTAGGTTTCACTTCAAACCATCCGATGTCACAAGCGACACGGCCCTGCCAATATCCCGCCCGTTCAATATATGTATGACGTTCCTTCCGCGGATTCTTCGATCCTCACAGTTATCATCATTCCCAATCAGTAAAGTACGTTACGAGGAGCGCATACCCTTAGCTTGGAGGGCCGATTGAACCGCTCGAGATAAGGAAAAGAACAACGAAATGAAGCATGCATGCGGTCTTCATCAAAAATATTTATGGGAAGAACAAAAAGATGGAAACCAAAGAGCGCTAAAGTGTCTAAATCGAGGTGCGGAATGGAGAACTTGGAATGCAGATGAAAACTATGGACATCAAAAAGAAACAACCCCAGACCTGTCATTAATCCAATCCACCGTTGAAGAGTGTCTCAACCGAGCCGAGCAGGCAGGGGGACCAGGATGTCCATATGTACTCTCCGTGATTCAAGTTAGGGAGCATGTGGCCTTTCGATGCGCCTGTGTTCGGGGACGAATCGGGTTTAACCAGATAGCAGGTGTCTTGAAATTATGGCGTGCTATTACTAGAGAACTATGGACGCTTCCTGACTTCTTCAAACCCATAGCGTTCGTCAAATGCAGAGAACATGACAGGTGCGCAACGTCGGACGTTCCGTGTATTAATGTGGTCAATGATGACCTTACCTTAAGAAAGACCGGCGGAGAAGATGAAATCAATAAGGTTATAACGAAGCGAAATATGAAACATGCCTGTTTTTTGGAATCATCGGCACGGGGATGCGTTTCATAGTCATCGTAACTTGAGGATTTTATTTGGAACTTCATCCAATTCATTGCTCGTCGATGGTTGCATTGCATTATTCGAGTTTGATCCTAAGTCTTCAGTACTTTTAGTACCACCGACATCCCTCAGAGAAGACAGAAGCATTACCGTATCTGTCGTTAGCGTCACGGGCCATTCAGGATGGGTGCTCTTGACGTGTGGTGGACTGGTAATGATAGTGATGGTCAAAATGAGACGGGGCCACTCCCCGATGTTTGGAAAAACTGGGGAGTGTTGGTTTCATTGCTCATGAAGTGCAAGTTACCATGTCTAGAGGAACTTGACAATATTAATGGGCTCGACTGTTGGTGAGGACGCAAAACAGGCGAGCTAGACGGACTCGGAAGCTCGTGCTGGCAGAGATCCAAAGGTGTTTCAGGCCACTTGAGATATACGAGAAAGTGCCGCGGGTAAAGAGGTCCAGTGATGTGTCCTCAGTCTCATCTGAATGGTAATGGTTTCGTTAGGTGAAACACAGAGTAGAGTGCTGGGGGGTCAAGCTTCAAGCCCCTCATTAATGCTCTAAACCGATAGGCTAAGGGAGAAATGCGAAAAATATATTCGGAAACCACAGCGGTCAGAGCTGAAACGTTGAAGCTTAAATTTAAGTTCAAGAGTGATGATTGGCACCAACCTACCAGTCTCCGTTCAGCACGAAACAGACTACTAGTACCAATGTGTCATTCAGTAACTGCCAAACTGGCAACGGCCAGCTGATCAACGTTCAACGTCCAACAACCAACTTGAAGGCATAAATCTACCGACCTCGGTGTAAAATTACGGCGCACAAGGAGGTGGTGTGGTCAGCTCGCTGCTGAGTAGCGCAACAGATACATATGCATAAGATTAGATACCAACGAAGCTCCTAAAATTTCAAAGACCCATCGTCCTTTTGCAAGGGCTTTGCATTCTCAATCATACGACGCAGATCATCGTCCAAGCCCTGAATGGAGGATAGTGCAGCATCAGAGCCAGCCTGAGCGATTAGGTGGGGAGTGACAAGGAATTCTTGTCCGCTCTGCAATGATTCCAAAGCCTCGTGCACATCTCGAGCGAGACTAGTCAGCCCATTGTTCGGAACGTTGTTATCCCAGCTTCGCAGATACTGCCTAGTCACTGTCACAACGTCTGGAACTACCATGGTGATGTCGGACCAGAAGTATGTCAAATCTTTCCCCCATGTTGTCCTGACGAGTGTCCGCCACCTCTCCTGGGCAGGACTGAGAGGAAGAGTCTTGTCTGACGGATCGATACGCGCGAAGATCGCGGCGAGGTAGCATCCGAGAACCCTATACTCAGGTTCCAGAGCCTGCTCGACTAGAGAAGTGCACCACTCGAGATGACCATCACGAGCTAGACGTTCACACCACTCAACATTCATTGCTAGTGCAAAGATGAGGCGGGTGTAGCAGCAGTCTCGATTGTAATGGGAAGGGGCGTCGGGATGGCTATTGTCGTGAACTATCTGGTCATCATTGGGATGTACTGCAGTTAAAACAGCGCAGGAAAGCTCATCCAGGAGTGTTGCATCCACACCCTGTGGCATCGACTCATGTGTGATGGAAGCTAGTTCTTCTCGAGCATCAGAAACAACTCTCAGCGCAGCATGCCGGACTCGCGGAGGTCTGGTGGAACCCATACAGCGGATAAGCGCCGTGATACAGGAGCGTCGCTTGGTAGAGCTTCCTAGTCCACGCATGGCACTCAGCGCGAGCAGAGCATCACCTTCTGTTTCATCATCTCCTTTGTTGCCTGCTTCGTCCGCTAGGTAGTCGATAAGCCAGTCGAATTCTTCACAGTTGGGCACTAGCCCGTTACTGTGACACCACTGCAAATCACCATGCCAGATCAAATCTTCATCGTCCGGAAGTGAAAACCAACGGAAATACCCATGGACAACCATTGTTCTCAGAGCGGTGCGTGCGTCAGCCCTATGCTTCTGTCCATCGGCCTCATTCTGTGTATTCGTGAGCTGTTTGCAGGCGTTACGGCTGTCCATGAACGCATCACGAATGAAACGGCTCTTGCCTCCCCAACAATCCCAGGTATTAATGTGTCTCCAACGAAGGCGTAGACGGAGTTCCAGCGACTGGCTGCAAAGATATGCCATGGCCTTGCCACACTGCACAAATACCTCCTCCCTGTCACAACACGCCACGAAATTATCACGTAAGCGTGCATAGACTGCGGAAGCATCAAGGTCCCGCGGCCATTGCACGAGAGGTACCATCGCAGCTGCAGCCTCGACAACTTCTGGGTTCGTGGATGCCTCTAGTATCCAGCGGATGGCGGACAATTTAATGGACGTGCCATCAGGAGTCAAAGTCAATTTGCCCAATCTGCTCAACCTGCCCAACCCGTATGGGAGGGAATGGACACTGATTGCCAGGATTTTTTTACAAATAGTCCCCAATAGCTCTGCTCCTGGTGTCTGGAAAGGGCTATCCGGATGCAACATTGACACGACGATAGTGCTTGCATAAATGAGGATGCCAAATGCCGTGGTGAAGATGATGACGCTGGATATCGTCGTTTGCAGGGCCCACATGTTGGCGCTGAGTGACAAACCAAAGAGGAGCAGGGAGATCTGGAGGAGGACGAGGAACACTTGCAAGACCGTCTGGAGGTGAAAATATTCCAGCCCATCAAGCTTCCTCTGTCTCTGCATGCAGCGTTCCTCTAGTGACCCTCGTCCGCGAGCTGCCTTGTACGAATTGAGCCATTGCTTTCCCATCACAGCCCCGAACGCGGCCAAGACGCTAAACGCGAGGCTGGCATAGGCGAGTGTTTGCGTCCAGACAGTCGAAGGAGGATACCCCGTGGACGAGGAAAGATTGCTGATATCATTTACAGCATTTGTGCCGTTAGCTGTCATTTGGATCAGGTGGAGCAAGAGCACATTGGTGGTCTCTCCCGGGTTAGGCTGCATTCCGATTATGAAAGTGGAGTTGACGGCTGAGAATAAACCAGCCTGGTTCGCCTGTTAGATTTGCATAGACAGGCGTATAAATGAACGCACAAAAGTCAAGATGATGCCCATATCGCCATTCGCCCGCTCAAGGAAGTCACTGTCATATTCCGTTGAAATTTTGTCGTACGTCGCCCAAAACTTTGAATCAACGTCTTTATCATGTTCTTGAGTGATGGGAAGCGCTTGACGGTCGTTGAGGATCTGTTCATCGGCTCCTGACCTTTGACCCCGCGGAATCAGACCTCGGATATCCCGTAACGATTAATTGACACTTACACATCCTTAGCATGGCCTCCCTCAATGGCCGCAGGAGTTTCCTCGCTTGCTGTACACTGTTTGATCCTATCCCTGTAAGTCCGTAAGTGTCGCACTCATCCCAGTCTCGCTTGGCACTCACTCGCTTGTTGGGAGGCCGGTGTCGACAGGTGCAGAACAGTATCGTGATGAAGGGCTTTCCATGTTATGCACTGTGGATATAAAAGTTGAAGCACGACGGGAGAGATAGTAGAACTTGAAGTGTATAATTGCTGTGCTGGCGTCAAAGCGCACTCGTTGAATATTGCAGAATCATGCGAGAATCGTGCATATGCTTCTTGTCTGTTGCAAAAGCCTCCAACGCAAGAAGTAGTCCTCGTCGACTCCTCGAAGGCGTGCACATAGCTTCCCGTCGTCAGAAAAATCGTTCACAGCACTAGCCTGTGAAGAAATGAGCTGGAACTCTACTCGAGCTTGAGGCCAGTGAGTGTTCGAATCGCCATGACGCATTTGAGTCGAGGGAGCATCTGAAGTGATTAGCTTGCAAAATTTAAATGCCAGGCCCTTGGGATTTTGCCGCATCCGTGCCGTACCCTATACGTAACAGTGTCTCATATCATAATGCCTACATCGTCCGTGTCACCCAATTGTCCATATCACATTTAACGTCTCTGTCATAAGGCGTGCTCAATTCTAAAATGTCGATGTCAAGTCGAGTTCAATATTCGAGCGCCGCTCGCTAAACCTATCCTAAAGGGGACTCGTACCTAAACCTTACGGCGCGCAGCGCCAACACTCGCAGTCTTAAAACACATCCTAAGCCTCAGTAGCGCTACTAAACCTCATGATTCATGCTCCTAACCCTCAGCAGGCCTAACCCTTATCTTAACCTCTCTATGCAGTGCAAATGCTAGTAGTGTATAATCAGTTCACTCCATGTTTCAGTGAAAGGTAAAATATATTCATAAACATACTACATAGCACTACATATACTCTGTTGAAAGGGTCAGAAAAGGTTTAGGAATGTTAAGGGTTAGATCTGCTGAGGGTTAGGAGCATGAATCATGAGGTTTAGTAGCGCTACTGAGGCTTAGGATGTGTTTTAAGACTGCGAGTGTTGGCGCTGCGCGCCGTAAGGTTTAGGTACGAGTCCCCTTTAGGATAGGTTTAGCGAGCGGCGCTCGAATATTGAACTCGACTTGACATCGACATTTTAGAATTGAGCACGCCTATAGTCCGCCTGGCAACACCCCACTCCAATCGACTAGCCCTCAGCTCCTTGCATCCCCGAGCCCTTCATGGCCCTACGTACGCGTTTAAGGCTTCGCCATCCCTCCAACTGTTGTATAGTTGACTAACATCTTCTCCTGCTTCCTCAGAAAGCAATTTCTTCTGGTGGGGAGAGGGAATCGCAGACTCTCGTGGGCACGAGGAGAGATGATGAACACTGCTTTCTACAGGCTACGGGGCAAGCCCAATGCGTGCATCGATATTCATTCTCACTCCAATCGACTATGTGAGGCTTGAGCCATTCAAGAGGCCCAGATGATGACCGCGACGAATGAGAATGTGCATATCCTTGTCGGGAATGTTGCGGGTGTTGGACTTAGAGATTGACGAGCGTGACTCGGAAATAGCCGAGAAGTGGCTTAAACCTTAAATCATCGGTGTAGATACAGTAGTACGATTTTCTGTAGTACGCTACGAGTTTGTTCACGCAATTCACCGTGCTTAGTGTTTTTCACGCGGCCGAAAATTCTATAGCGGGAATGGGATCTTCAATTTTCAGATGCATCTTTCCTACGTACTGGTTCGCCCCTTGCATTCGTCCATGTGTAACAAAACATTATATTCTTCAGGATATGGTTAATACCCCACTTAACTTCCAATGTAAAACACCATTCCAGCACCGTGTTACGTCTAGCATTCTCGCCCAAACAGTCTACTTCGTCTTTACTTTGCCGCCTTACCCTCTACCAACACCCTGATCGAGAAACTCCGATCAGTGACTGTGGTACCTAGGCATCGAGATTACACAAAACAAGAACCCCATAGAAGGGGACCAGAAGGCCTGCCAGTTGGTAGAAGACTGCATTGACAATGTAACGTCTGGGACGATAATCGTGCAGATTCGGTGCCCGAGCTGGCTCAGGGATTTCACGGTCAAGAGTCCGAGTAACTTATACCCGCATACACAGCCAGTTCACAGCGAGAGCTTCACTGACGTTACACAACCCGTGCAGATCCGCCAAGACGTCCAGTACTACATGTTCATGTGCAAGTCCCATACCGCCGATGCACATAGTCGGGCCGCACTTCACAGGTAGGTGTTCCCTGCCCCTCCCAGCACAATTCATATCATCCCTCCACCATGCACCACGCAGAACTCTCTGAGGGACCATGGGCGCATTTGGCTAGCGTGGCTGGGTTTGACTTTGATGTAGTATTTCCCGAGGCATGTAAGGCGCTGCTGACGATGGAGCCGCTGTATGGGATTGGGGAGGGACATGGTGAATTGCTGACAACATAATATACATATGTAAGTTACTGCCAAATGCACTGTCAACCAGCCTTAATCTCGTCACAGCTAAGAAATCAGATTGGAGCATGGCCATTGCTTGCTTCATGCCTTAACAGCCTTGTATGCTTATGACTTACCATGATGAGATCTTGTTCCGCCTCAGTAGATATCATCATGTTAGGTACTAAGTATTACTTGTCGAACGATGGAGTTCAACGTCCTTGTATCCCACAGAATGGATCCTGTGTCCTCCAGACAAAATTGTTGCGGACATGTATTATGAATCGTATAATTTCAGGTGATGCAGCGAGCATTACGCGACATCGAAAAACTGAGCCAAGTACTGGCTCGAATAACGTAGCAATCAGTTGAATTCATTGGCTTGAATATGATAGTCTTCGTTCATGCAGCAGGTAGGTCGAAGAATATCGTTCATATCCATGAAATAGTAGTACTAGTAGTGCGTGCTACAGATTAAGCTATATAGATGAGGAAGAAGTTTACCGATCTCAGTGTAAAATTACAAACCATGAGTAGATGATATGGCTAAGTTGCTGCTGAGTGGCGTAACAAATACATAAGGTTAGACACTAACGAAGCTCCTAGCAATGAAGATCCTTCAAGATCCCAAAAACCCATCGTCCCTCTGCGAAGTGCTTGAGTTCTCGATCATACGACGCAGATCGTTGTCCAAGCCCTGAATGGAGGATAGTGCATCATCAAAGTCAGCCTGAGCGATTAGATAGACAGTCAAAAGGAATTCTTGTCCGCTCTGCAATGATTCCAAAGCCTTACGCACATCTCGAGCGAGATCCGCTAGCCCACCGTTCGGAACATTGTTACCCCAGCTTCGCAGATACTGTCTAGTCACTGTCACGACGTCTGGTACTACCATGATAGGGCCAGGCCAGATGAATTTCATTTCCTCGCCCCATATTGTCCTGACGAGTGTCCACAACCTCTCCTGGGCAGGGCTGAGAGAGAGAACCTTGTCCGACGGATCGACACGCGCGAAGATCCCAGCAAGGTAGAATTCGTGAATCCAATTCTTGAGTTCCAGAGCCTTCTCGACTAGAGAAGTGCACCGCTCGAGATGACCATCACGGGCTAGACGTTCATGCCACTCATCATTCGTTGCCAGGACAAAGATGAGGTGGGTGTAGCAGCAGTCTCGACTGTAGTGGAAAGAGGCGTCGGAAAGACTGTTATGGACTGTCTGGTCATGATTGGGATGTACGGCAGTTAAAATAGCGCATGAAAGCTTGTCCAGGAGTGTTGCATCCACACCCGGTGGCATCGACTCATGTGTGATGGAAGCTAGTTCTTCTCGAGCATCAGAAACAGCTCTCAGCGCAGCATGCCGGACTCGCGGAGGTCTGGTGGAGCCCATACAGCGGATAAGCGCCGTGATGTAGGGGCGTCGTTTCGTAGAGCTTCCTAGTCCACGCATGGCACTCAGCGCGAGCAGAGCATCACCTTCTGTCTCATCATCTCCTTTGTTGCCTGCTTCGTCCGCTAGGTAGTCGATAAGCCAGTCAAATTCTTCATATTTGGGCGCTAGCCCGTTACTGTGACACCACCGCAGATCACCATTCCAAATCAAGCGTTCATCGTCCGGAAGTGAAGACCAACGGCAATACCCATGGACAACCATTGTTCTTAGAGCGGTGCGTGCGTCAGCCCTATGCTTTTGTTCATCGACCTCTTTCTGTGTATTCATCAGCTGTTTGCAGGCGTTGTGGCTGTCCACGAACGCATCGCGAATGAAACGGCTCTTGCCTCCCCAACAATCCCGGGTATAAACGTCTCTCCAGCGAAGGCGTAGACGGATTTTCAGCGACTGGCTGCAAAGATGGGCCATGGCCTTGCCACACTTCACAAATACCTCCTCCCTGTCACGACACGCCTCGAAGTTATCACGTAAGCGTGCATAGATTGCAGAAGCATCAAGGTCCCGCGGCCATTGCACGAGAGGTACCATCGCAGCTGCAGCCTCGACAACTTCTGGGTGCGTGGACGTCTCTAGTATCCAGCGGATGGCAGACAATTTAATGGATGTGCCATCAGGAGTCAAAGTTCTGCCCAACCTGCCCAACCTGTACGGGAGGAAATGGACGCAGATTGCTAGGAATTTTTTGCAGATAGCCCCCAATAGCTCTGCTCCTGGTGTCTGGAAAGGACTGTCCGGACGCAACATTGACACGACGATAGTACTTGCATAAATGAGGATGCCAAGTGCTGTGGTGGAGATGATGACGCTGGATATCGTCGTTTGCTGCATCCACATGTTGGCACTGAGTGACAAACCGAAGAGGAGCAGGGAGATCTGGAGGAGGATAAGGAACACCTGCAAGACCGTCTGGAGGTGAAAATATTCCAGCCCATCCAGTTTCCTCTGTCTCTGCATGCAGCGTGCCTCTAGAGACCCTCTTCCGCGAGCTGCCTTGTACGAATTGAGCCATTGCTTTCCCATCACAGCCCCAAACGCGGCCAAAACGCTAAATGAGAGACTGGCATAGGCGAGTGTTTGCGTCCAGATAGTCGAAGGAGGATACCCCGTGGACGAGGAAAGATTGCTGATATCATTTACAGCGCTTGTGCCGTTAGCTGTCATTTGGATCAGGTGGAGCAAGAGGATATTGGTGGTCTCTCCCGGGTTAGGCTGCGTTCCGATTATGAAAGTGGAGTTGACGGCTGAGAATAAACCAGCCTGGTTCGCCTGTTAGATGTGCATAGACAAGGCATATAAATGAGCGCACAAAAGTCAAGATGATGCCCATATCGCCATTCGCACGCTCAAGGAAGTCACCGTCATATTCCGTCGAAACTTTGTCGTACGTCGCCCAAAACTTTGTATCGGCGTCATTGTCACGTTCTTGAGCTATAGGAAGCGCTTGGCGGTCGTTGAGGATTTGGTCATCGGCTGTTGACCTTTAACACCCAACATAATCAGACCTCGGGTGTCCCGTAGCGAGTAGTTGATACTTACATAGCAGGGCCTCCCTCGACGGCCACGGCAGGTTCCCCGCTTGCTGTACGCGGCTTGTCTTCATCACTGAAAATCCATAGGTGTTACACTCAGCCCTGTCTAGCATGGCACTCACTTGTTTGTTGGGAGGCCAGTGTCGACAGATGCGGGACAGGGTCGGGATGACGCGCTTTGCATGTTGTGGGTTGTGGTGGACATATGCATGAGATAGACTCGGAAGGGCGAAATGATGGAACTTAAAGTATATGTGTGATTGCTGTGTTGGCGTCAATTCTTCTTTTAATAACCACAGCACATACAGTGCAAGAAGCAGTTCTTCGAAAGTATTGTTCAAAGTATTAGTCTTTGAAGTCATGATCAAGCTGGAGCCCTGACTCCGAGAGCCTGTCGGAAGGATCAATTCGCCGTGACTATTTGAGAGAGAACTGATGTTTGCAAAATGGTTGTGCGTTCAGAACAAGCTGACCCATCATATGGAAGCAAGCCGACGATGCTGACAACGTTGAAGAAGGAACAACTTCCTGTTCACGTCGGTCACTCTGATGAGCAACAGGTGATTAAGTTAGTAGTACACTCACAGTTCTCCAAGCTCCATGATGGGTGGGCGTGACTTTAAAGTTGGTCATGGTATTAGCATGTTATAAAATTCTGGGATTGCAAGTTACATGGGGGTACGTAGTAAGTATATATAGTAACAAGTGAAGCTCTCCCTCGATCGAGGTAAGCCGCCAACGAAATGACGTCCAATTCAGAATTTCAGAGTTCCCGCAGATCACCTTCAAATAATGCTAGATCATAATAGCCAGCTGATGTGTTTTCAATTTCACAGCGTGAGCCGCTTTCGACTAACATTATTACATAGATCCGTCAAGATATCCGAACATGGTGTTATAACAAAAGCCTAAACGTACAGGACAAGTTACTTAGTGCACTTCCTTCAATAGCCCAGAGACCCGGTGTCCTTTTGCAAAGTGCCTAGGTTCTCAGTCATACGACCCAGATCATCATGGAAGCCCTGCAAGGAGGATAGTGCTGCATCAGCATCAGGCTGGGACACTAGTCCAAAATTCAGAAGAGCTGCATTTTCCTCCTGCAATGATTCCAAAGCCCCGTGCACATCTCTAGCGAGACTTGTTAACTCCATGCTTCGAGAACCATCATCTGAGCTTGGCAAATTCTGCCTCGTGGCCATCACGAGGGCTGGTACTGCCTCGACAACGTCAGGCAGCATCACAGAGCTCAAGCGCCTCCATTGTGGCATGATGAGTGTCCGCCACCTCTCCTGGGTAGGGCCGAAAGGAGGAACATTGCCTGGGAAATCGATATACGTCAAGATCCCAGCAAGGTAGCATTCGAGAGTCCGAGACCCGCATGCAAGACCTTCGCCAAATAGAGACGTGCACCGCTCCAGGTGACCATCACGAGTCAGACGTTGACGCCACTCGTCTTCCTTTACCAGGGCAAAGATGAGGCGGAAGTAGCAACGGTCTCGATCCTCGTGAAAAGAGGCGTCGGCTCCAAAGCCATGCATTGTCTGGTCCTGATTCGGACGTACAGCAGTCAAAAAAGCGCGAGAAAGCTCGTCCAGGAGTTTGACATCCACACCCTGTGGCATCGAGCCACTTGTGATGGAAGCTAGTTCTCCTCGAGCGTCAGAAACACTTCTCAGCGCAGCGTGTCGGACTCGGGGAGGTCGAGTGGGACCCATGCAACGGACAAGCGCCGTGATGTAGGTGTGGCGCTTGGTATCACTTCCAAGTCCGCGCATGGCACTCAACGCAAGCAGAGCATCGCCTACTGTTTCATCGTCTGTATCGTTCATCGCTTCGTCCGCGAGATAGTCCACGAGCCAGTCAAAATCTTCATAGCCGGGGGTGTGCCCATCATTCTGACGCCACTGCAGATCCCCATACCAAATCAATTGTTCATGATCCGGGCGCGAAAGACGGTAGCGCTGTCCGTGGACAAGCATTGTTCTCAGAGCGGTGCGCATATCGGCCTTATGCTTCCATCGAGCACCCTCCTGCTGTGTATTCTTGAGATGACTGCAGGCGATACGGCCATCCATGAATGCATCACGGATGAAGCAACTCCTCCCTCCCCAACGATGCCAAGACTCCGAAAAAACCCACTCTACCCAAAGAGGGGACCGAAGTGAGTGGCTGAAAAGATGGACCATGGCCTTGCCACACTTCACAAATAACTCTTCCCTGTCATGACACGCCTCGAATGTATCCCACAAGCGTGTAGATATTGCAGAGGCAAGCTCTGGTGGCCATTGCACAAGAGGTACCATCGCAGCTGCAGCCTCGACGACTTCCGGGTTCGTAGATGTCTCTAGGATCCAACGTATGGCGGACAATTTAATGGATGTCCCATTAGAAGTCAGAGTTGATTTGTGCGGAAGGAATTTTTTGCAGATAGCTCCCAACAGCTCTGATCCTGGTGTGTGGAAAGGACTGTCTGGACGCCACATTGACGCGAAAATGGTGAGACCGTAGAAGAGAATGCCGAAAACTGTGGTGCAGATGATGACACTAGCTATCGTCGTTTGCTGGGTCCACATGTTGGCACTGAGCGACAAGCCGAAGAGGAGCAGGGAAATCTGGAGGAGCACTAGGAATGCCTGCAAGACGGTCTGTAGATGAAAGTACTCCAGCCCATCCAGTTTCCTCTGTCTCTGCATGCCGCGTTCCTCTAGAGACCCTCTTCCGCGAGCTGCCTTGTAAGAGTTAAGCCATTGCTTCCCCAACACAGCCCCGAACGCGGCCAAGACGCTAAATGCGAGGCTGGCATAGGCGAGTGTTTGCATCCAGACAGTCGAAGAAGAATACCCGGTGGTCGAGGAGAGATTGCTGATGTCATTTACAGTGTTTGTGCCGTTAGCTGTCATTTGGATCAGGTAGAGCAAGAGGACGTTTGTAGTATCTCCCGGATTGGGTTGCATTCCGACGATGAAGGTAGAATTGACAGCTGAGAATAAACCAGCCTGGTTCGTCTGTCAGTTTGCATTGGTAGGTTTAGACGGAAACGCACGAAGGTCAAGATGATACCCATATCATCATTCGCCCGCGCGAGGAAGTCGTCATCGTACTCCGTCGAAACTTTTTCGTAGGTTGCCCAAAACTTCGAATCGGCGTCTTTGTCACGTTCTTGAGTTACAGGAAGGCTCTGTTCATCGATTTTTGACCTTTGACCCGACATAGTCAGACCTTGTTAGAAGCTAGACAAACTCTCAGCGACGGTTAAGAACAACGTTGAGATAAAACTACAGATGAAAACTTCTTTGAGTAGATGAGTCGAGTACGAGAAGACGAGGCACTGCCTGTGACAACGATATATATCGGTAAGTGAGGTGTTGTTGAAGGTGCCAAGATATGATGAGGACACGGAAAAGGAAAAGAATCCTGGAGGTCGTCGTGAACGGGATTTGGAGAGCGCGCTATCTACGATCCACGGCCCGGGGAAATATCGATTCTGCATACAAAGCGCCAGCTAGCATGCGGCCCAATCCAAGTAGCTTAGTCGACATTGCCCAATGCCAAGGAATCAGGATAAAAAATGGACACAGCTTTAAAGTGAAGGGGGCTCATCAGGTGCGTCTGTTCCTCATATTCAAACCCTGCATTACATGTAATTCATTTACGTGCGCATGTCGTGCGGGATGTCGTCAACGTCTTCTTCTCTGCAAAATACCACTTCGGTGCCGTCGACAGCATAAACTAGGCTCACCCCCTCGTCAAAACAGTCTTTTCCAACTTGAAGTCAGCTATCGTTGATGAGGCCTTCAATATACCCTTACCGATTCCACACCTCGAAACTAGTACAGCGAAATGAAGTGTAGTAAGATATTACTCAAAAGATGTGAATGGAGAACAAAGGAGGGCGCTAAGGTATATACCATACAGGTAGAAATTATTTATAGCACGAACCAATGCAGGCGCAGTGGGATGTAGACCTGCCTGTCAACAAAAAAAAACTACCTAGAAACGACCCCAGACCTGGGATTCGTCCAATCCACCTTTAGAAAGTGTTGTGACCGACAGCCACTGGGCCAAGCGGGTAGGGGTGCCAGGATATCTGCTTGAGTCTGTCCCTCGTGCAAGTTCGGTCGCATATTTGGCTATTCAGCACGGCGAAGAGCTGCGATAGATGATATTCAGCACCATCTTAAGAGTCAAAATTAAATGTACCAACCACGATTGGACGCGTCATAAAATCCTGACACGCCATGATTTAAGAACCATGGGTACATCACGAGGTCTTTAAATCCATATCGCCTCAGTGCCAAAGGTCTGAGCAGTTATCACTATACATGAGTAATCGGATTGGAAAATGATTAATCCCACAGCTTACCCCTGCAACCAAAAAAGCCACAGATGGATCAAGTTTGTCAAATGCAGGAAACAACTTGACTATGTCAGGCTGCTTGTGCCAAGAAACATAGTCTATAACGGCCTCCTCAGTAGCAAAGAGTGCCTGAGAAAGATGGCATCAGTAAGGTTGTATCAAAACGAGACACGAAACTTACCTGATGATTACAAGAGACAAGCTCGTAAAGAACGCATCCGAAAGTCCACCAGTCCACAGTGAATCCATATTCCATAGAACGTGAATTTTTCACATTGTGTAGCATCTCGCGCGCCATAAACTGGATGGTTCCCGCCACTTCTGACGAATAATTCAGCCGTCAATCCAAGGGCTTCTCTTGCATATAACAGAGGCCGAAATCAGCGATCCGCACAATCCAAGGGCTTCTCTTGTATATAACAGAGGCCGAAATCAGCGATCCGCACATTCTCTTGTACATCAATGAGAATATTTTCGGCTTTGATATCTCGATGAATGATGCTCATGCAGTGGAGAGCATGGATGCCGAGAGCCTTCCAAGTCGGAGCCGTGAGTCATCGAATAATAGCAAAGACATCTACTCACCAGTTGAACACAACATTAACGTAGGTTCAACGTTCCAACGTTATTCTTACGACAAACATTCGGCAACACGTCGGACCACAAAGTTTCAACGCCCGACGGTCAGTTTCTTCATGACGCCGAGAGCCCCATGCTTCGTATCTGATTTGAAAATTTATACACCGCTGTGTAAGTAGTCTTTTCATTTTGGCCTAGTGTTCTGCAAATGACTGTGAATGAAATCTCTTGCAAAATCTGCTAACGTTTTTCTGCGAAGCTTCTACAGTGAAGCCTCACAAGAAGTTCCCGCTATCCTCGAAGGTTCGTTCACACTAACAGCGGTCTTTCACTAAAACCTGGTCGAATTCACGGATATCCTATTAATATCAGTGAGTCTACCCTAGTACTAGCGCCGGTTCCCGAAAGCAGAATCAAACATCGCGACATTGAATTTATTCAAGTTGGTATTCGCGAAACATCAACCTCTTTGCGAGACGATAAGTATTTCCCGAGTCCCAAACCTGGTGTTGAGGCACAAACCCCGCTCTCATTCACTTTCTTATAGGTGTTGCAGACAGATTAAGATCAACCTCGCGGTGACAAATTAGTTGCCCGGTTTCTTTGGTACGTCCTGAAAGAGATTGTTACTACCATGATGAAACACTCACCATAATGCAATGTCCTAATACATGCCCCACTTAACGTGTTTGAAGTCCTCGGATTAAATCTAAATGTTCGCTCACGGGTTTCATATCAGGTGCTTCCTTATGACTGCCGAGCGAAAATGACACATTTACTACAAAAACAGCCATGGTTCCAGAGCAACTTGTCTCCCAACTTGAGCCTCCAAATCATCTTGACGTTCACGATGAGTCAGACGTCCCCCGTGGCTCCTCCTGCAACCCACACGACCACTCGCTCCGAGCCCTCAGAGTTCATTGTACTACCCGACCTCCTCGGTGATTGCCACTATCGCCTACGAGTAAATCCTCACTATGATATGGTCTCTCGCGCTTCTGAACAATGGCTGTTTGACGAAGGGCGTCTTGTAGAGCCCGAAATCACCAAATTCGTGGGTCTGCGCGCAGGTTACCTCACTGCAGCTTGCTACCCTGATGCGGATCCTTTCCATCTCCAAGTCTGTTCAGACTTCATGAACTGGTCGTGGAAAATGGATGACTGGCTCGATGAGTTTGATGTTGACAGTGTCTTGGGTATGCGTGAATGCTGTATTTCTGCATTCAGAGATCCCATCAACTTTCATACGAACAGAACTGCTGGAAAGATGTGCAAATCGTACGTCGTATGTTTTTTATCGCCCTCCTTCTCATCGTCTTCATGTGGCTTTTAGATTCTTCAGTCGCTTCAGGGAGACGGGCGGCCCCGGCTGTACCGAGCGATTGATCCACACAACGGACTTGTACTTCATTGCTGCGGCGAAGGAGGTGGACCACCCTGCAAAGGGACACATCCATGATCTTGAATCTTATATCACCTTCAGGAGAGATACGAGCGGCTGCAAATGTTGCTTTGCCCTCATCGAATACGCAGCTCAGATTGATCTCCCAGATGAAGTAGTGTCGCATCCAGTCATGATGGCGACGGAGGGTGCAGCCAATGATCATGTCTCTTGGGTCAACGTAATGCTCTATCATTGTCGAACGCCAAGCTCCTGCTGATATACTCTTGACAGGATATATGTTCTTACAACGTGGAGCAATCTCGCAATGTGTCACACAATCTGATTGCCCTGCTCATGCGCGAACGAGGCCTGGACTTGCAAGACGCTGTCGATTACTCTGGCCAGATGTGCAAGAGTGCTATGCAGCGTTTTGAAGACAACCGTGCTATCCTCCCGTCGTGGGGGGAAGAGGTTGACAGACAGGTAGCCATCTATGTTCAAGGGCTGCAGGACTGGATCATCGCTAATTACCACTGGTCCTTCGAATCCACCCGTTATTTTGGCAAGGATGGGGAGGCTGTCAAGCGGGACCGAATCATCAAGTTACTTCCCAAGAGGCCCTTGTAGAATCTATGTGATACGCGTGTTGCACCAATTTCTCTAGGTGAGATGATTTTCACGCTTTCTTGCGCTACACAGATCTGACTGCGACGACTCGCGTCACAGAAAGCTAAAGTTTTTTGTTTTTACTCCAAAATATACATAAAATCCTACCTTACCATGTTTTTGGCCAGCCTTCGCGGTCGTGCGCACTGTGTATCATATTGTATGATGTACCTGATTAAATCGTAGCAGCCATGAGACATATCTGAGAGCTCCCCGTTTGCTGTCGTTCTCGCGAATTTGTGGGTATGGAAAACAATCACTTTGTCGTTATTCACATCATACTAGTATACCGCAGCAGACTCGCCTTTGAACTATTGTTCTGACTTCAAATTTCAAACCAAGCCACAAAATCAAAGACGGTAGTCTAAAGAAAGACCGGCTTTCTTCAGGGCAAATGAAACTCATCAGGGTGACTATGGCAAACTTCACATAACAAACATCCCTGCAGTGCAGCTATCGGCACAGGTAAGCAACGTTACTCCGTCCTAGCCAGAAGAATTCAGTCAGGCGTGATCCAGTTGGCGGCAGCTTCTGCCACAGTACTATCAGTGTGTGTGGCACTCACCTCGGACTTTGCCTCCTCCGCAACCTATATACTCACCTACATCCCATTTGCTAGTGTCCGAGTTGACGCTAAATCCATTCGAAAGGACCAACGCTAGAGTCTCTCGAAGAATGCTTTGCAACTCCGGGGATGAACTGATATGGGACCAGATGGTAGTTGATTAATTCGTGTTCTCAGCTAAGTTCAAGCTTCAGTTTTAAATTCCTAGCTGGCGTACGCAGTTCCGTGAAAGTCAGAGTTATAGACGATCTAGGGGTAGGTTTGTCAGTGCGGTGGATAAAATGATTTGAGCGGTGTTGGGCAGGCGAAGGAATGTCGAACCCATCGGCAATTCAACCGAATATTTTATTGAGGATTTATTCCTCGCTGGAAGATTATCACAACGCCGATCATGATCAAGATGGACAAAACATGAAGTCGTCTGATCCGTGGACCTAAGTACTCAGTAGCACCGACCTCGGAGACTGGGTGAAGAAGTTCGGAGGAACTATCAGACGGGTTGAAACTGGAATGTTGACTGCTTACATAATTATATCGGGCAAACAACGGGCCAGTACTAGCTGGCAGCGCCATCTCCACCCAAGGCCCTTCACTGAGTCTGTGTCTGAGGGTATCGTTTTTTATTAGTATCACTGGTGATTCAAGATGTCGACTTCTCCCGCCGCTGTTCCCACCACTCCGAGCCTTCACACGGGGGAGTCCTACCAGGAGAAAGCTTGGAGAAAATTCAGGGAGCAACCATTAGTCCCTATTGGTTCGTATGAGAGTCGTACTCTCTGGTTGTGCCCCTCCAAAATTGACTGTCCTCGGTGTATATCCAGGTACTCTTGTGACATGCGGTGCACTTTTAATGTCGGTGGTCAAAATGAGACGCGGCGACTCCCAATCACTGAACAACTGGCTACGTGTTCGCGTCATTGCTCAAGGTGCAACTATCGCTGCCGTCTGTGCAGGAACCTATGTAATGAGCTCGAATGTCGGTGATGAAACGAAACAGACCAGACAACTCGACGAGATACAGGCACATCGGGAAGCTCGTGCAGGCAGGGAGCGAAAAGAGTTCGAGGACCGTTTGAAGGATGCGGAAAAGCAGTGGAAAGAGACTCAAGACATTGTATCAGGGAAAGACTTGAGAACAAATATCGCCAAGGGAATCTCGACCTCCAAAGCGCTGCCTGTCGTTGAAGGCCAAACGCCCCAAAGTTCTTCATCACAGTCTGGTTCAAGTTGGCGGAGATATGTTAGATGGCCGTGGAGCGGATCTTCTGCCCCCTCAAGCTCCAGTTCAGGAGGCGACAGCAAACCTTCGTGATACAACAATCTACATTGCCTTCCGCAGATTATGATACACTACGCATTGACATTAGTCCTCAACGTCATGTGCATATCCACTGGTGAATGACATTCTGACTCGGAGATTGAGGTGGAGAACTAGCTGAACGTGATAAATCTCTACTTTGCTTTCATCATCCAAGTATCTGGTATCTTCGGTCATGTATCTCCTCGAGTACCAACGTCGCTTTGTTCTTCAACTGCCAGCCGAGAACCCCCATACAACTGATTGACGACTGCACTACGTCTCAATACTGCAAGCTCCTTCACAGCCTCGTTATATGCTTGTGAAAGCTTGATAGGGTCTTGTTCCGCCTGGGTTTGGGACATTATAATACTATTCTTGTCGAATTATGGAGTATAAACGTACTTGCATCCCTTGAAATGTGTCCTCCGTTCTCGAGACAAAGTAGTTGCGGAAGTTGTACGAACTGAACGATTTCGCTGTCCGCAGAGTGGATGTGTAGAGGCTTAGTATGGCCTTGCGAGAAGGTGGAGTTGCCATTGCTCTAAACTAAGGTGGAGGTAGCGAATGAAGGCCTTGAGAGATACGCAGTCGTCAATTTCGTCGGTGAGACTGGTCTCTGTTAGACCAAAGGAAAACAAACAATCTTTCGTATGTGCGAAACAGTCAGCAGTAAGGAACAGCGTTTGTGTCAGCACGTGATCTACATTGACGCTAGCCTTGGCCTTGTACATGTATTAAAGTACAAGCAAAAATGCACCTACCAAGCCTGTCAAGGTACCCGCCAGTACCGTTGCCCAGACGTATCAGGTTGTTTTTGGAATTTTGAATTTTAGTCGTGAGATACTTTGCTCGCCACAACCAAAACATTAGTTCATTGCTGTAGGCAGGAAGTACTCGCGGGTGACAATGAGTATACATCTCGTGCTGATGAGTCTTCGTATATATGAGGAAGGGGGGGGATTGAAACCCCGAACGAACATGAACTTCACGTCACGCCCGCGTGTTTTGGGTGCGGATCTATGGGACAGGACAGACTAAGTAGAGTACGGTACAGGCAGCAGGGGAAGCGCTACGAGAATCCCGGATACTACACGTCTGAAAAACCCAAGGGTCCGAGAGTGAACCGTGAGGAGGCCACGAAGACCACCCAGACACGACAAGGCCGAAGGACACGTCAAGAACCGACGAAACGGAAACGAACATCAGGATGGGAAAGGCAGGAGACGAAACCCAACAATGGGATGGTCGTGGACGACGGACTGCGTCTATGGATCCGAGGAGCTACGAAGTGAATGAGCGAGGAGGGGAGTAAGCTTGGGGCCCAGAAGCTCAGCGTGGAGTGGGGCAATGTGTTCGAGCAGACACCAATAGCGGAGGAAGGAATCTGAGGACCAACGGCCCATGACTTTGACAATGTGAGGGGGCACATTGCGCAGGAGAAGTTCCATGGTGCCCCCTATGCGAAAGCAATGCCTGGAGATGTGCGGCATGTTGTGAGTGTTCCAGACTGCATTGCAGATGAGAAGGAATTTGCGCTTAGTGAGAGAGACCAGCTTGCCCCCACCCACATCATATGTGAACAGGTGAGAAGAATGGGGGGCGCTGAGAATAGCTGGACTTGCCACCAGGTGCGCTAAGAGAGCAGAAATGGGGTCTGAGGCACCCAGTTGGCGGCCCAGAAAAATGTCTTCCCCTTTCTCCTTTGCAACCTTGGTCCAGGGTAAGCGGCACATCAAGGATTCGCCAGAGGATGAAAGGTTGCGAAGAGAAGATGGAGTGGGGAAGAATTTTGGGGAGAAGCGGGACTGAGAAGTGGGAAGGAACTCGCCAAGACGACCCTGTCCCCAGAAAACGGCATCGGCGCATGCCAGCACACACGCATGGAGAGGGATAGAGTTGTCGAGGGAGGCGTGAAGGACGTCGAGCATCTCCGAGGAGACTGGAGGACGAGGTGGGTGTTTTGAGGAATCGGGTGTGAGGCGTACCGCTGAACGCAGCATGTATTTCAAATGAGTGCCGCCAAGCCATATAGCGCCGTTGGCAATGTGCCAGGCCCGCAAGCCGAAGATGTCGTTCGCGACTGATGAGCCAGAGCAAGTGCCTGCCCTTTGGGCCGCGAAAGCGCAGAGGACCCATTCAGGGATTGGGAGGGAGATTGGAATATTGTTGGAGGCGCAGAAAGAACGGAAACGGTTTATACCCCCTTGATAGCCTTCAAGGGTCTCCTGTTTCCAGGCATGTAGAGTCACAGCCTTAATGAGACTATGAAAAGTATTGAAGGAGTCCATTGAGGGAAGAGTGAAGAGACTTAGAGTGTGAGGCGGGTTGAAGAACAGACGAGCACGTGATCGCAGCATGAATTAATTATGAATAGGTAAAATAGCAAGTGGAGAGAGGGCTACGGCAAGAAATGACTATTGATGTAGAACGACAAAGTTGCGCAAGTGGTAGGGAATACGAGGAGCGTGTGAGAAGCGCTTTGCGGATGCAACAAAAACACCGCGAGACGGAGCGTCCGCGAGATTCTCCGCTGAGGGCACCCAGTTCGTCGAAAACCAGAGGGAATGTTCTTGGAATAGAAAGATGATGCGACACAGAATGGAATTTTGCTCCGCATTTCGAGACATGCCGGCTTTGAAAGCACCGACGATGCCCTGATTATCGGAGTGAAGAATAAAGTGAGCATTACGAAAACCTGCAGCTATGACGCATCGCAAGCCTAACTCCATGGCTACCATCTCAGCCCATCCAATATCTCGGCCCTCTGCCTGCCAGCCATCCAGCAGCCGCCAAGCCAACCAACGGTCGTTCCACCAAAAGCCGATCCCAAACGAAGTTGAGGCGTCCATGAAGATGGGCACAGGGTGAGCAGTAGGAGGAATGATGATAGACATGCCGCACCAGGCCGATGATAGCTGATCTCGCCACCAGCTGATATCATCCGTAACGAAGGATGGGACCGTGCGCGTCTCGAAACGGGAGGAGGCAACTGAGAATTTTGAAGAGAAGCGATAGAGCGATGCGAGATGAGAACGACCGGCAATCACAACAGCAGAACAATGATTGAGGGTACCAATGAGGACGGCGCACTCGTGAGCTGAAACTTTTGCTCCCGCAAACCAACCCTTGAGACACTCGAGGTATTTGATCCTCTTGTCGTGAGGGATGCAGACAGTTTTGGCTTCGAGATCCCACTCGAAGCCAATATAAATGAAGAGAGCAAGAAAATTGCGAAATTTTTCAGGGGACCAGGGCCAACCGAGGTACTCCGCTATTGCCCAAATGAGAGAAGCATCGAAAGGAAAAATATATTCGCCTGGCGTTGACTATCAGGGCAGCCGACGAAGACGGAAATAAGAAGTTACCTGAAGGCAGGCGCTCTTTGGGATAACAGAAGAAAAGAAAATCATCCGCCCATTTCAGAATGTCCTCAATGGACTTTGCATGAAAAATGGCGACGATAGCGTCTGCGCAACGGCCGAAGATGCCGGACGAACTTGCGCAACCAAAACAGCAGCAGTGGTCAACGTGAACTTTCCCATTCCAAGAGATACAGACGTGGCGACGATCCTCCAGGGCTACTGGCATTCGACGATGAGCAGCATCTACGTCGAAGACCGCTGCTTGAGAACCGGGGGGGGCACGCGCAACAAGAAGGTAACAGTGGGCAAAAGTGCCCCAATCACATTTGAAAGAATTGGGATCGATTTCAGAGTTAATTGAATGTATGATAGGATTACGTCGGGGAAATGAATGGTCCTGAATAAGACACTTCTTTTTTGGAGTAACGACAACGCCTAAAGGCGCCGTGCGATAAGGGCCGAAGAGCCGTTCGAAATCTGCAGGATCGTACCCAATGGAATATCTGCCTGCTGCAAGTTCTTTTTCAATCTGGGAATTAATGAAGTCGGCGTGTTCGAGAGCCGAAGAATGATTAGGAGGAGAGAAGGTAGCAATAATGGAAGAAGAAACACCAAGACGAAAGCCGTCGCGAAGGCCGATCGGAACATCATAAAACGTATCAAGAAGACCATAAGCATCAAGAAGCTCTTCCCATTTGTCCCATAAGAGAGGGGTGACAATGGGAAGCAAATCAAGACGTGGAGGGGGCATGAGACTGGGCGTTGTGGCCTGCTGACTCCTCGCCACAGATGGAGCATTTATGAGCGAATGGGCAGGGGCGCTTGGAACAGCCCTTGACGCCGTTGAACAGGAAGCAAAGCAGCTCGTTTGCAGAGGAGCGCCACTTCCCGTCACCATGTTTCGTGATGAAGGCGTTGGAAGAGGCTTTGCAGTCGCGGGGGGAATGTTTCCCTGCACAGAACCAGCAGATGCCGATAATTTCAGAAGGGGCCTTGGTAATTGGTCTCTCTGAGGGGGGCAAGGAAGAGGAGGCTTTTGCCGGGGCACGAAAGGATTGGTTACGAGTGACCTGAGCCTCTAACGAAGCAATTCGCGAGACGAGGGCAGACTCAGACTCTGTCTTTACAAGATCTAGACAGTGCGAGAAGATACACGGCTGGAAAATGCCAGGATTGAAATCGGCCGAGTTATTCACCCAGTGTTGACGAATCATAATGTCGTAGTGCACATAGGCTGCAAAGTTGTGTTGAAAGTCGTGGGCGCGAAGGACCCCTTCATAATGTCTTCGAAAGGACTCGGCAATCTCAGCTTTAAAAGGCAAGTTCAAGTGATGTCCAATGAGGATAGGCAGCATGCGAGCAGCTTCGCAGAAATCAGGGTATGAGATAGAAGGTTCATTTGCAATGTCGAATTCCGTCGGCGCTTTTGCGTAATGCAGCGTCGCGCTGTCATGCATGGTATGCAGTCCATACCATGACATGTGTGCTATACAAAAGATAAGGAAGGTATAATGAACTGTACTCTACCATATCACCAAGTGATTCTATCATTTTTCATTGATTCATCAGTCTGTTTTCTGAAGCCTCATTTCTCGTGTTTCATTTCTCGTATTATACACGGGGATTTCTATGTATTTCTATTTTGTTCTGTGACCTTCCATTTCTTTCTATTTTTCTTGGCTTATTCATCAGACTTTCTCCCTAGCTGACTGATCATGTTTGTAATCAGGTCATGTGACTGGGGAATAAGGTGATTTGTAAGGATTCAGCCTGACTCATCGTGTTTTGTCACTGATTCGTCATGGTTTGTAAGACTTGCAACTGTATTTATAATCTTCTTAGTAATCAGGATGACTCAGCTCACCAAAAGGCTTGGTTTGTAAGCACACCTTACCAATCCATGAGATGACTCATACCTTTGATTCATCATGCTTTGTAAGATAACAGTGTATTTATAATGTACTTAGTAAAAAGGCTGACTCAGCACACCAAATGGTAGGATTTGTAAGCACATTCTTACCAATCCATGTGATGAATCATGCTTAGTAATCTGGCCTCCAAAAAGGTATAAAAGGAGCCCATTTTACACCCATGCATAATATAACTTCCCACTTTAAACCTAATATCACTAATCTGAGAGTGATCAGGCAAGACATAGTCAAAGTGCAGGCAAACCAAGTGCCTTGAAGTAAGACTAAGACAAACTTACACTTTAAACCTATCCCACTAATCTGAGAGTGAGATCAAGGCAAGACATAGTGAGAGTGCAAGTACTATCATTTCAACAAAGTAACTTCAGGTTAAAGAGCCCACAGGTAGGCTGTCCAGATAACTAAGTTACTCATCACTACTTTACTGAGCCAAGCTCTACGTACACTTAACAAAGACCTCTCTCTTTTACAGGAAGGGAGATACGAAACAGGAGAACATGACAAAGTTGAGACAAACTTTCATAGGTTGAAACACGACCTACTAGGGTGAAACATACCTATCATTTTTTTTCAGACACAACAAATCCACAGACACAGTTTATATAGTTTCTTCAAACAAGGAGGTAACTTGTTTACTCTTTGACCACCCACGAACAACACGTTATCAACCGAGAAGTAGAAAATCTGTTGACCGTGAACTTGAGGAGCTGGCAACTTCTAGTCTTATCAAAGTGTAGTTGTGATTGTCACTACATTTTACACTGATTTTATATAAGACCCTCAAGTAAGAAGACAGCGCGGGTTAGGTCAGCCAACAGACTATTAATTGGAAAATAAGTCTGCCAGCCTTCCTTTAGGATATGGACTACCAGGCCATGGTCGATTAGATTATTTGGATCTAGTTGCATAGCCGGGTCCGCAGGTGGAAGACCGTGAACACATGCTTTAAGGCCCACCGAAGGAGCAGGAAGGAGGTCTGCAGGAGCATGAACTGGCAGAGGAACTTAGTCGCATGACCACAAAAAGGAAGGGAGCCGCACGGCGAACTGGCAGGATAAGCAAGAAAAACTCGAGAAGAACGCTAAGTGCGAACTTCGAACGAGGAAGATCCCCGAAAGGGAAGGAAAGAGGAACGAGAGGAGGGAAGGGTACTCACCAAGTCCAGGAACTGCCGCTGGATGATTGGCCAGCAAGGCATTGAACAGAGGATGCTGGAGAATAGATAGAACCTGGTCTGCTGATAGGGGAGGGGCCGAGCTGACGACGGTGGGAGTTGATGAAGGAGCTGCTGGAGGTGCTGATGAAGGAGCTGCTGAAGGTGCTGATGATGAAGGGGCCGCTGGTGATGGAGACGGTGCGGGTGCAAAGGCCGTAGGTCCCGAAAAGGCTGAGAGCAGAGGGGAAGGAATGGCGGGGATGGAAGGAAAGGCTGGAGAAGGAAGGGCTGGAGCCGGAGAGACTGAGGGTGAGGAGATTGAAGGTGATCCACTAAACGCCGAAGCGGAGGAAGCAGAGGAAGCCGCCAAAGAAGCCCAGAAACTGGGAGCTGGTTTTGGCAAGTGAGATAACGGATAGAGCTTCTTAGCAGGCTCGGGTTTGATTGGAGCTTTCTCTTTCCCTTTCCCTTTCTTAGCCGCGCTGCCACCTCGTGGACGCTTTGCAGATGGGCGAGAGGGTGAGGCAACCTCAGAATCTAACATCTGTGGAGGGGAAGTGGGGAGGCGTGGGCGCCGTGAGCCTGTCTTCGGAGAAGTTGGAGGGTCCAAGACCAGTTTTGGCACAGTGCGAGCAGCAATTAGCGCGGCTTCAAGCTCATCCTGCCTGTCGGTGGGGGACCCTGGGTCTGAAGAAGGAGCCGGGGATGGGGAGCGGGAGCGGAAATCCATGGATCTGGGGGGAGATAGTGACGACGCAGGGCGTGAAGAGCAAGGAGGATTGGGGCGAGAGGAAGAGGAACGAGGAGGGTTGCGACGAGAGGAACTGCTCATATGCGAGAGAGAAGCAGCACCTAGAGCACCAGGAGTCCGAGGGAGAGGACACGAGCAGCAGGATGCAGCAGAGCTTCTGAACCGCTGAGTGCAGAGGAGGAGGACGACAGGGGGGAAAGGAGATGCGCGTCGTCAATGACGCCATACTTCAGACTCCGACTCGGCACGAGACTCGGCTCTGTGGCGTTCGTGCCTCACACCTAGAGTCCCCATCAGGAAAACCCTCCCGCCCTAAATTTGTTCAAATTATCTGTATTATCCAAATTTTCGATAATTGATCTAATTAGCATAATACCTATTAGATTGTTATGCCTGGATCATCATATACAGTGGCTGATATGTATGTGCAACTATTTTAAATACACAGACAGCACACTACACACACACATAGCGGACTCGCATCATTGAATGGCGCCACAGCAGCAGCACCTAGCTTGGACTGAGGTGAAGTCCCTAGTCGGCCTTGTATGTCGTCTGGAAGGTTGCCGACAGCGCCGAGCTTCAGCCTGGCAAGATCCATGGCAAGATCCCAGTTGAGCGATGTGTCTGGATCGACAAGCTAGCCCGAACCATTGAGTCGCCATCGTTGAGCATTGTTTGGGACACGCTCAGACGGATGACTAGAAGTTTCGGTTTTTGACATGTCACTAAGATTCGTATGAACAGGCATTGCTGCTGAAAGTTTCTGGATCGAAGTTGGACGGGAGATGTAGGATGAGAGAGGTGGCGGCGAGTCTTGCGTGGATGAAATGTTCCAAGTCTTGAGGAATACATAAGAAGGTTGTCTAAAGAGATAAAGCATGGCTTACCTCAGGCGCGAAGTCTGGGCTCAAGTTGTGATTAGGCAATAGCATGGGTTTGGGATACCCATGTGGGTCATGGGTAGGGGTACTCATGGGTTGGGTAGGGGTCTCAGCTTGTTGACCCTTCAAATACCCATACCCCTGAGTATGGGTTGGTGGGTATTTAGCTCGAGAACATTTGAACATGAAGGCAATTCAACTGTACAGTTTTACCCTTATATGGCACATCATCACAAACCTTGAATGAGGATTTGCCACCCAAATCTATTAAGGAAATACTTCTAATCTAAGAACTACTTCTACCTGAGAAAATTTCATACTTCGGATCAATGGCAGACAAAAGACAGTGCAAGCCCACCGAAAAGGCACGAGAATTCTTATCAAATGTCAAACAGATCATAAAACGCAAGGCAAGTCATGAACTTACCTCCAAAAGGTCGGGGAAGCGTCCCATGACCGTGGCATCAGATTCCGAAGACTCGCCAACTCCTTCGACGCAAAGCCATCGAGCAGTCGTCCGGACCGAGGAAGAGGAAGAGGCTCTTCACAGTGATAACGAAGTTGTTGAGGTCTCCTCCGAACATGAGGATGTTGATGACAATTCGGAAACTGAACTTGGTATGCCTGTATACATAAGCAAGGTGATGATTTAGTTAACATTTGAGCATAGAACATTTGAAGGGGGACTGGAACTCACCTGTGTATGGATTCTATCACCCGATTCCGGAAATTGGGTACCATGAGGGCCGCCGCTTCCACGAATTCAAGTGCGCAGCAACGAGCTGCAAGAAAGGGGTCCGTTGTTACCTTGACAAGAAGGATGCGAAGTCGACCAGTAATATGCGGAAGCACGCTAAGATCTGTTGGGGTGAAGAGACTGTTAAGCTCGCTGATGGAACAAAAAATGCTCAAGAGGCACATACCATTATCTCTGGGGAAAAAGACGGCTCTATCACAGCATCGTTCGAACGCACTGGGAAAGGCAAGGTCACATATTCGCACCAGCAACACACAAGAACAGAAACGAAGTACGTACTCGTGTTGTGATTGTGCTGATGTTGAGGTTGATGGTGGCAACAGAGCAGAGATCGTCCGCTGGGTAGCTGAAAGCCTGCGACCATTCACGATCGTCAAAGATCGTGGCTTTCAGTCGTTAATGAAAACGGGTAGGCCTGAGTACTACATACCTTCTCCATCGACGGTCTCGCGCGACGTCAAGCTCGTGTTCGTTCACACATGACAACGAATTGCTAAGATGCTACAAGTTCAGTACCCTCACTATACTTAAACTAAATCTCATATATTACCAGGAATATGATGGACAATTGAATTTCGCCACCGATGCGTGGACTTCGCCAAACCACAAGGCATTCGTGGCAGTATCAGTACATCTAGAGCAAAACGGAGAGCCGTTAGCCATGATTCTAGACATAGTGGAGGTGGCAGAGGCAAGATAATCTAATACATACCTAGAAAACTCATTAACCGTCTGATATTCAGTCACACTCCGGCGAAAATCTTGCAGTGGCCTTTGAAAAGATCCTAAAAGAGTTTGGTATATCAAAGAAGGTGAGCACAAACAAACAAACAAATGGACAAGGACAATACTTACCAAGTAACTTGTAGATGTTGAGTTTGACGGCTGATAATGCCAGCTCGAACGACACGCTGACAACAGAACTCGCCAAGCGAGTGGATTCGTTCAGCGGTGCAGTGAACCGAACACGATGCTTCCTACATATCGTCAATCTTGTTGCGCAGTCGATAATCAAACAGTTCGACGTACCTAAACATGCACAGGCAAGTTTGGAAGATGACTGGCTGATGCCTGAAGCCATGGATGTCCTGGATGACAAAGATCAGGACGAGCGGTTGTTGCAAGAACTTGCAAATGGGTCCAAAAATGATGATGCACGCACCATTGCAGAAAGAGGCGAGGGTAATCCAGAGGACGCTGATATAGACGATATGGATGGGTGGGTTGATGAAGTCGCAAACCTGACAGCACACGAGCGTGCTGAACTACACAAGACACTGCGGCCTGTGAAGCTCGTCCTTGTGAAGGTAAGCCTAAACCAGTGATGACTAATCACTCACGCATTCATCGTGCACCAGCTTCGCAAGCTCGCCTTCAAGATTGTGCACTCATCCACACTCCTATTGCCTGTGTGGAAGGCACTTCTACCAGAGCTGGAATTAGCGGTCCGTATCATGCCTCGCGACGTATCGACGAGGTGGAATTCTACCTATGATATGCTGGACTTTGCGGTGGAGTACCGGCAGGCACTTGACAACTTCACTGGCGACCACAAGTTCGGGTTGCGGGACTTCGAGCTCAGTGAATGAGAGTGGACAATAGCTAGACAGTTGCGCAATATCTTAGAGGTGAGTTGTGCAGTCTTCGGTTTGAGTTTACTCACGCCAGGCACAGATCTTGAAAGATGCCACAACATACTTTTCACGCTCAACACCAAATCTCGCTACCGTTATTCCAGCCATTGATCACATTGACGAGTCACTCACAACTCACTCTTTTGACAAGCATTTGAATAGCGCCATTCGCGCTTCTCTCGCAGTGGGCAAGAAGACATTAGATAGGTACTATTCACTTACTGACACGTCTCAGACATACCGTATCGCAATGGGTATGTCTCTGTTTTGTTTTATATTCAATTCTATACTAACAATACATTTTGAAGTGCTTCATCCCCGGCACAAACTCACCTACTTCAAGAATGCTGGATGGGAGCAGGACTGGATCCAGACAACCTCCAACCTCGTGCGCGAGGAGTTCGACTTCTCGTATGCTGATATGCCCATTGATCCACTCAATGAAGAGTCCAAAGGTGATGACCATGGATCACAGCTTCGAAAGGTAAGTTAATTGACTAGTATGCTTTAGCGCTGACCAGATATGATTTTACAGGCATCAAAAAAAGACAATATATTCGATCAATTACCTGCTCTTGCAGCTCCGAAGCGCACAGTCACTGACGAGCTTGCATCATACCTTGCCACCGAGTGCGAGCACGTCCCAAATGTGATTACATGGTGGCATGAGCACCGAAAAACATATCCACGTCTCTCCCGCATGGCGCTCGACTATCTAACAATTCCCGGTACGTTCAACTAACTTCTTGCTTATGCCCCACACTTAAATACTAACACTATCAACTCAGCTACGTCTGTCGACGTTGAACATATTTTCAGCCGAGGACGTCTTCTGCTATCTCACGTTCGGAGCCAGCTATCTTCACAAACCATTCGAGCCTTATTGTGCGTCGGCATTTGGAGCAAGCTGGGATTGGTACACGACAATGATGTGAAAGCTGTTGCTGTGCTAGAGGATGTCGAGGGTGAGGAATCGAAGCTGCTTGATGGCTGGGATGCCATTAAGATTTAGTTAGTATATTGTTTGTACCTACTACAGTGTCTATTCGAGTTTCTATTCGAGTTGCAATGCATGGGTCATGGGTTACCCGCCATGGGTTATATACCCATGATACCCACATGTACCCTTGTCGAAACCCGTACCCGAGCTGACCCTTGGGCCATGGGTACGGGTAAGCGGTGGGTATGGGTCCGGGTAAGCTCGTGGATACCCACGGGTTACCCATGCCATTGCCTAGTTGTGATGTTCAAGGAGACTTTGGGTCCAAGCAGGTGCACCCGTTGATTGTGATCGAGCTGGAATGGATTTTCTTGAGCCTGATTCGCGTGCAAAATACAAATTGTGTGTGGTCCGAAGATCCCTGAGCAGTGGGGAAGCGTGCTTTCAATTGCTGGAGAAGGACGAGAGCAGTGAAGGTCACAAATGAGTGCAACTTCATGCGGCAGAGGGCATATGCGATGAAATGCGGGAGCTTGACTTGGGAGTTAGAAGAAGATGGGGGGGTCGGCAGGCCTAAGTGTCGGAATGTCGAATCGACATGGCATGTCACGGTCACATGGGGGTGTGATGACAATCGAAGTCTCATGTACGATGTCTTCCTTGCAACACCACTCCTTCCTTCGGGTGCTTTGTATCGTGAGGTGAAGTTTTCTGGTAATGAGCAACTCAACAAGGACATGATTGGCCATGTGGTGGATGCTTACTCGCACCATGTTCTTGTTGACTCCACATCTGAGATTTTGATATCTGACATTCAAGGTATGTCTCGTGTTTTTGATTCCGAACAGCTGAGTATTGATACTAATGGACTTCGCAGGCATCATAGCTCCAGACCATAGTGTCATATTGTTCGATCCTCAAGCTCATATGTACGTTCCTTTCACGGCCGCTACCATCTTTAGCGTGTCCATATCTGACCACTACTACACTGAGAATTGTCACAAACATTGTCATGACCCAAAAATAGGATTGTGACACATGCACATAGGGTTATGGTTGACGGAAGGATTTCCGGAAATGTTGCATAGACCATAAATTAAATATAACCTCGACACCGGCCTTCCTGGGTATTGCTGACAGCCGAGCCAACCTTTGCACAAGGTCTGCACAAGGGATGAGCAACCAAGGGAGCAAAATAATACCACAATGTTAGCGCGGTAACATGAGAGTAAGGTTAATATCAGGTCCCATCGACACTTCATCACCATTGCATGTATACCATGGTGACATTAAAACTCAACTATATATATATCAGAACATAAACTTCCAGCGACGGTAAAAAATATGGGAGCAATCCATCATTATTATCATGGTGTATCTAAAGTATAGTAGGACATAACATAAGAATCACCAAATAAGTTTGCTATGAATTGTCTTTTGCCAGTCCACAGTCACGGAGTCGAGGGATGGAGCGAGGGACGTTGTACTCGGGTATTTTCGTAAGTCAGCTTGGAGGACCTCTGTGAAAAATCTATACAAATCAATGATGAGATCAAATTAACGCACAAAATTCAAGAAGCAGTGAAACACACTGTTTAACGAATTCTTCAGCTGCCTGTGTCGTAGATGTATTCTTCTTAGCGTCATCCCTGAGCTCACCCAAAAGAACATCAATATAGCTCCAGTATTGATTAAACGTCCAAGTGCACTGTGTGACTGTTGAAGGGCTGGAATCGGCCTCGTCACCTTCCATATCTGCTGGCACGTGTTCATGGTTGCTGTTCAAAGTGACTTCCTCTTGGGACTTTGCGCTCTCTGCAACGACAGTCCGGAATTGGATCAGTGAAGAACGCTAGATTAGAGTGAGTGGAAGACATGGCGGGGTTTGTGAATCAACTTGCCAGAAAGGCCACACGAGACCAGTGTGCTGAAGTAATCTCGGTGCAGTTACCTGATAATGACCGACAGAGCGCATGGATATTTGATCCTCTATCAGCGGAAGTAACGATCTGTGTTCAAAACGTTAAAAATATCATAGCAGCTCAGGAATCGACAAACCTTTTGTTTCATGCTTCCGCGCTGCTGCATAAGCAGTTCCTTAATCATCGAGTCCAACTTATTCATAAGTTCGAGATCCTGCAGGGCGGCGAGGGGTATCTTGAATACAGAAGGGTGTTTCTTTACGAATTCCTGGAACATGTTAATCTTTATTTGTCAGATAAGAATAAAAAAACTCACGAAGAGGTTCTGAGACAAGTGCATCACATATCCTGAGAGATTCGGAGACAATAGGCAAGCGCGAAGCCTGTCGGTGAGTGATTGCTTGAAGCAATGTAAGAATAGTAAATATATGAGAGTCAGACCTGTACCTTGAATTCCGCCGAGCTAATGAGCTCACGAGCATCATCTCTCGCCTTTCGCTTGTCTAGGGCAATGAGATGCCCCATGATGTTTAGTAGCATCTCCTTTTCGGGTTTCTGCATGGATGGATGAATCTTAGTACACTTATACTGTACATCCTGATGATTTAGACTTACTGTAGCAAATTCTTCTAGCGCATCATCAGGTAACCCATTGGTCCTGCAAACGTCTGTAGCGCAAGTCTTGAGCCGCTTGGTCTCAGCCTCTGACTCTGTAGATTTGATCCGTCGTCTGACCTCGCCTCGTGTGACTGACCGAAGTGGTGTTCGTGCCGCAAGTGGGGATGACGGCAGGCTAGATGTAGCAGCCCGGGGGAACAATGATACAGGTGCCTGTTGGAGTCGGAATTGACTGAGGTAGCTCATACCCAGCACTGCGCGATGAACACACTGAACAGAGACGGTGTCAGAGTCAGCCCGAACGTGATGCGTTGCACGTGACCGAAAATCCATTGGCAATAAGTACAACTGATATTGGTAAATTTGAATCTGCGTAATCGTACTTGTAACTTGGGGTAAAAGAAAGTAATACAACATTGTGAGCGCGTGATGTGAAATCAGGTGGACTGAGTTACAGGATCAACAAGTTCTAAGATAGCATGAAGTCCGTCGTGATTTCCGGTGACAGCGTGTCGCGAAATTATTTTCTTAAATGCCTCCCTTGATACATGCTTGGGGTGGGCTGCGCTGTCTCCCATGTCACAAATCACCGATGGTCTCTGGACCACGATGTTCATCCCGCTGTCGGATAAGGCGAATCTTTTCGTGGCGGCATCAAGAGACAACCCTGGTGCATTCAATAATTTCTTGGCAGCTTGCACGCGCTCAGGGGTTGTCTGGGAGGAAGACAGTGCCTCTCTCCAGAGGAATGACTGTGTAATGCGGAAGGTCTTGTTGTTTCTGGGAAGTCCAGACGCGACTGCTAGCTTCGCTTGCGCGAGATCAAGTAAGTGGCGGAGTAAAATGCGATCCATGAGTTTGGTATCCTAGCCAATAATTCAAGCATCATAATTGCATTAGATAGTTGATACTTACCGCACCACTAACCCACCAGCGGTTTCGATGTGCTCATCTTCAATCTCCTCGATCCTCATTAGCATGTACGATTTCTCTTTCTCGCTAGCTTCCTTCTCCTTATCACTAGCTTCCTTCTCCTCCGCCCGAAGCTTCTTCTCCTCGAGAAGCGAACTCTCAAGGTCCTGAATCCGTGAGCTGTCCTGCTGTTGCTTATCTTCCAGGTCCTTGATGCGTTGTCTGTCCTCTTGTTGTCTGTCCTCCAGGAATTTGATGCGCGATTGGTCAAGGGTATGCTCTTGCTTGAGGATGTTGCATTGATGTTGAGTGTCCTTCAGCTGCCGCTCCACCTCCTTGGCGTATCGCTGAAAATTTAGTTTCGCGTCCTCCTCCCTCCGCAGCTGATCACGTTGAAATGACTGCAGGGTCGCATGAAAGTCAACCTGTTGTTCAACCCTCATATTTTCCTTGATTCAAAGTGCGTCATTCATCGATACAACTAAGTTGATCAGCTCCTGACTTTTCATGTGGGCGGGGCTCGCCAAGGATTGGGTCGCGGTTGCCGCAAGCGAGGGAGCAACAGAGGGTGATAGCTGCTTGGAGGGAATGATCACAAGAATGTGATCTGCCGAATCACACACGCTCTGGATTGTCATTAGGTTATCCTCGAGCATGGAGGTACCATGCACATCTGGAGGTGGCGTGAATGAATTTTCGTTTTGATTTAACAGAAAAACACTTACTTGTAGCGAGAAGAACGGAATCAGGATCAGGATGAAGGTCAGGTACTTGTAACCATTCTTTATCGAACTTGAGTCGAGCTTGATGCTGGAGACAGGCTCTGAGCTGGCCGATGTTGGTGATTGTCTCCCCAACCCGATAAGAAGCCACGGTAGCCTTTTTGACATAGAATGCGTGGATGTCGATATGAGCAGTCATGTTGCAGCGAGACAGTTTGCGGTGAATTGTGAGTAAAGTTTGTTGGTCTCAGCCCAACATCGTATGTATTCCCTCGCTGTTTCCACCCTATTCTATAAATAGCTTTCACCAGTTTTCATCGGTTCTCATCGCTTTTAATCGGTTTATCGTGCATCAAAAGAATAAATTTTATTCAAAGTCCCGCGTGAAAATGAGTATTTGTAGGGGAAGGAAGTGGGTACATAAGGGGGCCTTGGAATACAGAGGGGAATACATATGGCGCTGGGTACATTGGGTGATGGTAGGTGCCTGCATATGCTGGCATCGGAGGATGATGGGAAGCGGGTACATGTACTGGCGTTGGGGGGATAGAGAATGCTGAATGTGCAATTGGATGGACCGCTGGTTGTGGTGCTAGGGATGAATGCATAGGAGGTTGAAAGGAGGGACCCGCAGCTACTTTCTGCGCCTTCTTATCCTTCCCACCTTGCTTGGGCTTACGGGTAGCACAATCAAATACTGGAGGGGCGCTTCCAGTACATTCAGCTGTGTCTGTGGTTCCAGCCTTCTTTGCTCTGACAGTCCTTGCCGCTTTTAACCGTACCTCTCGTGAGTTTGGCAAAAAAGGGAGGCTCATTGCCATGCGAAGGGGTTGGGGGATGACCTGTGATATGAGGGCGTAATTGTGCAGTGAGTGGGCATTTAAAACAAAATGGCTCGCGTTTTTATGCACAAGTGATGTCTTGGTCTTTGTCGTCTCAGTGCGTTCTTGTTGTATGTTGACAGATACAAACTCGCCGCAGCTCGATGATGCGCAGGCATGCTGTATGTTTACAGCAGACAAAATGTTCTGAAGTATATGCAAATTAGCTGCTTGCAAAGAATGAAGAATGGGCTGCTCTTACCGAGGGCAATAGTAAGTGTTCTTCATCAGCAAGTTGCAACTGAGGTAATCGCAACTGGGGGTGGATATCAGGTAGAAAATGAAGAGGCCGGATAACAACATGACTTGCGACACGAGGGCTAGATTCTGAAACAATGATTTCGACAATCTTTCCGATAGACATCTAAAAGCGCATAAGATAACAGCAGCATGGCAAAAGTAAAATCCTCACCTCAGCAGGCAGCTGTCCATTGCCACGCAAAATGGCATATTTTTCGATGGCGACCTTGTCCCCGTTCACAGCAATGACCGAAGACGCCTGAAATATGGCATTGTTTGATGACTTGATCTCTGGCCGGAGCATGCTTGAGCGTGTTGATGTCCATGGGACAGGTGAGGTCTTTGATGAAGTTGGAACTGTTGCCATGCCTCGAAAATTGCATACATGAGAATTAAGAACGGACATGTTGCAACGAACTCACCTGGATGATTCTGGTGCACTGTGGGAACACCCAAGAGGTGCCGCTGCTCTGGGTGATCGGAAATATAGTTGAGGACACCTGGAGCAGCGTGCACCCACCGCTTGCTTTTCGACTCCATCCAAAAACCCCCAGTAGCGACATGCTTGAGAATATCATTGTATGCAAACGCGTTGCATGAGTCGCGACTCGGAGCTTGACGGTTGCTATGAACGCAGCTGAGTCGGAAGACGTGGTTGAAGGATTCGAAGTGTTCAGTTGAGAACAAGATAGGTGGCCCAAACCTTCGGATATAGGCCGGAATATGGAGTAAAAATGGAATTTTGATTTGGTGAGGATGATGCTAGGCGCGCACTGAACTGAGATATTGAGGAAATCGTCAATAGTACGCGTAAGACAAGCCTGGTATCGCAGACATGAAATGAGTTTGTATTCATGGGTCAGGGTTGGGGAAGGCGTACCAGATATTCCTCAACATCATCAATTCTCGTATGCCACAGCAAGACCACCAACTGTCCAATGACGGTCCATCCATTCAGGACAGTAGACGGAACAAGATCGTATATAAGAAAAGGCATGATCTGAGCAAGACTCTTAAAGTGTTTGCCGATCAGGCTACCGCTGTACCGACAGATATACTCTGCGCCAAGAGTGGGTGAATTAAGGCCATCTTTGTTGATATTGTCCAATCTGGTTTGGAATATCTTGACGAGGTGCGTTTTGTCGAGGATCCAGATAGTCTGACCCCAAAAATACTTCACAACACCAAGGAGAATGGTATGGAGAATCTCTGTCGGCGTGTCTTGATGTATGTTGAGCCCTGTCATGCTAAGCAAAGGGTTGATATGATCTTCCACGGGGAGACCACCCAGCATTTTCTCAAACTCCCTCTCCAATGTCTGTCGGACCTCTCGTTCGTTGATCGCCGGTTTCCCAGGTTCTCGTTTCCGCAGACGCTTCCCAAGTTCCAGGAGGCGGTTCACAATTGATGCGGAGGTAGTGTCACGGGTGCCAGTCGACGAGACAGCAGCCTGGACTTTCGTAGTTCCACCCGACAACTTTGAAAGCTTGATCTGCTCGAGAATCTGCTGAATTGTTTCTTCTGGTCGACGAAGCTCTCCAATCTAATGCACCGCTTCAGAAAATTGATCGCCGACAAATACAAAGGCTTACCTCGAATAATTTAAGATACCCTTCATCAGACTGTTTCACAGACATCGTACCTCCTACTTTGCATGTGCGACAGAAGTAATTGCAGTGTAAACCGCCGTGGCTACACTCTTCCGCCTGCATGGGGTTATCTCCTGCGTCAAATAGGCCATAGGGGATGAGCATCACCTCATCTTTGTATTTGCAGTTGTACGCAACAATGCCCTCATCCGCGGCAGCCCTGATGGACACGTCAACAAGACAAATAGACTGAAAAAATTGAAATAAACAAACTCGATTGATTCTTTGACGGCTTTGGCGATCTCCATGGGTGAAGCATGCGGCAAGGATGACACAAAACGAACACAGAATTCCTTTTCAAGCATCTCGCGCGGCATGGAGGCATTAGACATGTACACCGCGTGGTGTTTGTTCCACTGCTTCGACACATTCCCAGAGACATCGTCCATGAAGATTATTAGGGGAACAGTGAGGACGAGTCGACCATTTGACTTTTCGCGCAGGGGGTTGGGCATTTTTGCAGCGAAGGGCTGCGATGTCACTAGAAACCTATGAATAGTCACCTAAACGATAGAAAAAATTACCTACATGTAAACCCGCACAAATGAACGTCAGCCTGCAAGTCTATGTAGGTCCGCTGAAACAATGAAACTTCCAATATGATGCGCTCAGGATCTACTGCAAAACCTGCCTAGAAAGAGATATTAAATTAGAAGTTAGAATCGGATGGTGATTGTACCTCTGTCTGTACAACTGGATGTCCCAATGCAAGGACCTGCAATGATGCTTGCTCAGCATCGCAACTAGAGATATTGGCTTGAAAGAAACGCGTAGGAATAAAGAATCCAGTTGTCGACTGAAGCAGCTCATTCCGGAAGTAGATACCGCCGTTGACGCGAACAGACGGGACAAGTAGTTCTTCGGGAAGCTCATGCAGCATCTTCGATCCGTGGTGCACTTGAGACATATTCCCTCTCCCATCTTCAGGATAGTCCTGCATGCAGAAGCGAGTGAGAGGGTTGGAATAGTCCTGGTGAGGAAGATCAATCAATGTTGACACTAAAATAGATGCACGTACCATAGCGATTGCGGAGCCAATTGAGTTTATATAAAAGATGTTACCGGAAGATGCTGTAACCTTGCGAGTGGGATTTCCGATGCAGCTACGAACATGATCTTGAGCTTTGCGAAGCGCATACAAGGTAGGCACATTTTGAGCGCCCATTTCACGTGCCCAACTAAGCACAGCTTTTTTCTGTGCCTCTGAAAATCGCAGGCGCGTCGAACCAAAGAGGAGGTCTGTGATAAAGGTCTAGCAGGATTCTGTAAATTTGTTGATAGATCAAAATAAAATGAAACATACCGCTTTCGAAGGCCATGGATATGTGGAATCATCCATGCACAGTTGATTGTTGATGCGATCCTCTGAAGCACAATTAGTTATTTCTCGCATGACGTACACAGTATCTACATACCTTCACCCTCCAAGAACAGTCCAAATTCGTTATCGTCGGGAGGAGGGTCCAGCATGTCATCATCGTCAAGTCCAAGTTCATCTGCAAGTGGCTGAAGAGAGCACGTAAAGAGTGCGTCACCCCGGTTTCGAGCAGCAATAAGTTCACTGTAAAGGTCGGGTTCCTCAAGCGCAAACATTCGTGTTGATGGATCCCACAGTTGTGGTAATTTGAGTTCATGGTCATGGCCGCTGTCATCATCCTCCGTACTCATCACCAAAGGGGAGGAAGGTGTTATCGGTCTCTCTGGGTCTTCCGGTGGTGGAATATCGTAGTCCAGGCGGGAATGAGCAGTGGGAGTGAGGGGAGGTGACGGTGACGGTGACTGGGCAGGCAGTGAACAAATTTTCTTCTCCTGAGTGCGCAAACTAAGGATAAGGCTGTCCTTATGAATTTTGGTAGCGCAGTGTTCAGCAACATGACAGGTCTTCATATCTCGCCGCTTCCCATTACGCTGCGGGCAGATCTTGCATACCACACGTCCACCGAGTTTCTGTAATGAAAATACTGAGGAATATCAATATCACTGTAAGTCTGTTGCTGGCATAAAAAGAATTCGTACTTTGGGGATCAAAGGGAATTGACCTTTGATAACCTGTCCTGGCCATGGTGGGGCAATGTTTGAAAGCGCTCGAAGCAAAGGCAAAAAACATTGAGAAAACAGGCGACACGCTGCAAACACGTTATTAAGCTTGAATAATGATAGGAGAAACTTCAAGACGTCATCCGTTGTCTTCTTACTTGAGGGTCTTATATAAAATCAGTGTAAAATGTAGTGACAATCACAACTACACTTTGATAAGACTAGAAGTTGCCAGCTCCTCAAGTTCACGGTCAACAGATTTTCTACTTCTCGGTTGATAACGTGTTGTTCGTGGGTGGTCAAAGAGTAAACAAGTTACCTCCTTGTTTGAAGAAACTATATAAACTGTGTCTGTGGATTTGTTGTGTCTGAAAAAAAATGATAGGTATGTTTCACCCTAGTAGGTCGTGTTTCAACCTATGAAAGTTTGTCTCAACTTTGTCATGTTCTCCTGTTTCGTATCTCCCTTCCTGTAAAAGAGAGAGGTCTTTGTTAAGTGTACGTAGAGCTTGGCTCAGTAAAGTAGTGATGAGTAACTTAGTTATCTGGACAGCCTACCTGTGGGCTCTTTAACCTGAAGTTACTTTGTTGAAATGATAGTACTTGCACTCTCACTATGTCTTGCCTTGATCTCACTCTCAGATTAGTGGGATAGGTTTAAAGTGTAAGTTTGTCTTAGTCTTACTTCAAGGCACTTGGTTTGCCTGCACTTTGACTATGTCTTGCCTGATCACTCTCAGATTAGTGATATTAGGTTTAAAGTGGGAAGTTATATTATGCATGGGTGTAAAATGGGCTCCTTTTATACCTTTTTGGAGGCCAGATTACTAAGCATGATTCATCACATGGATTGGTAAGAATGTGCTTACAAATCCTACCATTTGGTGTGCTGAGTCAGCCTTTTTACTAAGTACATTATAAATACACTGTTATCTTACAAAGCATGATGAATCAAAGGTATGAGTCATCTCATGGATTGGTAAGGTGTGCTTACAAACCAAGCCTTTTGGTGAGCTGAGTCATCCTGATTACTAAGAAGATTATAAATACAGTTGCAAGTCTTACAAACCATGACGAATCAGTGACAAAACACGATGAGTCAGGCTGAATCCTTACAAATCACCTTATTCCCCAGTCACATGACCTGATTACAAACATGATCAGTCAGCTAGGGAGAAAGTCTGATGAATAAGCCAAGAAAAATAGAAAGAAATGGAAGGTCACAGAACAAAATAGAAATACATAGAAATCCCCGTGTATAATACGAGAAATGAAACACGAGAAATGAGGCTTCAGAAAACAGACTGATGAATCAATGAAAAATGATAGAATCACTTGGTGATATGGTAGAGTACAGTTCATTATACCTTCCTTATCTTTTGTATAGCACACATGTCATGGTATGGACTGCATACCATGCATGACACCGTGGGAATACTACCTTGTCTTCGATCAATCAACACAAAGTCTTCAATCAACACACTTCAATCAACAAAACATTGTCAATAAAACAACTCTCACCACACGGTGCATGTCTGTCGTCAACAGCATCATCCACACCTCGCCTCTCCAAGCCAATGAAGGCATTGGCTTCACACCTGTTTTCCTCTCCATATCTTTCCAAGGAAGTACAGCACAGTCTGCACAGTCGAATTTTGGTACCATTGTAAGTACTCTTTTAATTCAGATTCCTTGACACCATTCACCTTGTCTACTAGCCACTACAGGTCACAATTCTATGGCCGCGAGAATTTGGAGGGCAGGCGGTGCCTGTAATTCGCCATATTTCCTGGACAGAATTGGTTTCAAATTTCGAGTCGCAGTCTGTCCCACAGCTCATGGTGAGTCTTGAATCGTGCGCAGCGCTGACACACATTGAACCTTACATTCATGCAGATACCCTTCTTGCCACTTCCGCCATCTTTCAATCCCTTGTCCGAGGCCAGTTGGTCTGTGCTCACCAGACAGGTGGAAACTTGGCTGGTTGACACCATTCGGGACGTTAGAGCGCCTGAGTGGGCTTGGGGCTGTGACGCATTCTGGATGGCATTCATTGCCGCCAATCCAGACTTTCCTCGGGGGCCCTGGCCTAACTGGAACCCTAAGATCAGTTTGGAAGGGAAATTTATTGAGTCTTGGACGGCGGACAACCTGACTATACCAGCTGATAGCCCTCTCAGCCAGGACATCCTGGATGAGATTCGCACAAGTATATGGGATGATTTTCAGCTTATTTTTACCGTCCCTCCGTTTTTGTAGCGTGTTTCATCTAGTTATATTTGTTGTTTGTAAATTAGATCAATCAATGCTTGCCCTCGTTCTGCCCGATCATGCTGTGAAGCACCGGTGTTAGAGTAGATACAGAAATACAGTAATACGATAACACTATGACTGTATTGCAAACGCACAACATAGGTGTGAGGCCAACCAGACCTCAGCATTTGACCCTGTCGCAATGTTAGGCTATGATGGTTTGTAATATGTTAGTACATGATAGTGGACCGTCCCTGACACCATACTCGTCAGAGAGGATCCCAATATCTGCTTGACCTTTGCTACCAATATCCTTTTATGGTTTGCTTCATGCCGCCATTACTACATTGACGGAAATCCTTTGGTAAATGTATATATTATGATAGTACTGGGGTTCGCACAGATCCCATAAAGGTATGATTACGCATGCTAGGTTCAGGTTTATCCCGATTAGCAGTGTAGTGAGAATCAAGACTCGGGCTATTGGGACAAAGGCCTAGTGATATGCAGGGGTATGGGTAACCCACGGGTTTTTGGAGGGTTTTTTGGAGGGTATGGGTAGGGGTACAAAATATTTAACCCGCAAAAAACCCGTACCCATGGCGGGTAACCCGCGGGTATTTGTAGTACATAGTGTAGAGCTTGATCAGGCAATTTAAACGGTGGTCTGATCATGCAAAACCGTTGAGATTTGAGCAAGATATGATCATTATAAGAAAAGGACACAAAATGAAAGGACAGCTCATACATTAACCAGACCTCAAGTGTTTGACAAGATAATCAAGATAACACTAGCTTCAGATTAGACACCTAAGTCATTTAACAACATTCACATTTTCCTTAACTATGCGATCCTATCTTGTAATGCTCAAATCTTGCTCAAATCTTAACCATTTGACATGATCAGACCACCATTTTAATCGCCTGATCAAGCTCTACAATATGTACTACAAATACCCGCGGGTTACCCGCCACGGGTACGGGTAGGGGTGTACCCCTGGCAAAAACTTTGTACCCGTGAAAAAACCCGTACCCCTGGCCAGGGGTACAGGTTTTTGTGGGTAGGGGTAGGGGTACAGCTGAAAATACCCGCGGGTTACCCGTGCAGAACACTACAAAGGCCCCAGCTGTTTCAAACCCTTCATGACTGCAATCAATTCTGCAAGGACTTAGGACTCGAGCAACACATCCCGGGACTACAACATTAGCCAATCCACCATTCGAGCCTTCTTGTACTTGTACTACTCTCTCTTACTTTCCTTTGCTAATTTTCGATCTTAAACACATCAAGCCTTCTTCATTCCATATCATACCACTATAGCTGGATACAGTACTCATCAGTCCTAGTTTTGCGTTGTCGGACACGTTCTTATAAACATGGTTCCACGATAATTCGCGCGATACACGACTCGGACCTACTCGGACACATCATCTAACAAGAATAGGTGAATATTCTAAGTGCGAGTTGTAGGAATAATTGTGGCTAATATAGCATAACTGATAAGTTAAAGGTGGCGCATTTATGCATACAAAAAAACTAAGGAAAAGGATCAAGGATTGGGTGAGTATTTGAGCTCGTTGTCGAGGGCAGCGAGCTCTGGTGTTGTTGCGGCGGTGTTATAAAAATAAATGAACGCGGCAATATCCGAGTGAGCGAAAAAGTATCTCACGACTAAATTCAAAATTCCAAAAACAACCTGATACGTCTGGGCAACGGTACGCCAGCGAGAAAGCGAAGAAGATCCGGATCTGCATGAGGCTGTACACTAAGCTTTCAACGCCCACGGTGAGCACCTCACCTCTCCAGGTTTCAGTGGTCGAATTTCTATGTACGTGCGCAATTCAAACATATCTATCTGGATTTTGTGCTCATGAAAGGCAGTGTCGCTCTTCGGCTTCATTCTCCCTGCGTTATTGACAATCATCGTGTAACTCGATTACGATAGGATGGCGGCCTGGGTGGAAATGTGCCAAGCGGCCTTGCAGAGGTGTCTCCCCGGTCATAATCGATCAACAACTCTCAACAATCTTGCCATCAGCCGTCATGACAGATTCAAGCAGCGGGGTGTCCCATCTGACCTTGACGAGGCCATCGAGCTCTTTCGGGCTGCACTACTCATCTGCCCCCCCGGTCATTATTTTCGACCAACGTCTCTCAACAATCTTGGCCTCAGCCTTCATGACAGATTCAAGCAGCGGGGCGCCCCGTCTGACCTTGACGAGGCCATCGAGCTCCAACGGGCCACACTACTCATCTGTCCTCCCGGCCATTTTGGTTGACCAGACTGTCTCAACAATCTTGGCCTCAGCCTTTATGACAGATTCAAGCAGCAGGGCGTCCCGTCTGACCTTGACGAGATCATCGAGCTCCAGAGAGCTGCACTATTCATCTGCCCCCCTGGTCATTCTCTTCGACCAACGTCTCTCAACAATCTTGGCATGGGCCTTTATGACAGATTCAAGCAGCGGGGCGTCCCGTCTGACCTTGACGAGGCCATCGAGTTCCAACAAGCCACACTACTCATCTGCCCTCCCGGTCATTCTCTTCGACCAACGTCTCTTAACAATCTTAGCATTGGCCTCTATGAAAGATTCAAGCAGCGGGGTGTCCCATCTGACCTTGACGAGGCAATCGAGCTCTTTCGGGCTGCACTACTCATCTGTCCTCCCGGCCATATTGGTCGACCAACGTCTCTCAACAATCTTGGCACGAGCCTTCATAACAGGTTCAAGCAGCGGGGCCTCCCGTCTGACCTCGACGAGGCCATCGAGCTCCAACGAGCCACACTACTCATCTGCACACCCGATCATTCTCTTCGATCAACGTGTCTCAACAATCTTGGCATCAGCCTTTATGACAGATTCAAGCAGCGGGGCGTCCCGTCTGACCTTGACGAGGCTATCGAGCTCCAAGAGGCTGCACTACTCATCTGCCCCCCTGGTCATCCTGATCGACCAACGTCTCTCAACAATCTTAGTGCCAGCCTTTATGACAGATTCGAGCAGCGGGGCGTCCCGTCTGACCTTGACGAGGCAATCGAGCTCCAACGGGCCACACTACTCATCTGTCCTCCCGGCCATTTTGGTCGACCAACGTCTCTCAACAATCTTGGCCTCAGCCTTTATGACAGATTCAAGCAGCGGGGTGTCCCGTCTGACCTTGATGAGGCCATCGAGCTCCAACGAGCCACACTACTCATCTGCCCACCCGGTCATTCTCTTCGACCAACGTGTCTCAACAATCTTGGCATGGGCCTTCATGACAGATTCACGCAGCGGGGCGTCCCGTCTGACCTTGACGAGGCCATCGAGCTCCAAGAGGCTGCACTACTCATCTGCCCCCCCGGTCATCCTGATCGACCAACGTCTCTCAACAATCTTAGTGCTAGCCTTTATGAGAGATTCGAGCAGCGGGGCGTCCCGTCTGACCTTGACGAGGCCATCGAGCTCCAACAGGCCACACTACTCATATGCCTCCCCGGTCATTTACTTCGACCGACGTATCTCAACAATCTTGGCACGAGCCTTTATGACAGATTCATGCAGCGGGGTGTCCCGTCTGACCTTGACGAGGCCATTGAGTTGCATCGAGCTGCACTACTCCTTTATCCCCCTGGTCATTCTGATCGATCATTATCACTCAACAAACTTGCCCTCTGCCTTCGAAACAGATTCGAGCAGCGGGGTGTCCCGTCTGACCTTGATGAGGCATTTAGGCTGTATGCGCAACTCTCTCATATAGCTCATGCAGTCTCTCGTATGGATCTTACTGCTGCCAAGTCGTGGGCCACCTCAGCCGAGGAGACGAACCATGACTCTGTACTGCTTGCCTATCAAACTGCATTGAAATTCCTAGATCAGCATGTTACTATATTGTCATCTTCTCCACTCCATTTTGATATTGTCAGCATGGCCACTACTTCGCTTGGAATGGACGCTTTCTCGTGCAGTGTTCGTCATGGTGCGCTCACAACTGCTGTGGAAATGGTGGAGCAAGGCCGTGCAGTATTCTGGACTCATTTGGCACGCTTCCGTACACCCCTCGATGAACTCTCTATGTCTGGTGACTCCGGCGCAGCCTTGGCAGAAGAGATCAAGCAGCTTAGTTTTCGCCTTCGTAACGCGTTCGACCGGTCTACTGAAGACCCGTCTCCGCAAATCCGGCAATTGACCATGCAATGGGAAGACGTCATCTCACGCATCCGCATGCTGCCTGACTTTCCTCGATTTCTCCTGCCCCCGCTGTTTTCCGACCTCCAGAAATCCGCTGAAGAAGGCCCGGTTGTCATCGTCAATGCTAGTCAGTACAGCTGCGATGCCTTGATAATCCTAAGTGACCAAGATCCTGTCCACGTTCCACTTCATATTACGCAGACCGGAGTCTCCGAATTGTCTTCCGAGTTCCAGTCCCTTTCAGAACAATTTGGTTCTTCTAATCATCTGTACAAGCTTGCCAACATCCTCCGGAAGCTTTGGCATGAAGTCGTCGACTCCGTGGTCCAAGCTCTTAAAGAGTCTCAAGTTCACCCTGGCTCACGTATTTGGTGGTGTCCCACTGCCGATTTTACGCTGCTTCCCCTACATGCAGCAGGACCCTACGAGAAGAAGAAAGACAATCTATCTGACATTTATGTCTCCTCTTACACCCCCACTTTGGCGACACTTGTTCGTGCAAGACAGCAGGTTTCTGGAGATGCGTCCCCGCAACATTTTGTTGCCATTGGTCAAGGAAACTCTAAAGGGGCGAAGGCGCTCGAACATGTCGCTCCCGAGTTAGCCGTAGTTGCTCGGCGTCTCGCGCCCGTTGTCTTGGTCACGTCGCTCGCGGACGGCGATGCGACAGTTCAAGGTGCACTCGATGCACTAAATCATAATCAGTGGCTCCATCTAGCCTGCCACGGAATGCCGAATCGACAACAACCATTTGAGTCTTCCTTTGCCATGCGCGACGGGCCTTTAATGATCAAGGATGTCATTCGATCTAACTGGCAGAACCCTGAGTTTGCATTCCTATCGGCCTGCCACACTACTGTGGGCGGTGAGAAGAGTCCCGACGAGTCGATCCATCTCGCTGCGGCCATGCAATTCTCCGGATTTCGCAGTGTAATAGGTTCCATGTGGTCTGTCGACGACGAGGTTGCACGACAGGTTGTGTCCGCTTTTTACCGCAACCTGGTCAATGGGTCGGGGAGATTGGACTGCACACGGGCTGCGGTGGCGTTGCACAAGGCTGTGAAATCGTTGCGCAAGAAGATTCCGCTAGAACAGCAGATCGTGTTTGTTCACATAGGTGTCTAGTTTGCATTTTATGTTATCCTGATTGCTTTCAATACCCTGTTGTCCGTAGTTCTCAGTTAGTCAAATCATGTCTGCACGATACTTTTGTTTTTACATTGTGTACTAGTACTGCAAGCACCGTTCCATTGAATGATTATGCATCGCGTTGTCGAACATACAAATGAGTTGGCTGTTTACACAAGGACTTTGTGCGATGGACTGGTGCGTAATTCTTCCTTGATAATATATGTGGTTACTAAGACTTGGTAAGTTCGAGCGACATCAAGAACATCGCGTATCGCTCGACTGCGTTATCTCCTAGTGCGCCGACATACATTACAACCAACTCTCGTTGGCCTGCAACCTGACAAGGAAATTAATGTGGAACAAAACGATAAGGACAAACTCTCACTTCCGACACTTGTAGGTAAGCCTCAAGAATGACTTGGGTCGCGAGCGGCGGCACTGGAACGTCAGTCATCTACAAATAAAGGCAGAGGTGGGCAAAGAAACGTGTCACTGTAGGATACCTGCTGCTTTGTTAGTGAATATCAAACGCACATTATTCGACTTACTCTTATGATTCGGGATCAAAGTTTCCATCCCAAGTCCGGTTGCAAAGTTTCTAGCAACGAACCTGTCCGATCGAGGATGATCGCCAGCTGAGAAAAATGAAATGCGTGGTCTGTGGTGGGATTGACTGACGGTCAGCACACGGAAAAATCGATGCATACATGTACACCGTATCCTTCCTCCGTGAACGCTACCTAGTGTTTCCAACGTAGAGAGACGGTGGGCTTTCCGATGGTCACATCTTGGTCAGCATGTGTTCTCAACCCTTGGATTGACCGGGTTCGTGTGGAAGAAGAGCGAAGGAGTTTCGGGAGGTAGTGAAGACAAATACTCACTGTGTGAACATGAACCAGAAGATCGAGGAGCGAGGGATATCGCAAGCGATGTCACCGTTGCGTGCTACAGCCCGCGATAGTGTACTCGCGGGAAGCTGATCTGGCGAGGAAGCAGAATCAGGTAAACTGCAAGCTCATTATGAGCCATTTGATTCATCGCAACGTGTTCAGTCATTCGGCGCTGGATGCAGATCCTCGGTCTCACTGTTACTATATGCTGTTGATTGAGACTCACGTCATTATACCACTCGACACTCGAAGAGTCAGTAAGGATATGACAGTTTTTCTTGAGTCTCACTGATCCAAAGCCTTTCCTCAGGCTCAGCTAGCCTCTGCGCTCTCGGATCTTCATCGTTGGTCGTATTCTTCTGGTGTAGTCCCGGATATTGGCATAAACTGCCACATGATGGATCTAGTGTGGTACGTTCTAGTGCGTTCTTTTTTTCATTGAGGGTTGTGCGATGCGCATTGCGCAGGGATGGCATGGGTCAAGTTATGATTACTAACTACAAGTGCTTGCCGCGGCTGCGCGGCTCGTTGGATAGTTTTCGCGCACGGAGGCAACTTTGCCTACAACAAAATACAACCTGTTGTCAAGCGGGTCGATATTCGCTTGAGCTACGAAGTGATGCACGACAGCTTGAGCTGAGCAAGGTGAACCATGTTCGGAAAGGCCAAGATAGAGCTCTCCATCATATGTGACAGTTTTAGGCTTCTGAGCGAAGATATGGCGTGAGTTGGTCAAGGGATGAATTCCTGTTAGAATGGATGTGTTACGGATGAACCAGGCATGACAGAGGTTAGTGGAAAAGTTTGAAGTTCGCAGAAATCACAAAGGGCACGAGGGGAAACCGATGAAGGGCTGATTTATATTTTTGCGGTGTGTCAAAATGACGTCGACATTATTTGGAGCTTGAGCGTTGGAACGGCGACATGACGCAGTCGCCACGAAATTAACGATATGCTTGCGACAAAAAACAGAATGTGGAGTTTTGTTTATTGGTGTGGGCGGGGACTTGGCAAAGTCGTAAGTTATGGAGTGAATGAGCGCCGAGCGGTAGTGCTAGTCCTAGGAGAAGAATTAAAGTTCTGAATTGGAAGGCGTGTTTGGAAGTTGGTTAGGTAAGCGCACGCGGGTGGACGACGCTCCAAGGTCATCATAAGATTATATCATGATGTTGTGGATGGAAAAGTGGGTACAACTTAATACAACAGATTACTACAAGGACTCGTCGTCCCTTCACGAAGTGCGCGGGTGCTCGATCATATGATCCACATCATCATGCAGACTCTGCAGAGATGACATTGCAGCGTCAAAACGACTGTCTGCCTGACCATTCACAAGGGTTGCTCGTCTCTCCTGCAGTTGAGCCAAACACCGATCCACGTTTCTAGCGACCTCTTTTAACTCCTCGGTCGGAATACCATCATCTGAATCCAGAAAATTCTGCCTCGTCGCTATAACGAGGGCTGGTAGTGCCTCGACGTAGTCGCCGTGCTGCCACATGAAATGGCGTGCACGTCTCCACGATTTCCTGATGAGCGTCCGCCACTTCTCCTGGACATAGCTTAAATATAGAACCTTGTCTGACGGATCGATACACGCGAAGATCCCGACAAGGTAGCATCCGAGAGTCCAAGACTCGCATTCAAGAGCTTCATCGACTAGGGAAATGCACCGCTCAAAATGGCCGTCGAGGGTCAGACGTTGACGCCACTCATCATTCTTTGATAGGGCAAAGATGAGGCGGAAGTAGCAATCATCTCGATGCTCGTGGAAAGGGGTGTCGGGTATGGGTTGGATTGTATGGCCAAAATTTGGACAAACGGCGGTGAAAAGAGCGCGAGACAGCTCATCCAGGATTTTTTTGTCGACATCCGGTGTCATGGAGTCAATATTTGTGATGCAAGCCAGGTCTCCTCGAGCGTCAGAAATAGCTCTCAGGGCAGCATGCCGGACGCGGCGAGGTCTCGTGGGGTGCATCGAACGGATAAGCGCCCCAATGTAGGAACGGCGCTTGGTAGAGCTTCCTAGCCCACGCATGGCACTCAGCGTGAGCAGAGCATCAACTTCGGTTTCATCATCTGCTTTTTTTCCTGCTTCATCCACCAGGTAGTCCACGAGCCAGTCATACTCTTCACAGCTGGGTATCAGTCCGTCACTGTGACGCCAGCGCAGATCACCATCCCAAATCAGCTCTTCATCGTTCGGAAGTGAAAGACGGTAGCGCAGACCGTGAACGACCAACATTCTCAGAGCGGTGCGTGTGTCAGCCTTATGCTTCCGTCGAGCGTAGTTATGGTGTGTATTCTGAAGCTGAGCAAAGGCGAGACGGCCATCCATGAACGCATCGCGAATGAAACGACTCTTGCCTCCCCAACAATGCAAAGTAGCCCATGGTTTCTGAAGCAGGGATGGATTGATTTTCACCAACAGGGTGCAGAGATGAGCCATGGCCTTGCCGCACTTGACAAATAGCTCTTCCCTATCACGACATGCCCAGAAGTTATCGCGTAAGCGTGCGTATGCTGCTGAAGCGTCAAGCTCTGGCGACCATTGTACGAGAGGTACCATCGCAGCCGCAGCCTCAACAACTTCCGGGTTCGTTGATGTCTCGAGTACCCAGCACACAGCGGAAGATTTGCTGAATACGTGAGGATTCAAAGCTGATCTCACTGAAAGGAATACTTTGCAGATAGCTCTGGTCAGCTCTGATCCTGGTGTCTGGAAAGGACTGTCCGGACGCCACACTGACACGGAGATTGTGAGTCCATAGAGGAGGATGCCGACAGTTGTGAAGCAGATGATGACACTGGATATAGTCGTTTGCTCTGTCCATATGTTAGCGCTGAGCGACAACCCGAACAGAAGCAGCGAAATCTGGAGGAGAATAAGAAACGCCTGCAAGATGGTCCGGAGGTGAAAATGCTCTAGCCCATCTAGTTTCATCTGCCTCTCTATGCAGCGTTCCTCCAGAGATCCTCGTGCACGAGTTGCCTTGTACAAGTTAAGCCATTGCTTTCCCAGCACAGCCCCAAAGGCCGCCAAGACACTAGATGCGAGGCTAGCATAGCCAAGCGCTTGCATCCAGACGGTCGAAGAAGAAAAGTTCGTAGACGAGGAAATATTGCCAATATCATTTACAGCGTTTGGGCCGTTAACTGTGATTTGGATTAGGCGGAGTAGGAGGTCATTGGTAGTGTCTCCTGGGTTAGGCTGCATTCCGACGATGAAAGCAGAGTTGACAGCTGAGAATAAACCAGCCTGGTTCGCTTGTCAGATTTGTATTGGCAGGTTTAGACAGGAACGCACAAAAGTCAAGATAATGCCCATATCGTCATTCGCACGCGCGAGGAAGTCGTCATCGTACTCAGTAGAAACTTTCTTATACGTTTCCCAGAAGTTTGAATCGACGTCTTTGCTACGTTCCGCAATAGTAGACCCTCGAAGGACATCAAGGATTTGCTCCAGGGTATTGGACCTTCGATACAATATAGTCAGGAATCGATACCACCGTGCTGATAGGTTCTACTCACATATTAGCAAGCCCTCCTTCGATGGATACGGCAGGTTCCTCGATCTTTTTATGCAACTTGGTCCCATCCCTGTAAGCCCATAGGTGGTGCACTTGACTCAGTCTAGCTTGCCACTTACTCGCTGGCGGGGAGGTCGGTATCGACAGGTGTGGAACAGGGTCGGTATGACGCGCTTTGTGTGTTTCGGGGTGTGGTGGACATAGAGGGGGAAGAATTGGGTAATATTAACTCTGGTGAAGAACGACCGAGACATATACTCACTGAGCTGCCGTCAACGTTCATCATAGAACCTTATCTGTTGCCATCAATGCCAGAGCATAGGCTGTGTCAGGCTAGAGTAGGAGGAGTCTGCACGCCGAATTCGAAGCCTCGCTTTGGCGAGAACGTGATCGTTGTCCAATTCGCGTTTAGTGCTGGAGTCGATCGGACGGGATCGATTGTTACTATGCTTACTGCCCCCATGTAACTTGCAATCCCGAAATTTTCTAACATGAGGCTAATAGTAATACCACGACCAACTTTAAATAAAGTCACGCACCCATCATGGAGGTTGCTTGGAGAATTGTGAGTGTGCTACTAACTTAATCACCTGTTGCTCATCAGAGTGACCGACATGAACAGGAAAAAAAACTGGTTGTTCCTTCTTCAACGTTGTCAACATCGTCGGCTTGCTTCCATGATGGCTCAGCTTGCTCCAAACGCACAACCATTTTGCAAACATCAGTTCTCTCTCAAATAGTCACGGCGAATTGATCCCTCCGACAGGCCCACGGAGTCAGGGCTGCAGCTTGATCATGGCTTCAAAGATTAATACTTTGAACAATACTTTCGAAGAACTGCTTCAAGTTCTTGTACTGTATATGGTGTGGTCATTGTAAGAAGAATTGACGCCGACACAACAATTTACATATATACTTCAAGTTCCATCATTTCGCCCTTCTATCTCATGCATATGTCCACCACAACCCACAACATGCAAAGCGCGTCATCCCGACCGTGTCCCGCACCTGTCGACACTGGCCTCCCAACAAGCAAGTGAGTGCCATGCTAGACTGGCAGAGCGTAACACCTATAGATTTCCAGTGATGAAGACAAACCGCATACAGCAAGCGGGGAACCCGCCGCAGCCGTCGAGGGAGGCCCTGCTAAGAATCTGTAAGTATCAACCACTCACTACGGGACACCCAAGGTCTGACTATGTTGGGTGTTAAAGGTCAAAAGCCGACGACCAAATCATCAACGACCGCCAAGCGCTTCCTATAGCTCAAGAACGCGACAAAGACGTCGATACAAAGTTTTGGACGACATACGACAAATTTTCGACGGAGTACGACGATGACTTCCTTGAGCGGGCGAATGGCGATATGGGCATCATCTTGACTTTTGTGCGTTCATTTATACACCTGCCAATACAAATCTAACAGACGAATTAGGCTGGTTTATTCTCAGCCGTCAACTCCACTTTCATAATCGGAATGCAGCCTAACCCGGGAGAGACCACCAATATCCTGTTGTTCCACCTGATCCAAATGACAGCTAACGGCACAAGCGCTGTAAATGATATCGGCAATCTTTCCCCGTCCACGGGGTATCCTTCTTCGACTGTCTGGATGCAAACACTCGCCTATGCTAGCCTCGCGTTTAGCGTCTTGGCCGCGTTCGGGGCTGTGATGGGAAAGCAATGGCTCAATTCGTACAAGGCAGCTCGCGGAAGAGGGTCTCTAGAGGCACGCTGCATGCAGAGACAGAGGAAACTGGATGGGCTGGAATATTTTCACCTCCAGACGGTCTTGCAGGTGTTCCTTGTCCTCCTCCAGATCTCCCTGCTCCTCTTCGGTTTGTCACTCAGTGCCAACATGTGGATGCAGCAAGCGACGATATCCAGCGTCATCATCTCCACCACAGCACTTGGCACCCTCATTTATGCAGGCACTATCTTCGTGTCAATATTGCGTCCGGACAGTCCTTTCCAGACACCAGGAGCAGAGCTAGTGGTGGCTATCTACAAAAAATTCCACAAAAATTTCTTAGCAATCTGCGATCATTTCCCCCCGTACAGGTTGAGCAGGTTGCGCAGGTTGCGCAGATCGATTTTGACTCCTGATGGCACATCCATTAAATTGTCCGCCATCCGCTGGATACTAGAGACGTCCACGCACCCAGAAGTCGTCGAAGCTGCAGCTGCGATGGTACCTCTCGTGCAATGGCCGCGGAAATTTGATGCTGCCGCAATCTATGCACGCTTACGTGATAACTTCGTGGCGTGTAGTGACAGGGAGGAGGTGTTTGTGAAGTGTGGCAAGGCCATGGCCCATCTTTGCAGCCAGTCACTGGAACTCCGTCTAGACCTTCGTTGGAGACACATTTATACCCGGGATCGTTGGGGAGGCAAGAGCCGTTTCATTCGCGATGCGTTCATGGACAGCCGTAATGCCTGCAAACAGCTGATGAACACACAGAGGGAGGTCGATGAACGAAAGCATAGGGCTGACGCACGCACCGCTCTGAGAACAATGGTCGTCCATGGGATTTCCGATCATTTTTCACTTCCGAACGATGAACGCTTGATTTGGCATGGTGATCTGCGGTGGTGTCACAGTAACGGGCTAGTGCCCAACTGTGAAGACTTTGACTGGCTTATCGACTACCTAGCGTTCTGTTGGGGAGATGATGAGACAGAAGGTGATGCTCTGCTCGCGCTGAGTGCCATGCGTGGACTAGGAAGCTCTACGAAACGACGCCCCTACATCACGGCGCTTATCCGCTGTATGGGTTCCACCAGACCTCCGCGAGTCCGGCATGCTGCGCTGAGAGCTGTTTCTGATGCTCGAGAAGAACTAGCTTCCATCACACATGAGTCGATGCCACCAGGTGTGGACGCAACACTCCTGGACGAGCTTTCTTGCGCTATTTTAACTGCCGTACATCCCAATGATGACCAGATAGTTCACGACAATAGTCATCCCTACGCCTCTTTCCACTACGATCGAGAATATTGCTACGCCCGCCTCATCTTTGCCCTGGCAACGAATAATCAGTGGCATGAACGTCTCGCCCGTGATGGTCATCTCGAGCGGTGCACTTCTCTAGTGGAGAAGGCTCTAAGATTCAAGCCTCAGGTTCTCGGATGCTACTTTGCTGGGATCTTCGGGTGTATCGATCCGTTAGACAAGGTTCTTCCTCTCAGCCCTGCCCAGGAGAGGTTGTGGACATTCGTCAGGACAACATGGGGCTGGGAAATGAAACGCATGTACTCTGGCAACACTGTCATGGCAGCACCAGACGTCGTGACAGTGACTAGACAGTATCTGCGAAGCTGGGATAACAATGTTCCGAACGATGGGCTGACCGATCTCGCTCGAGATGTGCATGAGGCTTTGGAATTATTGCAGAGCGATCAAGAATTCCTTGTGACTGACTATCCAAACGCTCGGGCTGACGTTGATGCTGCACTATCCTCCATGCAGGGCTTGGACGACGATCTGCGTCGCATGATCGAGAATGCAAAGTCTTCGCAAAAGGACAACGGGGTGGCGTCTTGAAGGAAATTCATTGTAGGAGCTTGTTAGTACCTTGTATTTTTACCCTTCTTAGCAGCAACTTTGCCATATCATCTCCTGATGAGTTGTAATTTTACGTTGGGATCCGTAAACCTCTTCCTCACCTATACAACTTAATTTGTTCTACAGTTTCATGGATACGAACGATATTCTTCGACCTGCCTGCTGTATGAACGAAGACTATCATATTCACGCCAATGAATTTACCTAATTGCTATGTTATTCGAGCCAGTGGCTCAGTTTTCGATGGGGCCGTTGTCGCGTAAGAAATTATACGATTCGTAATACATGTCCGCAACAATTTTGTGTGGAGGACACAGGATCCATTCTGTGGGATACAAGCTTGTCTCATGGCTGCTACGATTTAATCAGGTACATCATACAATATGATACACAGTGCGCACGACCGCGAAGGCTGGCCAAAAACATGGTAAGGTAGGATTTTATGTATATTCTGGAGTAAAAACTTTAGCTTTCTATGACGCGAGTCGTCGCAGTCAGAATTGTGTATCGCAGGAAAGAGTGAAAATCATCTCACCTAGAGAAATTGGTGCAACATGTGTATCACATAGATTCTACAAGGGCCTCTTGGGAAGTAGCTTGATGATTCGGTCCCGCTTAACAGCCTCCCCATCCTTGCCAAAATAGCGGGTGGATTCGAAGGACCAGTGGTAATTAGCGATAATCCAGTCCTGGAGCCCTTGAACATAGATGTCTACTTGTCTGTCAACCTCTTCCCCCCACGACGGGAGGATAGCACAGTTGTCTTCAAAACGCTGCATAGCACTCTTGCACATCTTGCCAGAGTAGTCGACAGCGTCTTGCAAGTCCAGGCCTTGTTCGCACATGAGCACGGCAATCAGATTGTGTCTCATGGCGAGATTGCTCCACGTTATAAGAAAATATATCCTGTCAATAGTATATCAGCAGGAGCTCGGCGTTCGACAATGATAGAGCGTTACGTTGACCCAAGAGACATGATCATTGGCTGCATCCTCCGTCGCCATCATGACTGGACGCGACACTACTTCATCTGGGAGATAAATCTGAGCTGCGTATTCGATGAGGACGAAGCAAAATTTGCAGCCGCTCGCGTCTCTCCTGAAGGTGACATAAGATTCAAGATCATGGATGTGTCCCTTTGCACGGTTGTCCACCTCCTTCGCCCCAGCAATGAAGTACAAGTCCATTGCGTGGATCAATCGCTCGATACAGCCGGGGCCGCCCGTCTCCCTCAAGCGACTGAAGAATCTAAAAGCCGCACGAAGACAATGAGAAGGAGTGTGTGATAAAAAAAACATACGACGTACGATTTGCACATCTTTCCAGCAGTTTTGTTCGTATGAAAGTTGATGGGGTCTCGGAATGCAGAAATACAGCATTCACGCATACCCAAGGCGCTGTCAACATCAAACTCATCGAGCCGGTCATCTATTTTCCACGACCAGTTCATGAAGTCTGAACAGACTCGGAGACGGAAAGGATCCGCATCAGGGTAGCAAGCTGCAGTGAGGTAACCTGCACGCAGACCCACGAATTTGGTGATTTCGGGCTCTACAAGACGCCCTTCGTCAAATAGCCATTGTTCAGAAACGCGAGAGACCATATCATAGTGAGAATTTACTCGCAGGGGATAGTGGCAATCGTCGAGGAGGTCAGGTAGTACAATGAACTCTGAGGGCTCGGAGCGAGTGGTCGTGTGGGTTGCAGGAGGAGCCACGGGGGACATCTGATTCATCGAGAACGTCAAGATGATTGGGAGGCTCAAGTTGGGAGATAAGTTTCTCTGGAACCATGGCTGTATTTATAGTAAATGTGTCATTTTCGCTCGGATGATCGTGTATTTCGCAAGTGGGGACTGCAGGTCTGAATGCAAGAAACGAAATTGTGGTGCAACCTCGTATGACGACAGTAATAACGAAGCACCGTGAGCGAACGTTTAGATTTAATCCGAGGACTTCAAACACGTCAAATGGGGCATGTACTAGGACACTGCATTATGGTTAGTGTTTCATCGTATGTGGTAGTCATAATCACATTCATGACGTACCAAAGAAACTGGGCAACTAATTTGTCACCGCGAGGTTGATCTTAATCCGTCTGCAACACCTATAAGAAAATGAATGAGAGCGGGGTTTGGGACTCGTGAAATACTTATCGTCTCACAAAGAGGTTGATGTTTCGCGAATACCAATAAATTCAATGTCGCGATGTTTGATTCTGCTTTCGGGAACCGGCACTAGTAGGGTAGATTAACCGACATTAATAGGATACTCGTGTATTCGACCGGAATTTAGTGAAAGACCGCTGTCAGTGTGAACGAACCTTCGAGGATAGCGGGAACTTCTTGTGAGGCTTCACTGTAGAAGCTTCGCAGAAAAACGTTAGCAGATTTTGCAAGAGATTTGAAAGTTTACATCTACAGTCATTTGCAGAACACTAGGCCATAATGAAAAAATACTACTTACACAGCGGTGTATCAATTTCTATTTCAACCCAGATACGAAGTATGGGGCTCGCGGCGGCAAGGAACTGACCGTCGGAAGTTGAGACTTTGTGGTCCGACTTGTTGCCGAATATTTGTGGTATTGGCAATTTGGTAAGCCAGGCTGGTCACGAGCCTAAAAATAACGTTGGAACCGTTGAACCTACGTTAATGTTGTGTTCAACCACGGAACTGCATTATATCTGGAGAATTATCTTGGCTCTGCAGAAATCATCTCACCTTTCAGGATATTGACCAAGAAAATGCCATCAGTGGGTATCATTGATGCGGATGAGTTTCTTCATAACCTCCTCTACAAAGGCAAAAGAAGACAGTCTGTTAAGATATCAAACAGTCAATATGGGACCTGGGTTAGACAAAAGGAACGCATCCAGGTTGGCCGGCTGCCGTAGTGCATTCAACATTAACCCACGGTTTGCGATTTACATTTCCTCAGGGTCACGTTGCTTTTCCATAGTAGTGATACTGGCCCATGGTTTGCAAACTGAAAAAATGCACGCATCGGGAAATGATAGTAACGACCTGCTTCCCCTCGTCACGTTTGCCATACCTGGCACAATTCTTGTTGTTCTCACTGATCATGGTCAGGCAATACGGACCGTTCAAACCGCACAGCATTTGGACCCACCTAAAACTCTGATTCTCCGCACCCATCGGTGACGTGGATGATATTCAGATGACAACAACCTGCCAAAGATCGTCCAAATGTGTCTGTATGATATGGTACAATCAGCCATCGATACAGGTCATTGCGCTTAAAACGGACAACACCCCCACTTCCCGCTAAACTCACAGAAGCCATCCAGTCAGGCGCTAAGACGCAAGTTGTTTCTGATGTCGATGCAGGCGATGTTCGAAATAATACTGTGGCTTGCAGGGCAGACAAGCAAATGTTTTCTTCATAGAACACACGACCGCGAAGGTCCGTCAAAATACTCTGGGAAGCAAGGTGGGATGGATAGTGTGATCTTCGACATTGTCTTTCGGCTCAGAATCAGCACCCCGAGTAACAATGAGCTCAAACGCAGACCTAATGCGCATCGCAATCCTGTTGCGCACCACCGCCCGTTTATTCGTCTTCTTTTTCGCAATCATGAAGAATATGCTCATATCTAATCTCTTGGGACCGTCCTTCCGGTTCCCCTGCGGCACCATGTCAGAGCGCTCCACTTGAGAGACGCGCGCCTCTCTGAATCTGGGAGCAGAAGCGCACCCTTGGGTACAGCACGTAGCACGAATGCGGGGCAGGAGAAATGCGGAAATGCGTGGGGTTTCCACCGGGTGGCTGCGTGCGTTGAGTCGGCGGTGCGCGCAGGGTTGTACGGCGCCGTACCAGGGAGCCGGGTGTGACGTTGCGACGCTGTAAGGAAACTAAATGAGATAATGTAACGTGAAAGACAGAGGACGCACTTTAATTGAACGAAGACCTGGAGCTTTGGGCAGTCTAGAGAGGTCAAGACATTTGTGCATGTAGCTCGCTAGGGTTCACAATGGCAATTGCAATTTACCGTGCTACTAGTAGTGCTTAGCTAGCGCAATGCTAGAATAGCCTGGAGGTCGTTGTAGTCCTCCAAAGCAGTAGCGGAGTCTGAAAACACAAGTGTTTCCTGAACGTTTAACGGAGGTCCCGACGCCTGCTCTCGTGGTAGGTTAAATCTGATTTATCTGTGAACATCGTGCTCAAAATAAATTGCAGCTCTTCACCGTGCAGAACAGCCACACACGTTGCCAGACTTGGGCGATGAACAGCAGGGATCTGGTGTCCCCTGGCTTCCTGGCGGTCCCCGCACGTTTCAAATGTGGATTGGATGAAACCCTAGGCCGGGGCCCGGGGTGATCTCTTTTTTTATGATGCCATCCAGTATGAAATTATTTCGTGCGTATGTCTTCATTTCAAGTTCTTCATTCTACTGCGCTTTCCTTCCTTGCTAAACATAATCCCAAAATGCCCCTCAATTTAGACCCCTTGGTACCCTTTGTTCTCATCTTCGAGTACATCCTCAGAGGTTGTTTTTGAACGAGGCCAACGTACTGATATGTAGGGCGGTTTGCATCCGATCGACTTCTGCGATGCATAACAATTCATTTCTTTTTCACTAGTTCATACTCTTTGAAATACTCATTGTTCAACCTCTATGACGTCTCCACGAAATTTCGCATTAATGCCCGACCTTCATCTCCTTCATCCCCTCTAGATCTAAGATATCGCTGGCATGAAAATTTGCGCACCCACAGACGTCTGAAATCACTAGTATCCACAAACGTGCCTCACATTTAACCCTGGTAAGAAAAGGCCACGTCATCACGAGCCCTATCACAGTAAATTGATTTTGGGCGCTGCAAATATGCTCTAATCGCTGTAATTCTGTGGGTCAGATCCGTGACTCGCAACATATTTGCACTTACGGACGGAACTTCAATGACGTTGTCGAATGCTTGCTGCGCGCCAGGTACGAACTTGCGATGACTACCCCTACGATCGTGCATACTATGGCTAAACGCTCCAGTATGCTCCTGAATAGCTGACCTGGCGTCAAAGAAGGTGCAAGATGGCATCTTATTGGAATCACTGGACCTGGTGGTGGTTCCGGGCTGCTCCAAGATGGATGTTAGATCGGGCGACTCGAAAGTTGCTCATTTTATTTTATGACCCCCTTGTCTTCTTTGTCCATGTCGGTAAAGGTAAAAGGGGTTATCTTCAGACAGACTTGACCGAAACTTTTATATGCAATCTGATGTTTTGAATCGATTGAAAATCAAATTGTTCCGCGTCCCCGATTAACTCTCAGTGCAAGGACGGGCGGGGTGCTTACTGTAGAGGCCCCAAGCTCCTGGGTACACTTAAGCTTACCACGCTGGCGACTCGCTGGCAAATGATGTGGTTGAAACGTTGACTATTATTGAAACGGAAGTTGATTGGCTGGAACCTTGCGCTTACCGAAAGTCTGGGGATAATGTTCCGTGCTTATATAAGTCCTTCAACATTTTGTGGTGAAACGTCCCAGCAACTTGCGTTGCCAACGTCCCAAGCTTTCTCCACGATGGATAGCTCGACCTCCGTAGCACTTGAGCCTCTGCTTTCATTCCTGACGTTCTCCTTGTCCACATTAGAATCTGGCTTTTATAGAATTCCAGGCTCAGCAGTCGTTGCACGATATGTCAAGTCTTCTCACCAGAATGATCCTGGACGAACAATTCTCGAGCTTATTCTTGTCATCTTCGCCATAAGGACCTTACTACAGTCCAGGACGCGCGCTGATAGGTCAGGCAAACATTTCATAAAGTTTTCTGAAAAGGTTGTCGGGCTTTATTAAATCACGTTCTTCGTCCCTAACTGACATCCTTCTAGGAAATAGACGAATTAGTGGATGAATGGGTGCCCGAACCTCTTGTACAACCTCTTAGCGAATGGGAACAGAGAGATCTCAACTCAGTGCCTATCATTGCTGGCCCTAATGGCCCCAAACCAAAGCTCCTCGCAACTGGAAAAATCGTTACCAACCTCGCCAGCTTCAACTTTGCTGGACTAGCAGGCAACGAGAAGATTAAGGATCGTGCTCTGGAAACGCTCCAGAAATACGGCCTTGGAAGCTGTGGACCCCCTGGATTCTATGGAACCATTGGTGAATGCGGCTGGTAAACGACGTGCCGTGGGAGACTGACGAGCAATATGTATCAGATGTCCATCTCGACCTTGAACGTGATATCGCCGAGTTCCTCGGTACGGAGGCTTCTATCCTCTACTCTCAAGGCTTTTCAACTATTTCGTCTGTTATTCCTGCCTTTTGCAAGCGTGGGGACATCATCGTCGCCGACCGTTCCGTCAACTTTGCAATCCAAAAGGGCATTTCAATATCCCGTTCAACTGTTCGCTGGTTCGACCATAATGACCTCAAGAGTCTCGAGGATACACTCATCAGCGTAGAGAAGGAGAGGAAGAAACGCAAAGGTCCTCTCACGCGTAGATTCATCATCACTGAAGGCATCTTTGAGCGCGACGGCGAAATGGTGGATCTTCCTAAACTGGTTGGTGGCTTGCATTCAAATCAATCGAGTGTCACGCTCACCCAATCTTGGTTCGCAGGTCGAGCTCAAGCTCAAGTACAAGTATCGCCTCATCTTAGATGAAAGCATCTCCTTCGGAACCATGGGCCGGACCGGTCGTGGTCTGACAGAACTGTACAACGTTCCGGTAGGTTGGGCTGCTCCTTCCAGCGGGGATATAGCTCACATGATCATTCTCAGGCGTCGCAGATTGACATGCTCGTAGGCTCGGTTGCTAACGGTCTTTGTTCTGCAGGGGGCTTCTGCGCTGGTTCTGCTATCGTAGTGGATCACCAAGTGAGTACAAATAGCTCGCATTGATGACCCTATACTTATGCATCGAACAGCGTATTAACGGCACCTCCTTTGTGTTCTCGGCTTCTATGCCTGCTCTCCTGGCAACCTCTGGGTCGGAAGCAATTACTTTCCTCAGGAACAATCCTTCGGTACTTCTTAACCTGCAAGATAACATCCGTGCCATCCGCGCTGTGTTGGAGAAAACCGAAGGCATTACGCTACTCGGTCATCGTGCCAGTCCTATCATCCATTTCTGCTTGCGAACCCAACAACAATCGCTCTCTGTCACCCAGCCCGCCTATGATTACGAGGCTGAAGAGCGCATTCTGCAGGACATTGTCGATGATACGATTGCAAACGGCGTGCTACTAACGCGGGCGAAGCACTTACATGGACAAGAGATGGTCGAGTCCAGGCCCACTATACGTATTGCTGCCAGTGCGGCACTGACGAGGAAAGAGGTGGAGAAGGCAGCGGGCGTCGTCAAAGCGAGTGTCACTCGCGTTTTGAGCAAGAGGAGATAGGGTCAGTTTGGGTCGACGGTCCTCCTTGGATGTATGCCAATCTATGGATTTTTCTTCTGTTATTTCAGGCTCTGGTGTCGATCCGTACTATATCCACTGCCAGAGGCGTATTATTATTCGACACCGCTACTTATATAGAATTACACCGGTACAACTTGAGAATCATGATATGAATAATGTGGATATGAATAGTTTCGTTATCAGCGGATGTTGATTGAGCTGTCCTCCACAAGCTTGATAGCTTCCTCCAAAGCATCGTCTAGTTCCGTTAGCCATGCCCACTCACTATTCTTGGTGATCGTATTGCCGAACTCGTGCAAAGGGACGGCCTTTTGAAACGTGTATAGTTGACCACAAAGCCTTGAGCGCATAGCCACGTCCGATGAGAATGGCCGTCTCAGCTTATCGTATATGGCGAGGGCCCTGGGAACCATGGCCAAGGTCGTGGATTTGTGTCCAAGAACAGTCGCGAGGAGGTAAGCATCCTATCAAATCAAATGAGCACGGTGTGAAAGGGGAGCTCAGATGTGCATAACTGACCTCGATACTCAGGCCAGCGCCAGCTCCTTGGAACGGTAGCATTCCATGGGCAGCGTCTCCCAAGAGCGCGACTCGCCCGAAGTTGGTGGATGGTAATGTTTTCACGGTGTGCACGGCCCAAAGCGTGCCTCTGTCTACGCACTGCGGAGATTGTCAGTGAGGACCAGTGACTTGGATTCGAATGACGGACCTCGAGAAGGACCTTCGCGTCCTCTTCAAAGTCTTTGAAAGGCTCGACAAACTGTTCAGCCGTGAGTTCCCCGACCCACTCATGATTAGCCTTCCCTTGGAAGGACCGACGAGGAATTCTTGCATCAGCTTCATACGCCGTGTCAACAAGATCGGGTTGAAGCGTGAAACCTGCAAAATTGATGTATTTGCCACGAGAAATTGTGTATACAAGGAAGAACTGCAATGCATCAGCCTCGGCACAATGTATATCATGATTTAAAGAGAGTCTCACAGCATCTTTTCCCATATACTGTAAATGAAGGCACCGCCAAGTCATTAGTGGTGTCTCGTGTAACTGGAATAAGGCTCACTTGGGTAATCCCTCCCCGAAAGACACTGTGGTTAGGACAACGTGTGCGTAGCTTCTCCGCAGAAATTAGGGTTCGGTATGCAGTGGCGCCACTCCAGACTGGGTTAATGCAAGAGAGCACAGACTGCTTTTCATTGGGATGCATGCCCTCGGCCAATTCGCGCATCATGCAGGACCTGACTGCGGATCTGATCCCGTCAGCACCAATCAAAACATCGCATGTCGCAGTCGATCCATCCCCGAATGTTAATGTGATTGGTGAATTTCTTGAACGACCATTGAAGGGCTGAGTGTATGATTTTAGTCGCTTGGCGTTGTGCGTTGTGCATGACGGTGGGAGATGTGAGAGAAGTATGCCATGGAAGTCAGCTCGATGAATACGCAATTGATTGCCTGTTCTACCGACCGTGGTTAGGGTAAGATGTATTTGAATGTAGAGGAAGGTTGACCTTTCGTCATCAGGTAAAACAGGTCAATGCCGACGGGTTGATCACTTTTACGGAACTTAATAGCTGGGACTAAAATTTCTCTCAGTGAATTTGAACATCTGTCGTATACAATTGTCACTGACCATATTTTTCGGTATATTCTGAACCGCAGCGCTGAAGCAGTTGCCGCTCGAAGTCAGGTCCAAAATTTCGCAAGACCTAGACGATTGCTTGACGCTAGCATTATTTTATTTTCCGAGGGACGTACCTTGAATGCCCTGGGCCAGATACCGAAACCAGCACCAACTTCATAGAAGCTCTGAGCGGCTTCGTACACGTCGACGACGATATCTGGGTATCGGGACAAAGCCACGGCTAATGTTAAACCGCCGACCCCTCCTCCACTAGGACAGAATTTTAATGAGCAAGACTATGACCACAAGTTGAAGACACCTCACCAGATAGCGATCCTGAATTTAGGTGTGGTAGACATTGTATCTGGAGACGATTAGCCCCAAGGTGCCAATGGTTTATTATATCCTGTTGGGTGAGAATTCGAGTGACGTCGAGACATACCTTTCTAGTCGCATTGTAACACGAAAAACGCGCACATCATATCAGGGAAAGGAAGATTGGACTTAATGAATATGTCCGATTGAATCGTGTCATCAGTCACGGCCAGTGTGAAGCTTTACTTATGCCGTTGGAATCGTGCATGAACATTGCGGGTAATACAAGGTTACCAAATTGTCCTGAAAGCGATGACCCTGCAACGAATAGTCTTGTTGGAAAATGGGCGTCTGAGTTACGGTACCTACACTAGCCTACACTTTGAGCAGGTTAACAAGGAGCAGTGCGAGGCACACGGAAAAGAAGCGACCTCAATGCATGAACCGAAGATCATAAACGTGTCCTGATTTGGAAATACAATATTAGAAATCGATGACGCCAAATTCAGTGTTTCAAGCTTGTCACAGCAAACCACATTCCAGGTGATTACAATCGATTCACACCATCGCTGCAGCACGTTCCAACTGACAGGATCGCACAGTTAATCATGACATTCACATACGTTATCGGTGGGTCACAAGGACCCTTGCAACCCTGGTGAAGCTTCATGTATTTACGCAGAACACATGGAGGAGGATGAGTCTACCCCAAAATCCCTCCCACCCTGGGTTGAGCTGGAATATGCGGCACGTAGTTACAACTCCTCAGCGTAATTCGCTCAAGAACTGAACATTTGTTTTAGCATATGATGATGTTGGCTGGTATTAATGGCCGAGTTGAGTTTACGCATCTATCGCATAACTCTAGTTCATCACTCGATGCCCGGCTGGCCTCCACCAACCAACCCGCTGCGTCGTACAAAGTCCATACTCAGTCAGTAATGGAGCTACTGGCGCAAAAAAATATTCCGATTACAAGGGTATGTCTCCTTGACCCGAAAGCTCAAACAGTACTCGCTCCAGAAGATGGCAAGATTTTCGATCATTTCTTGTTTGGGGTGAGATTTGTATTCGCCGAAACCTCGGGCTCCACTGATAAGCTTTATTTCTGGGCGCAAGGGTATACTAGGTGAGCACATCGAGGCTCCTTACTCATCAGATTATCCTGATTGCACGCCAGGTGATGATCCGCCTCGTGATCGAACATCTGAGCTCCGCCAACTTGGTTTCCCTTCACGTCACCTCGGTCAAATGCAGATGACAACAGATACTGCCCTCGGAGTAACGAAGAGGGTTGTCGATGACAAAGGTGATTCTTGCACTTTTTCACAATGAAACCGTTTCAATTCGTTTATAGTGCAACTGAATGCGATACCATACGTGGTGCGTCCCACGACATTCATGAGTATAACGAAGATTCATAGCCTATCCTTGTTTTAGGACTTCCCAACTATCGTATTCAATGCTAAAGAAAGCGTTGAAATGCCTTTTCGTCAGTGAAACCGCCAAATTACATTACGTTAAAACTAACTGTATAATTCACCCGCGGCGGTCGTCGAATTGCCACAGGGTATATTGTCAACGGCAAAGAACCCATTTTACCCCCCGGAATGCGGGAACTTCTGCACGAAGATCTTGACAAAAGTTTCGACTTCTAAAACGACTCACATATCAATTGCCGTTATACATGTTAGTCCTCACATCCCCCCTTAACAGTTTTACGTCCTCATATAGCGTCATCTCGTCTTTTACTACGGCTAATCGGAAAATTTCAGGTAATACTTTGGAAGTGAAATCATTTGAATATGTATTTTTTGACACAAAATTGCCAAACTAGCGAAGTATATTTTTGTGAGGAAAATAGCAGGCGAAGACAGCTTATAAAGCATCATTCTGACTTGAGCTGTTGCTACGAGGGGAATATAAAAAGTAACCGACAGTATGCAGCTAGTCGATAAGCAAGTCACGGCGGTGGAGGTCAGGAGGGACGACGACACATTTTGCTTGTAACTGTGTCCCTCTAGGAGACACATCACAAGCATTAATCTCGATGACCTACCCAGTACTCCGTACTCTCCATCACCTTCAGCGGATTTATCAAAGAAAAGAAGCTTACATTGATACGTGACCCTATCTATATACTCAAGCACTGTATACTTTTGAAGAATTGATTCAGCATGGTCATTCAAACTATCATCTGTCGTCCGTCATCAGGGTCACTATCGTCAGGGTCCTCGAACGAAACTTGCTCATCCCAGTGAAATGACCCAAGATTCCTTTCAAACCACTTCCTGTCATCCTTGGATAACGCCGGTCCACCCTCGACTGATATCAATGTAATGGGCGCCACGGTTGGAAATGTCCAGTCAAGGGTGTTGTGATCGTGTCTCCAGAAAAGGGATCTGCGTGCTATCTTCCTCCGCGTTGAAACCATAGTCTTGAGCAACCTTGGAGAAAAATTCGTGCAGTTGATAAGGTACAATTCTTTCACCCCCTTGCATGCGAAGGATTGGTCATGCGGTCCTCCATCCAACATGTCTCGTAGGAAATTATCATGGAAGCATGCAGAATTAACAAGCGAGAGTGTGCGTCCGCGCCAATGTGCAAGAGGAACCATCAAATCCTGGTCAGCCGAGAGATCATGAAATGCGACGCCACCAGAGATTAGGGAGTGATGGCAAGTAGTGATAGGGCAACGAGTAATGCGAGTTGCATCTGAGGCGCTGTCGACATAACCGATGATTTCCGAGAGCACCTCGCCTGCTAGGTCTTCCAGGTTCATGGATATTAGTTCTATACTAATATCATTCACTGTAGTCCAAGGACGCACTCGAGAGAAGTGCAGGTCCTTGAGCTCCAAGTAAGCGATGCCAGGGGATTCCTCAACTGCCCTCAACAGCTTGTACAGATCTATGCCTTTGTTTGAAAGGTGGCGATAGCGGGAAACTGAAAGCGAGCTTAGGCCGTGTAGGCGCCTGAGCCAGTTGTTACGGTCTACACAGACATCGAAGAAATTGCGGGCGTCTAGATAAAGGTTGCGAAGACCAGGTGCATCAAATCTCCAATGCACAAGTTTCTGAGGCGGGGATCCACCATCGTCCACTTTGCAGTTGAGCTTCAAAGTGTGCAGGTGGGGAGCGTCTTTCTGATGAAAGTCGTGGAGTAAGGACGGTAATGACGAGCTGTACATCACGTTGAAGCGGATGCTTCTACATCGCGCAATATGCCTGACGAGCTCGCGGGTTGCATTGCGGACCTTTGACCTCTCCTGCTTGTCATCTCCTTCGAATTCATCGCGATGTCTGGTGATGATGACATCCAGATGAAGATCCCTTGACCACTCGAAATAACGTCGAACATCTCGACTTCGTGTGTATTGAGAGTCGACTCTAATGACCACACGAGTCCAGAACTCTGGAACACGCGACAACACCGAACACCACACCGAACATACTGCGGCCGGGGCGTAGGGGAACAGCGATGATAGAGGATCGTCCAATCCCCACTTCTCACCAGTTTGAGTGAGACGACGAGACGACTGGTAAAGATGCGTAAATATTGCCAACAAGAGCTCGATGGGTAGAGCGCCTATGAAATTTCGTGTGGCGGCCGCGCGAGAGGCTTGTGTGGAGTAGTAAAGGGCGAACAGGGACTCGTCAGGACAACTCGAACCTTCATCGCTTGCATTCGATGGATCAAGGAGCACCTGTCAAACATAGAGGTTAACATTCAACTTCCACAGGCGACAGGGCGAGGTTAACTACAAACTCACCGGGCTGGTCATGGCAAGCAATCGCAGCCCTGATCAGCCTGTGTAGTTGTATGTTTGTCGATGATTTCGGTGGCTTTAAATATTTGGGAGTTGCTAGCACTGCCGCGGGCAGCAGCAGCCTTTTCTGAAAACCTTGGTTGTTTCACAAATCCAACATTCGCTCGTCAGTCGCTCCAGAGGTTTCTCAGTCGGATGGCAACGTGTTAGGCTGGGTCTTTATCATTGAATACCTCCCAGGCCTCACTCCCCGGAACATATCTCCAGCTGTATACATCCAAAATAGTATGCCAAGTTGCCAACTTCTTGAAGTACACTCGTGATCATGCCCTTCTTCGGATCGTCTCCATTGCAACGTCCGCTGCTAGCGCTCAACTCGCCACCAAGCTCATCTCCTACCGCCCTTGCGAAAACATGAGCACTGACACGAACAACTCCTCTGCAACTCCAAGGGCTGCCATCAATGTCTGTCATGTGATTCACCCGGAGAGGGCCAACGAGATCCGTGATACAGGAGTTTCCAGTGAATTCCTCAAAGCAAGCCAGAAGAAATTTCGCGTACGATGTACGCAGCCCGAGTGTCAAGTGACGTTGGAGAAACCTTTGAAATGTGCAAAGGTGACGGTCAAATCTCCAAATAATGTTGCAGGGTTCCTCAGTGTCGCAAATCACTTTTAGTGTAAGAGTGTCTGGTATTGCTCAAAAGAGGTAGGATTTGCAACTGGAACAACGCCGATGTCTGAAGTGCTGATTTCGTGTGTAGTGCCAAAGGAAACATTGGTGAGAATGCTGCCTACGATTGACACTGATCTTACTCCAGCCTTGAATTGACTCATGCCATGATAGGCCCACCCACAAACCGAGATGCCACGAAGTTCCACGCTCCTCGGGAGCAATCAAACTCGTACGAATGTTCATTTTGAATCCGGTGCTTCTGGGGCTCCTCAAAGTTGGTGTTATCATCGCCTGTGGCCTGAATGACAATCCCCGGATCGGATTCGACGTGCCGTTCGGGGTACGTGTTGATATGGCCATTGAGCCGAGTGATATCCTTCACTTCATTGGATTGTATCTCAACAACAGTACTGTTGGGGAGAAGCTTCAAGGGATGGTGCAGATCAATGCTATTACGCCGTGGGAACTTAGTCGGGATTCGGAGCGGCTAAAGAAATGGCGCGAGGCTCGAGCAACACATGACGCAGATGGTTTCGCCAATGATCCTGTTGGACTCGTAGATTTCGTTGATGTTAGTTGCACAGAGAGCTCTGGGAATGCAGCAACCGCCGAGCTGCACTTCCCGTCTATTGTTCTTGACATGGCAAAGAAGCGCGAACCCTTCTTAGGTACCTCTGCTGTCACGGGTGCTCAAATCAAGAAACCCATGAGTACTTTGACGTGTCTGGAGTAGGTTCTTTTCTGGATTTCAGCAATGTCCCAGCTTACGTTTACCTTGCATAGGACCATCAACATGCATATTCGGGCGGATAGGGAGAATCAGTTGCATTTACGCACTGAGATGACAGATCAAGACAAGGAAGTTATCCGCGCTGCAGGTCGCAACGAGGACACATATCTGGCGCGTATTGTTAAGGAAAAGATGCAAAGAGAACACCTCTATGCCAATATCGTGCAATTGACACACTAAGTAGTTAAATGTGAGCGAGCATTTTACCAGACTTCTCACTATTTCTGAATTTCGCATCAAAAACAGGGAAGGAAAATTCTGGCACGAGTAGCCTTCTCTCCTCTCCCCATGACCCCCTTGTGTACTGTGCTTCGTCCCATCGATGGTGCTTTGATTCTTAAATTGTATCTGCTGAAAATTTGACGTTTTGAAGATGCTTGCGCTCTCGATGGAGTCGAAGTCTTATGTAGAATCGTATGAACTGCGGTTACCAGCACATTCTCAATTGGTCTCGGTCCTCGGATACGCGTTCTCGTCGAATCATCCCTTCGAACGCCCGCTTATTGACAATATAATCGCCGGAAAATCTTGTGTAGCAAAGCTGAAGTCATCGCGACTAACCGGCAGGACAACATAAAAGGTCTGTAAGTCTGCCGTTGTACCGAATCGCGAATCGCAAAGTGAAACTAACATCTTGGTGTTGGAGTATCTCAAGGAATAAGTCTGCGTCACCGATCCAGAATGGAATCATGATGATCTTCGGACAGTATCCAAGAACAGGTCCGTGGCGGCGCGCTAGAGTCAACACTGTATCGGTCCCGATGCCTTTGCAGCATGGGCTATAGGAGAACATGCGGGTCTCATCTAAGCGCGCAATGTACCAAGTTAACACAGACGAATCTTCCAATTCAGGACGCCCTCAAACGACCCAAGCCCAAGTACACAGATATTGGGATCCTGCGCACGGTATGTCATTATGCCTGATCTGAGAATGTCTGGCATAACCCTCTTCAGTCTACGAGCGCTAGCCTCGCCTCGCGCCGAACAAATGACCCACCAAGCACACACTTCTACAGTACATTTCTGAACGCAGAATGTGCAGTGTACTTACCGAAATAATATCAAGGGAGGGTCAGATGAGTGCATCTTCACGTGAGTCACACTTCATCCATGCACTTACCCGCCATTCGTAGTTGTGAGACACAAAGAGATGATAGGTTGCCAGGAGTCCGAGGTTTCACGATCCAAAGTCATGCAGATTCTGAACCAATAGGATTCGAGACTAGTAATACTGACCCCAGGTTCCTGAAGCGTCAAACACAATGACGGCTTGTGTCTCCAGGCATGTTAGACCCTAAGCTACTGAGTGTACATGTGTGCAAAAATGCAAAATCGTCAAACTGGAGACCCCAAATCAGTACACTTACTTGAGACATTGGTAGCCAACGTATCCTTATCCATTGCGTACGGCAAGCGTACGGTGATTGCTCTATGTTGGCTGTTTAGAAGTGCGTCAACGACGTCGTCTGTGATTGCGGGCAAGTCGTGTCATCATGGCTATATTTGGGAAGTACAACTGCCTTTTTTGAATTAGCCAATCTCCGATTTAAGCGTTACGTAATGGTAATGTCACAACGTTCCAGCATCGTCAGAGGTTTCACTCTCGACCCTCACAAGGGCAGCAACTAGGTGCGCGAACTAATGGACGCCTATCCAACCCAGCTCGACAGTCAGGATGGGGCGGGGGATGGGTAAGTTTTCGGTCGAGTGATGTAACATCTTGATCTATGTTAAATACCTCCTAGGATCCATCATGATGATTCCCAGGAATCTGTCTCCGATTTCCATGACGGTGCTGAAATGCTGAAGCAACAATTACGGGAGGCGAAATCTTTCGCTGAAGAGGAGCGTAGAATTAAAAGTCTCGACGGGTTAATGAACACCCTCCTACTCTGCGTTAGTCTCGAATTTTCCTTCCAGAATGCAACTGAAACATTAGCATTTAGGCTGCTGCTACTGCGTTCATAAACAAATTCGCCACCATGCAGCCCAGCTTCCGCCTATATACCAGACACACAACCCTTGTAGCTGGGGTCAACGACATCTTCCGCACCATTAGCAATGGCACGTTCACGAGCCGAACATTCCTTTCGGTCTTCTCAGCACCTTCGTTCACATATTTGGCTCTACAAGGGGTGATGGACGCGTGTCTCTTCGTCCCCCCTTTCGTTGTGGTTGCCACTATCTTCGGGAAGTGGGCTTTAGGTCACTTCGGCATGAGTACGGGTGAGGACAACGGTGTGCAGGTAGAACGGCGACCATTGTACGACTGGCCTCAACATGTACGGGACCGCGTCTTGTCGTGGTCAAATACGTTGCCCATTTGGTTCGGTCTATCTCAAGCCCTCTATACACTATGTTGGCTCTTTGGGCGGCAACCGCTCCTAGCAACTGGTGTCGTTACGGTACTCGCTTTTTGGTGTTCGATTGTCCTCTACGTGACCAAAAAACATCTCACGTCCTAGTTTTAATTGTACGGTAGTTTATTCTTAATTCTTAATTTTGCTGAGGGTGCGCTTCCCCTTTTGAAGTTATAATTTGCGAGGAGTTCTTTTCAAACGAAAGACTGTCTGCCGAGAACACCAGAAACTCTCGAAAGCGTCCATTTAGCACTATGCGAATACTAGTGTACTGTACCTCAGCATTAGGGAGACTCTGACTTCGAGTACCAGGTTGGAGGTAAAGCAGGACTGAGCAAGACTAACACGAGAGACAACCAAAAATTGTCCAATGAATGTGGGGATTCATTCATGACCTCGGATGAAATTGATTTAGTTTGGGCGCTAACTTTTGCTGTTGAGCGGACTGTTGACATGTTGCGTGGCGTTTTGTCATGATAGCATTTCCAGTAGGTTTTGAGTCAATCCGGCTTGATCGCGGTGCACGAATATCAATATTCTGACGTTCCCTGGGTAGACAACTGTAGACAAATAACAGGAAGACAAGCGTCATTCTCCTGTATGTGAGGTAGTCTATGTGTGTCACAGCCAGCCGTCCCACATAGAACAACAAACAAGTTATATGCATTCCCGCCAGCGTGAATGCAGGTGGAAAACAACAGTTGTTGTCGGGGTTGCACGTTGCACGACGAAGCCTGCTGACAACCTGGCTGGCATGAGCTAACTAGATGTTCAGTTTAATTCTACTGACCTGAGTTGGTGTTCACTATCAGTTGCCCTGTGGTGAGAGTGAGGCGATGCAAGCTTGTGCAATCGAGTGACGGTGCACCAGTCTTGCTATGGTTCCTGCATACGTAGAATGTCTAGTAGCAAATCATCACTCGAGATTGCCCATCTGCAGGTCGTTCGCTTCTCAGAATTATATGGCAGTCAAGATAAAAACGTACACACCAGACGGCCAAAACCTTCTATCAGGGGATACTAGCCACCTCAATAGTTATCGTCCTGTTCAGAAGGCCATAGGCAAAATGGCTACACGACGCCGAACAGCAGATTTCGAAGACGAAGTTCGGGTAACCAGACAAGTCAGAGCCCATGATGCCATTGGTGTTTTTCCAGATTATGCTGCTTGTGGTAGTAGTTCTGCGGCACCGGGCACTGGACTTGTGACTTTTGCCAGCAGCACAAGCTTAGTCAGAATGGTGCTTCTTCTCAGGTTTCCCAATTTGGACGAAGTAAGCACAAGCGGGCACTCCCTAAGTGCTCTCCCCTACAGCTTACCTTTGCTCTCAGATTGCTATTGTTCTTTCATAACACACTGACGGCGCTCAGCGCCTCTGCTTTTGCGGGCTACCGCTATACCTGACTTGTGCTAGCCACCAACTCATTATCATGGCTTCAGATAAATCCACGCCCAGAAGGACAGTCGAGGACGACGAATCACGTCCGTATATCATAGTGAGCGATATCGGAAAGGGAAGTTTTGCAACTGTCTATAAAGGATACCACGAGGTGCGTGTCATTTCGTCTGTCTAGCTCTTTGCGATAACACGGCGCTTGGCAGGACACTCACCACCAGGTCGCCATCAAGTCTGTGCGACGAGATATACTTACTGCAAAATTGTTCGATAATTTGCAAAGCGAAATTGAGATCCTGAAGTCGTTATCTCATCGCCATATCACGAAGTTGATTGACATTGTTGTGAGCACCCCTTCTCTATCTACGCGAAACCATCCTGTTGTTGCTGTGTCGCAGCAGGACAACCTTGAGTTGTCTTTGGTCATTCTTATTTCCACTCTCTTTCATCTAAGCGCATATTATGAATGGCCCACTTTTTATCATATCCTTTCACCGGTTCTCTAATCACCTTGTCTTTAGCGCGCCGAACGCAACATATACCTTATCATGGAGTACTGTGCCGGTGGCGACCTAACAAATTACATAAAGAAACGCGGTCGCGTCGAGGGGCTAGAGTACGCACCCTCACCAGGAGCTGCTCTTCAATATTACCCTCATCCGAGAACGGGCGGTCTAGACGAGATTGTCGTGCGGAGTTTCCTGCGCCAGCTCGGTAAGAGATGGTAGCTCCCCTACTTTGCATTGATCTGATCTTTGTAAAGCACGTGCCTTGAAATTTCTTCGACAACGAAACCTTATTCACAGGGATATCAAGCCCCAGGTATGTTCGTTCACACAATACGAGGTATCCGATATCTTATTGTGTATAGAATCTGCTCTTGAATCCTGCATCACCAGAGGAACTTGCAAAGGGACATCCTTTGGGCGTCCCGATACTTAAGGTCGCCGATTTCGGGTTTGCACGCTCCCTCCCGAATGCTATGATGGCAGAGACCTTGTGTGGTTCACCGTATGTTTCCCTACCACTGTGATGTTCTCAACTTGAAAACCGCCATTCACAGTCTTTATATGGCTCCCGAGATATTGCGATACGAGAAATACGATGCGAAAGCTGACTTGTGGAGCGTTGGCGCGGTGTTGTACGAGATGTGTGTTGGAAAACCACCCTTCCGGGCCCAAAACCACGTTGAACTCTTGAAGAAGATCGAACATTCCAAAGGTGTCAAATTCCCAGACGAGGATCCTGCTCGTGTATCTTCTAATCATTCCACCCCACCTACAATAAAGACAGAAGAACCTACAGTTGTTGCCGTTGATATCAAGGACTTGATCCGTGCCTTGCTCAGGCGGCAGCCTGCCGAGCGCGCCAGCTTTGAGGAATTCTTTAAGAGCAGAGCACTGGCAAAGTCCAAGTTTCCTCGTCCTGCACCCGAACTGCCATCACAAAATGTGACGCAAGTAGAAGAAGAGGAAGTCGATGAAATCCCTCCTGGACAGATTCCTGAACATCATAGAATCATTCCACCGGAAGTGCTTGATCCGAAGGCTATGATCCCGCCCAGCAAGTTCCATTTCCGGAGAAGAGATGCTGCTGCGGAGGACGTGTCCGTCATCCCTCCGACAAGGTACGGGTCTTTGTCATTATCTTGAGCATCTTGATGACCTGAAAATAAATAAAAATCAGTACATCACCTGGGAGAGCACAGATAACGAATACCAACGTCGATCGAATACGAACCCCTTCAAATCCACCCGATCCTGAAAAGGAAAGGGTAGGGCCGAAACTACTTGCGGTTGAAGGTTCCATCATTCCAGGAGAGTCCGAGGAAGATGGACTCATCCGGAAGGAGTACGTTCTTGTCGACCCACGTACAGTCGAATTCACTCGTGCCGTTGATGGTAGTTTATGTTCCTTGTTATCGCTTTGTAAGCTGACCCTATCCACCTCAGAATTAAACAGACGACCGCTGCGGGATCGGCGCGTTCCCTTGTCACCTCTCGCCGGCGAAGCAGGCCCGCCCGACCACACAGCATCATCTCCATCAGGTTCGCCGCTATCCGCACCAATACCTACATTTCCACCGCCTCCCCACCCTCTCGCCCCTCCGCTATCATCATCACCCACGCGCGCAGCTACAAACGCTTTAAGTCGCGCCCTCTCTCTCGCCTCCCGCAAGCTCTTTGGTACATCGACACCCAAATCACCCACTTCTCCCGGCTCTAACCACTACCGCGGCTCCTCATCCCCTCGGCGTCCACAACTCATTCTCCGGACTCCCTCTGAAAGAGAGACAGAAATTGACCCAATGGAAGACGAACTTCTTGCGGATTTGGAAGAACTTGCACAGAAGACAGATTTCCTCACGCATTGGGCTGATGAGATGTATGAGTATGTCAAGGCTGTACCTCAAAGTACGTACCCCATACCCTTCTGTATACAAAGCTGACCCTTTCTCAGAGCCTCTACCTGATCCAGCGAAGTTTCTACGACGTGAAGGCGAGCCTGAGAGACATGCGCAGCGGCGGCGAAACGCGGATCAAGAAGCCGAATACAATGCTGTGACGTGTGTTGCCGTCTACATGCTACTCATGTCTTTCTCGCAGAAAGGGATCGACAAGCTGTGGAACTTCCAAGAGCACCTTCGGATGCGCCACCCTGATGGTGAATTCGAGGTGAGCGAAGGGTTCGATGACGGTATGTTCTATTTTCGCATCGAGAGTGCAGGCCAGTACTCATGCGGTGGATGAAGCTCTGTCGTGGTTCAAGGAGCACTTCATTAAATGTAGTGAACGGGCTGCACTGGTGAAGACCTGGCTCCCAGTGCAATATGATGGCCCTAAGATATACCTCGATCAGTTGGTCTACGACCGTGCCCTGCTCCTCGTACGCATTTTCCTTCATTTTCTGGAATGCTGGAGTTCATATCCCATGTTTAGAGCCGTACCGCAGCCCGGAAGGAGCTCCTCGACCAAGCAACAGCCCCAGACGAATGCGAAAAGCTATACGAGGAATCGTTATGGTGCCTGTACACACTCCAAGATGACCTTCAGACCGAGAATCCTTTTATGGAAGAGGACCGTGCTACCATCGCTACTTGTGCGGCCTTTCTTTAATTGTGTTGTGTATAGCCAGTTGAAACTGATAACGTGTCAGGGATCACACGAACGAAGCTCCGTCTCATTCGGTGTCGTGCGCGCATGGGCATGAACAACAGGGATCGGTTACGGGATGCGCTTGCTGATCAGAATCTCGTGGATGCCCGGTACCCCCCGCCATGGGACCCTCAGGCGGTCCAGCAGGTGCAAGAGCAGCAGCTACAACAAGAAGCCGCTATGTCACCCACATAGCAATCCCGTTGTTAACTAGTTGTACTAGTGATAATTTGGTTAGTGTCCATTGTCGTCTAGATATTATTGGTTTCTTTGCAGGGCATTTTTATACCCCGCTCTTTTGTTATTGATGCATCATCCGCACGAACATGTTTTACACTGGTGTATTTTAATGGTATTTTATGTATTGCATGCAATTACCCGTCTACTTTTTTATGAACAGGACTTCTATATTCCCTCATTGATTGTTTTATCGTCATAACTATCGTATGACTACTAATAGGACAATGCATACGGCCGCCAACTGCGGCGCTTGATGCTAAGAGACGGATATGTAGTACATAGTGCAGAATGGAATTGGACCAGCCGAATGTACACAAGATACCTCGCGTGGGTGACAGCGAAACTACTCGCATGCGCGAATAGTTGCAAAAGGTAACTATCTTCCTTTGTCTATAAATGTAAGACTAGATAGGACTAGCAAGATAGTAACATACGGCATGAGTTTTGGAGGACCTGCTATAGCCGGGAAGGCCTGCTTGAATAAAAAGTTGCAAGAAACCGAAGTGGTGGGAAGTGTTGTTCAGCGGAAGACGGGTTGAGAAACTGAAGGAACGATTGGCGATGGCTCCGAAGAAAGAGGAGGATTACACAGCAAGATAATGCGAAACGACGAATGCTATGCCAAGCAGAAGTTGGGTGTATAGGAAGGTATTTGGCAATGGACTGAGAATCAGGATGAGCCGCCTCGATGTGTCTGGCGACGACCCAAGTAAAGAATGCCTCCGAGACTCGAGGAGGCTACGAGACCTGCGACGATATGGCATGTTCAGGTTGATCCCATTACGGCCCATGAAGAATTTCCCCAGGATCATGAGGGTTGCGAAGAGACAACTTGATAGAACGCTGGTCTGTACGAGCTCGCGGGAGAGCGTGTAAGGGGGCGATTCAGGCGACGTTTGCTCCAACAGCGCGAGGAGTACGTTATTCGTCGCGGTATCATTCGTGATTTGGGTCATTTGCAAAAGCAGTTGATGCGTGGTTGCATTCCCAAACGCTGCGAAAGCGGATAATCGCAAATACAACATGCCTGTTATCATGAAAAACATGGCCTAAATTTGTGGGACAAAAGCACGTGTGATCAGGGATGGAACAAGGGTATCCATACTTCTGTTGGGACTTGGACTTACCGTGACTAGCGTCCAGTCAAGTGAGACAGCAAGCCTGTCAAGAACAACCTCGGCGGGATCATCTATGAGTTCTTCCTCTGCTAGATTATCTTTAATCAAGTCCTTAAACCGTTCCAAGCATGCAATAAGCTCTTCCTGCGAGTCTAAAGATTTGGAAGAAATAATTTCTTGGGAATGGTTTTGTGACCTGAGTGGAGAAGAATTTAGAACAAAGTGAGCCAGCAAGAGATCAATTGGGTTTGCCTGTCATCCTTTTCTCCAGGTGCGTATTTGCTTGAAGGATTGTCCGTATACAAAGGTTGAGACATTCTTTGCGACATGGTAGGTGACTGGGAGTTAACTGGGAGCACTATGTCATTATGAGTCTGGTCTGGTGGCAATTTCTAGCCATCCACGTGACCCCTATCTGCGGCGAGATATATTAAGCCGATTCAGGAATAGCAAGTTCAATTTCCAATTTCGATGAGTTGCCCCGCACCGCCATGATGATTCCTATGAATGCATGACCTCTATCAGCTGCGCAACCTAAGACCAGGGTACTAGTCATTCAGTAAGTGGCCAATGAGCTTCACATTAACGCGCCTCATTGTGATATGAGATACCATGTAGCTGTGCAGACTCGGATCGACTTGGACCAATACACGAGGTATGCATATCTGCTATTAGCCAATGCTGAACTCATGTTTGATCCAAAACAACTAGTCAGACCAGACCGGACTCAAAGCCGGTGTCCTTGCGAATTTCAAGTCTGAACTCTATGTACTGCATACTTGATTTTTCGCCTGCGGAGTTTATCAGAGGATGAATTGAATACCAATCCCGTTAGCTTGGCCGACTACGACGGACTATGACGAACGATTGTTCAGGTTATTTGAACATCTATCCGTGTCCTGCAAGCTTGACTGGAACGCGAACATTGGGATACTATGGGGTGCTTCAGGCCCATGTTCCGTTCCAATTATCACTCCATCGGTCACTACTTCCATGCACACGATTCTAGGTGAAATTCAGTTTATTGCCTTATCTCCGACATTCCGCAGTCATTCCGCTCCGATATATCATCTTTCACCCTGCCTTATGAACCTGGTTCGTTCTCACAACCAATGACAAAATAGGACTCCGCCCATCATGTGGCCCAAGGGACGTTCACAACGTTTTTTCCCTTCATGCTGCCAGGCGGGAGGTGATAATTACCTCTATGAACCGGCTTTATGCCGAGGGTCAAACTGGGTCAAATTGTACGGAGACTCCGCTCGGCATTCTAGAACAAATCTACGCCTTGGTATAAGTAAGAAACAGCGCACGGGTACCTTGAGCAGCAGGATTGTGCATGTATTAAACGGGGGGGTTCGGCGGTTTCCATAACATGATCCAAGACATTCCTTGATGGGGAAAACCAGGCTTATGACATTCCAGAACATGAGCATCAGTCACTTCACTCACCGCTCTTTTAACTTTTCACCAACCGCTAGTTACCAGCCATTCGATCACGGCAGCACTTGGGTTATCATCACATGTCTCTGTCTCTGTCATCACAGGGCTCTAGCAGGTAACCTGTTATCCCACCGCCATCCAGACATGCAACTGTCGTTCGTTATTCACCGTCGTTCTGCTGTACCCCCCTTCCAAGAACACATCACTCTGGAAGCTCTCGTGTTCGGTCCTGAATATTGCCCTGCAATTCCGCCCGCTGGACTCTCGCGAATTATTTTTTGCACTGTGTTGAGAGTCTCGGGACTGATGCACACACAAACGAAGATACCGAATCGTCAACATTGCAAGGTTCATGGTTCCCGTTATCGAGGACTCTGGGGATAGACGCGAGCAACTCTTGCTCTCCACTTGTATGAGGAACCCGGGCGCCCTGCTCTTGAATATGGTCACTAAACACGAATTGCTGGACGCACGGAGCACAGCGGATTCTAACCATAGGCGAATGCTCCATCAATCGCTTGGGGGGCCCCGAAGCTGTAAACTCTCCATACAGGCCATGTTTGCGAGTTCTCTAATGACTAGGTAATACTATCTACCAATACCAGCTCTTGAGTCCCTTTACTCCTGTGGCGTATCGAGAGCTTGTTCGCTTTCCCTCCCTATCGACGCCGCATCGACATTTGCGCCACACCGGGCATTAGCTAAGGCCTCAGTACCTTCTGGCCAGGGGTGTAGATTTTTTCTCTCTCTCCGCGAAGCAGTAGTGTCGGGGCGATGGCACACGTCCTGTACCTTCGTTTTGCATGTCCGCTATCTCAGCGAAAGGCACCCTGAATCTTACCACCCCTCTCGTGGCGTCAAGCTCTGGAGAACCTCATCTTGGGTCATAAGCAAGTTGGGATCAGCCCTTTTATCTCAAACGTATTGCCGATGCTGGGGCGGCCGACTCGGATATACGGCACATTTCTTTGAACCACCAATTTGTGCATGTGCCGTTGAATGTTAATTGTTGAACGACAGGGTCCTTCTTTGCTTCGTCATTGACTTACAGGGTGACGAAACTGGACGAAACGATGGCATTAATATTGTGATGCCCCTTGCCCACACCCACAGCCCGGTTCCCAATTTGCTACTGTTGCGCATTGGTTGCGACGGATAATTATTAAGCATGACAACACAAGCATAAGGCATCGTACCAACTGAGCAAGTATGCATGTTTATCCTTTTGCAATAGCAGTAAACCCCTAGCTCAAAAGCAACGATAGCAACAATCAAAATTACACGAACGAAAACTAACCATTACTGTGGTATGTAACCATGAAATAATTCTGAGATCAAGTCAGTCATGAAATAATCAGATTTCCAAGGTCATGAGATGGAAGCGTGAAAGTCAAACATCATCACAAAAATAACAGCGCGCACTCAGCGACGCTCTGAATCAAAGAACGCCACGAGCTGTCCTACAGGAACCTTCTTTCCTGGACCCACTAGAGGCTTTCCCTTTCCCTTCTCCGTTTTCTCCTGCCGCCGCAGAACAAGCGGATCCACAAATTTGGCTTGGTCGCCACCAAACGTGCTATCCGACCGGAAGTCAATGGACTGCGATCGGAAACGGTGTGATGACTGTGAAGACACCGATTGGTTACTCTGCAGTGGATTCGCGAACCCAGCATATGTGGACTGCGCGCGGGTACGGTTACCTGGGCTGTTATTACCAGGCGCAGCGCTCGCCAAATCACCGCTACCAAACTTTGCAGTAGTCATCGCACGGAACGCGGATTTCTTCCCTATGGTATTATCTGCGGCAATTTGGTCATCTTCGTCGTCGTCACTGCTCTCCAGTGCAGAGGAGAAAGATGGTGTGCCAAAGCCCGAAGGCTCGCTCTCGTAGTCGAACTCAGCTTCAGCGGGTGCTACAATGGGTCCTCCAAGGGCGACGGTGTATCGCTTACGCCCTGCTTGCATAGGCGAAGGACTCACGCTGCCTCGGCGGGGGCTATGCATACTGGGAGGGGGCAGGCCACTCGGGCTAGGGGATGGCACTTGACCAGGCGGAGAGAGTGCAGCGGGGAGTTCCAACGGACTGGATAAAGCTGGCAATCCCGAAATCATCATAGATGTAGGACGTGCCGGTAGTGGAGGCGAACTAGCTGGAGTGTGAGGTGGGGATATTAGTTCTCCCGGGCTGGTGTAGTCGCCCGTTGGATATGGAAGACGCGTCCTGGACCCTGATGGTGTACGGCGTGTGGACGCACGAGCGAGGGGTGGACTCGTCGACTCGCGAGCTGTAAGAGATGGTGCACGGCGGGGAGTGGAGAGACTGCGTATATTTTCTAGAGCCGAAGTAGTATTAGAGGATGAAAATTCGGAGAATGTGCCGTCAGCTGTGCTAGAGAAGGTGGATTCATGAGGGCTGACGATGGACGACTCCATCGGAGGGGCGGTGCTCATGACTGGCGAGCTACGGATGGCACCATTAGAGGAGATAACGGCAGGAGATGTTGCAAGGCGTGCCATCTCTCGGCCGAGCTCTGATGTGCGAGACTGTAGCTCAGTGACGTCTCCTCGAATAGCAGCCAGCTCAGACTCATGAGAGGGCTTCTCGGTGTTTGAAGACTCCCTCTCCGTACTGCGTTGATTTTCCTTGTCGACCAGCCAGCGCTCAACATCACCCATACGCTCTTCGAGCGCACGCACGTGGGTGACACTCCATCTCTCTAGCTTCTCGAAGCGCTTCGCAATTAGTAGCAGTGTACCTGGTACATCCAGAGTACCCGAGGGTGTGAACGAAGCGTAAAGTGGAGGTGGCTCGCGAGCAGGTGAGCCGCCTGGAGAAGTTCCTCTCTGAATTGAGGCGGGCGAGAGATTGATCGGAGCTTGTGTGACACGGGCAGGGGATAGGTTTACAGGTGTTCGGACTGGAGTCGGGGAAGTAGGAGACGACGTGCGAGGGGGAGGGCCACCTGGTGGTATTTTCAAGTTGAGGTAAGCGGGATTGGTGTATTTGCTCGTAGAAGAGGCAGGCCATTCCTTGTCCTTTCCTTTAGTGTTCTTCGTTTCCTTTTCGCGAGCCTTAGTTTCTTCTATGACTTGCTGGGCTGGAGTGAGAGGTTCTTTATCTTTTGTAGGAGTCAAGCGTGCTTTGGCGGCTGTCCACCAACTGGGGCTACTGTCCTTCTGAGAGTGCGCAGGAGAGGGGGGGTTTGGTAGCGTCTGCGATCTACTTCGAGGAGGGGGAAGTGATTGCGGGGAACTATTCATCATGGCAAGCACGCGTTCCTCCACAGCCCGCCTTTCTTCTGCTTCTCGTGTGAGTATACGTTCGGCTTCTCGTCGACTTCTGTCGCGCTCTCTCTGAGCTTCAGCTTCCAATTCTTCGTCAGACGGAAGAGGTCTGCTTGTTACCGAGGGACTGATGAAGGAATTGACGCGGTTTGCGAGTTGCGCAGCGAACTGAGTGACTGAGGCAGAGGTAGGGGAACGGCTGCGAGGCCACGTGCGATCTTCCTCTTCTTCGTCATCATCATCATCATCTCCGGAGTGGCTGCCGTTTGAGAATCTTCGGTGGGTAAATTCGTTGCGTAGGGGCGATGGTGGCCGCCGGGGTGATGCTGGGGCGTGCCCAGGATGACCATAGACAGGTTCAGGCTGTACGACGCGATCAGTTGCCCATTTAGCAGCAAGAAAAAATCAACAAGGGATACCAGGTTCAACGATGTTGGAGGTGGCAGGGCTGAAGCCGTCATGCGCCGCTGCTGGGAAGGCCTGGGGGAAGATAGGGCGTTCAGATTGGCGAGACTGGGTGATAAAGACGTGGAGGATGCAGTGTTGGCGATTGAGTGAGATGAAGCGATCTGGGACGCCATTGTGAACGGTGAGCTAAGGAGGCGGGCTCGCCGTCTCGGACGACGACGAGAGTCCTCTGGCCTCGGTTGAACTTGATGGTCAGTTGAACATCTGCAGGCGTGAGAAATATGTACCATAATAGTCACATCAGCGACATCAATAAATAAAATTTGGCATGGCGTCGTTATAGAGGAATCGACTGGGACTTGCTACAATTGGTTTCGTGCAAACTCTCAGAGAGAGTTAATTCCATGAACTGGACGATATCGCATACATGGACTCGAGACGCGCCGAGACGTACGCCCGCTGTTATTATTTTGATGCACATGGCCGACTTATTACTCTGACAGGCTCGAGGCGCTGTCCGCCTACATACAGACTCAGAAGTCTTTGTTCAGTCGTGCAGAGGCCGATATAGACAGGCTTAGGAAACTGAGGACAGATGCGCTTAGCCAACCCAAGATCTTCACCGAGAATATCGGTTCGAAGGTATGCAGTTCACCGCGTGCTTGATAGTTCGCCCTCCATCATTATTTTATAGTTCAATACTCCTGACTTGAGGTTGTCGGAACATAATGAGTGTTCCGCATCTCCCCTTGCGAACGAGCTTCATTGGCAGGTTTTCTCCTCGGCTGGTAGGGGTTTTGCTCTTTCATTTGCCTTCCTGCAATCTGAAATCCCGTCTTCATCGCAGACCCCACACCTTTACGAACGTTTGCGGTCCGAAAGCGTCTTACACACACGGAGTGGAGCGTGCCGCACACCACTCAACATTCCCCTCTTTCCGCCCTCCAACAATTCGTCAAAGATGCACGGCGAATCATCATCGACCCAGTCCTGGGAAGCCTAGACCCTGATAACGCAGTATATCTTACGTCTAATTCTAATCTTAACGCATCTCCATTCCATGCCGGTCTAGATCTGCCTACGTTATCCGAGGACGAAGACATGGAGGAAGAGAAAGAAACCAAATCACTACCTGTTCAAGAATCCTTCACAGCTACGCGCAGGCGTGAGCGTGCACATGCAAAAATACAGAAACTCAAAGAGAGAAAGATTACATATGACGCCGTCGCTGAGAACCGAGAGGTGGCTGACGCAGTATTTGTCAGGAATGATGTAGATGATGAAAGTGGGGAGGTTGATATCAGCGAGAGCAGCCTCTGGCCATCAGGCAACGACAGTACATCCATGGATGCGGATGATTCCACAAATACGACTGTCCCATCTACCCCATCCACAATAGCACCACCAGAGCTTGTTCAGCCTTTAGCATCATGGTCCAGGAGACACACTTCGACCGTTAATAAACGACAATCCCTTGTCACCAAGTCTGACAGCCTCAGTCGATCTTCCCGTTCGCGCAAGCCATCTCTCAAGCTCCAGCCTCGGTCGCTCGACACTAACATGAAGACCAACGCCGAATCCATGACGATCACCATCCCCCCTCTTTCTACTCTCGGCAAACGCTCCCGTAACTCAGCTGATGTCAAGGATGTTAACCACAAGGGCAAAGCCGAGCCATCACCACCCGCACTGGAACCAAAAGCAGACCCAGACAAGCCAAGACCCGAAACTTATAAGCAGGCATGGTCAGTATCTGAGCAGCACCTGCTCGAGCGGCTCCTCGAGGAGATTCCAGATGGTGAGCGCAATCGGTGAGTTTTCATCATCTCGTCTGTGCTCAAAATACTCAAGCCGTTATAGATGGGCAAAAATCTCCCAGGCCATGGGTGGTCGCCGGACACCACGCCAGGTTGCGAGTCGCGTTCAAAAGTATTTTGAAAAGTTGAAACGCTTTGGTGTAGGCGTTGAAAAGAAATCAAAAACAAGTTCTAGGAGTTAATCACCTTGCATACCTTACGAGAAATACAGTTTAAAGGTTATTGGGAGATGTCGACACAACCAAAACATAATAAAGAAGAAACGGCTACCGCCCTTCTACTGGGTCTGGGAAAGTAGAAACGACAAAGAGACTACACATACTGGCAACCAACTTTGCTCGCTATTCTTATCACTATCTTCGAACCCTAACCCTAAGGTCCTAGTCATTTTCGTCGTCTGAGGGACGTAGCCAAAGGTTGTCGGTCACGATCAGCGCGTTCACTGCCCGCGAACACATTCATTTCACGAGCAGTGACTTTCTCTCCGTCCGCTAGTTCCTACAAATCAACTTTCCAAGTCCCAGAAACACAATGTCGACTTCAAGCTTTGATCCTAACAATGCTCAGAATCTCATCGAGGTAGACCAATCGTCTTCAAACGACCTTCCTGTACTGATGGACATAATTCGTTCTCCTTGCTTCGTATGAGCGTAGATAGAGAAGCAGTGAGTGCCGAAACAAACTGGGCGTCTAGCGCAGATTGATCTATGCGGACCCCGTCAATCTCCGCAGATTTGCAGTGAAAGCGGTTGAACATGCTCAGGTGCGGGAAGCTCGAGGTATTCAAAATTTCACTGCGGCTGACGCCATCATGGCTTGGGAAGACGTACTGGAATCTGCTCGAGAAAGTTCCTCCGCGTGCACTCAAATTGACAAAGTGAGGCTTAACATCGCTCTTCCAATCGGGGCATGCAGCGGCTCATTTTAGTGGACAGGCTGGACGACGAAATATACGAGCATACTATGTCGGCGTTCCCTGAGTTTAACGTGGAGGGTCATGCACCGCTCGTCAAGCTCGATGAGGACTGGCTCAAGAGCGAGATTGGAAAGAAGAAGTGGAGAGAGTTTTGTCAAGTGTGAGTGCTATTGGTATGCGCTACGAGTCAGCTCAGAATTCAACCCAATTTCAGGTATGAAAAGAAAGTGAAAGATTACAACTTTGGATCTCTCATCCGCACAGATGCAAGGCAAGAGTATGGGGAAACGAACACCATCTTCGGTAGATTGATTTTTGATTTACTCCCTTCCTTGATGTTAACATGATGACGTCTAGTCACACGAATACAGTTCTATGCCATCGAGGTGAGTTCAGAATTATCAAAATTACTGATGGTCTTACGGCTTCTTTACTAATGAAAACTTTCCCTTTATTCCCCCAGATTGCCCGGAACCGACTCGGTCTAAATGACGGGGCGCACGAAATTGCCAAGGCAGATGCCGAGAGGGAGAGGTTGAAGAAGGAGAAGGCGGCGAAGAAAAACGGCACATCATAGCCACTGCTTCTCCTCAGTGTCGTGTAACCTTTGTGAGTAACTTGGCTCCAAATGATGGGTACCCCCTTGATGAACATCATCTAGGACAATTTGTAGGACTAATTACAGCGGTGCGGGCATTATGTGTGTTTCTCAGACCCAGGGTGTCTGCTCGTTCATATTTGCATCTGATGATGGAATTTCTTCGCCCCTTGGTGGCGTCGAAGTGCCTTGCCTTATCCACAGCCCGACGACGTCACCTGGGGCACTTCGTCCACTCTACCCCCACGCTTGTCATGACGCTCAACAATCGCTGCAGTAAGTACCTTGGAGCATCCGGCTGTCATAATAATGGTTTGATCGATCGTCCCCTCTTTGCTTATATTTATGCTTTCTCCGCTAATTTACAGCCCTGCCGCAATCCTCCTTCAGGCCCATAACATATTTTTGTTTGCTCCAAGAGTTATGAGATTATGTTCACGGTGGCGAAGTTATCTTACCCGCTGACATGGGAAAGAGAAGCTCGTCCTTTGACAGGTTATATGTCAAATGACGTCGTTGCATATCTGATACATCGTATTCTATTCGCGCCGCTGATACAAGTGCTGTGGCCTACGTACGAGGAACGCAGTATCGCTGCACTCAGTGACCGCAGTTCAGCTACTCCATCGCGTGTGAACGCAGACGGTCAGGGATAGCCAGCAATAAGGTCCCCGACGCGAGAGGGGGACCGCGTGAGTCGGAGAGGGCAACACCGAGCATAAGTCGTATACGTATCTTGTAGACCCAGGTCTGCGCTGCCCGCCCTTGGGTAATCTTATTAAACTCGATACTGTGACTTTCATCACGTGGTGTGACAGACCGTGTCGTCTGCATCAATCACGGTTCGCGTCAAGCACCGTGAATCTTTCTGCTCACAAGACTACTCGCCCATGGATGACGATGTCGTTTCTATTCACTCATCTCATGAATCCGGTCCAGAAGAAATCGACAGAAGGGCTATTTTAGAGCCTGTCGTTCAACGCGTCGTCGATGCACTCGGTGGTTACGAAGGCGGCGCCTACCGCATGGGCGATGAAGTCAGCGGTTGTCTCCGAGATCTGAAGAAGCTCTGGCGAAAGGATGATACAGACGACGAGCGTACGGTAGCGCGCATATTTTGGGAGACCCGGGTTCTCCCAAATGACCTTGTGCCGATATTGTTGGCGACTGCAGGCAAGGGGCTCGTGGAAGACAAGCGGGCCATCGCATGTGCAGACTTAATGACTGCCATGACCTGGCCAATCGATATGGCGGAGGAGCTGCAGGAGCTGGATGAGGAGCTTGATAAAGGGACGGATTATACCCAGCTGATGTTCAGCCATCTCAATTACAAGGCTGCGCTTCTGACACCAGGCGTTATGCAAGCCCTCTTCGGGATTGTACTCCCGCCAATCTCAAAGCACGCAAAGGAGAGGAACGAGCGCGACGGACAGATAGTAAATCTGGTTCTACATCTCATTCGGAACTTGATATTCATCAAGGACCTCCCTGCAAATATGTACCTCAGTGCGGACCAGGCGGAGTACTCGAGTTTGCAGACTAGACTTGTGAAAGCACTATCGGAAACACACACGCTGGACTTGCTTCTGACCATTGCTGCCAATACATCTAACGATCCTCTTTTCAACGCATCAAATACCCTTGTACTCGAGATACTCTACCTCTTATTTCGCGGCGTAAAACCTCATCTACTGGCTATAGATCAATCAAAGGTGGAGTGCCTTCTTTTCTTCTGCTTGTATTCTAACGGCACCTCAGCAACCAACGCAAAACCTTCACCGGCTGCTTGTTGCAGAGGACAAGAAAAAGAAAGATTTAGCAAGAAATGCATCTTCCCGCCACTCCCGTTTCGGAACAACTGTTTCCGTTCAACTTAAGCCGAGCAAGAGATCAGCAGCTCCAGATGCAGACACCGAAGACCGAAACGATTCAGCGCATGGGAGCGGTCATGGGTCCAGACCGCTCGTCCTTCATCGCCAGGCAGCTATCACACGAGAGTCTGGAAGCGTCCTCGACTTTGCGAAGCGTTCTAAAGCTCGCAAAAGCAACAAAATTGACGAATTAGCCCGCGAGGACAATCTATCTATAGAAGCCAAGATAGTCCTTCAGGGTTTTGCCCGCGAGTCTGTGGATTCATCGTTTAATCGTCTGTATAGTTGCTTTTCATTCTCCTAGTCCTCACGATTCTCTCGGCAGCGTTCCTCCGCTCTCTACTCAAAGATATCAAGTCCGAGCGCCCGAAGATCAAAGAAAAGGATCATCTTCGACTCCTCTACGTCACGAAGTGGTTCCTTGAATTTTTCCTTATATCCCGCTCCAACGAAAAGGCCGTCGAAGGACAGCGAAAATGGAACCTCGGGCTAGTAGCGGAAGTTACCGACCGCGGGTGGATCATCTGGGTACTGAAGCGGATGAGACAAGCCATGGAAGAAAAGGTATCGCGAAAGTCAAAGCTATCACCTGTTCAGGTCGTTGGCTCACATTAGCCATATTTTTTCAGCCGAAAATGTGGAACGAGCTGCAAGCGGGAATAGAATGCCTTACCCAGCTCCTTCTCCTGATCGACATCATGTCTTCGTCGGTAATCTCCGACCCACAGCTCAATGAGGCTGCTGCTGTCTTACAACAACAGCTGATTTATAATGGCGAAGTTCTAGACATCTCGCTCGAAAGCCTCCGATCGTACAAAGAGGGGACACAATCGCTAGCCTATTTAAATGCCACCGTGCATCTCGCTTATGCCTTGCTACGGATGTTGGAACGGTGGGGGAAGGAAAATACCGGGGCAGTGTACGTCAGGAAAAAGAAGCCGGGTAAGAGGAAGAAGACTACGGGTAAGCCATGCATTTTCCACCTTCAGTGTCATTTTAAGTTATCGCAGGTCAGGGATTAGCTGATGAAGATGGTGTGCCTGACGTCGAGAACGAGCCTGATGGAGATAGTGAGGAGGAGGTCGTCCACGAGACAATGTTCACCTTTGATGCGTTTGAAATGGTGCGTAGCACGGTCGAAGCGGAACAATCGTTTGACAGTTGCTTGATTGATGGCAGAAATTCGCAAACTCGGAGATAACGAAGACATTGCTAACATATCTTTCGCGCTACAGAGACTTTGATTCCGCCGAGTTTATGAAGAGGGTGGTGAGCTTGATCCACCGACAAGTCGTCAAAGCTAAGGCAGAAGGTCTATATTTCAACGTACGTTGCAATTCCATGCTGTTTGTCTCTTAACACCCAACTTCTTGTAGGTATCGACACTCAATCTTTTCAAATCTATTCTCGATGATCAAAAGTCATTGCCGAAAGACCAGTCGTCTAAGGACCTTGTGAAATTGGTCAATTTCATTTTGCACAGGTTCTTCAAGGCGTTGGAAGAAGAGCCATTCCTTGCGGTGGAGGTGAGGTTTTCATTTTTGTTATCTCACATGCTAACGCTTACAATGCTTATCTGTCTCACAATCTGAAACAGGCATTCTTCCCCAAGAACCGCGGACACTGGAAACAGTACTCGAGCTGGGAACCGGAACGCAAAGGCCGCCATGAGCGCGAGACAGTAGAAGATACCCAATTCCCTCCCGAGGTGCAGGTCAAGAAGGGTTACTCATGGAGTGAGCAAATTGGAATTGCAATAGCTGCGCTGGTGGAAGATAGGAAGACCGAACTTGTAGAATGGGTCAAAGACGTTCGTTTCCATGTCAATCATGTTGGCCAAAGACTCCCTAATCATTTCCCAAATGCATAGATTCTGGTGCTAGTCATTCGCCAGCGCAATAGGATTGTTGAAGAGACGGATCAAAAGCACAAAGACGAAGACACTGACTTGGACGACGATGAACAGAAGAAGCTAACTCCCTCCGCAGACGCAATCTCCAAATTTATCGATTATTGTAAGTGGTTCTGGATGATTTTCCCTCTGCGCTAACGCCTTGTCAGTGGTACCGTACATCAGCGATGAACATGCAGAAGCCGCAACGAAGAATTCGACATTGAAGCTCGTGTTTCGCCTATTAAAGTTCACCATTTATGACGAAGGTTCGTTCTATCGCGAAATTTGGAGCAGTGACCAGCTGATCAGTTCATAGATGGTGACGAATTACAGTGGATCGTTCCAGCAGCAATTATTCCTTCTGAGCTCCAAAGCAGCCTCAATGTCGTTGATCAATTCCTCCAACATCCCATCGACCTTGACGGCAAGAAGGCTTCGCAACTCTTGAGCAAGAAAACCCGTCGGCGACGCAGGCGTCGATCACCCTCTAACTCTGACGTCGAGCTTGTCGATGATGACGAACCCAAGCGCAAGAGACGGGAGAAGAAAAAGAAGGAGGAAACGCAATACAAGTCAGCACAGTTCATTGAGGACAGTGATGCGGAGTACGGGGATATGGAGGCCTTCCTCGAAAGGGAAAAGGCATTAAGAGATAAAGCTGCCATGGCAGCAGCGCAAAGTGGCAAGATCGGAACCATGCGAGCAGCGGGAACCAAGAAACGGCGGAGAAAAGGTAAAGATGTTGAGGCTAGGAAGAAGGGTAGGGTGGGGAACTCCGAGAATCAACCGGCTGGAGAGTCCAGCGCCGATGAAAATGTCTTGGACAGTGAAGATGATATCCTCGGATCCATGCGGAGAAGTCGCTCCTCAAGTCCTAGCGCTCCAGCATCTCGGCGTGCACCTAGGGCACGCCCAAGACCTCGGCCGGTTCCAAAGCGTTCTGCAAAGCAAGAGATTTCTATGGACGCCGTGGACGAAGGTGATGCAGGGATGTCAGTGGGCGTTCGACGCACCGTGAAGGGGCGACTGGTCCTTTCCGAGGATGATGAACTGTGACAGTCCATCCGTCATGACCGCATGTGTCGTCATCCCGTTTGAATGTAGTATTGATTTTTCTTCATGGTTTTAAGTTTTGCAACAGACGCTATTATATACATCCCAAGAGCTCGCTTGGCGGTAATTTATTCACCAGTATTTCTTGTTCAATTTCAGCGCTAAGCCCGCGGAACTCAAGTAGGGTATGCATAGGGGCCACAAACTCAGTGACATCTAGCTGCAAGCCGTCACCTCCGTCACCTTCTGCCCGTATTCAGTAGCAATTGCGAGAGACCGTGTCGATATCAGCCAGCGTTGCAATTCTGAGGGTGCAATGTTGCACGTGGACAAAAAGGAATCGGACGCGTTGCATCTGCATTGCATTTCACAATCATATCTGAAAGCGGACCCGACTTGCCACCTTTTGGCTGTATAAAGTGTTGTGGAGCCCACGCGCAAATGACTAGGGCGTTGCGATCAAATCGCTTCCAACGTGTCAACTTTTTTTTTGCCATTGCCAGCTTGGTCTTAAGTGTCAGTACCGGTCCGCTTGTAAATCCCTTTTCACCTGACTGCAAGACAGCGTAGTGATAGGTAAATATATCTACATAAGCTGCGTTGACTCGGATGCCACCTGCTAAATTTAGCGGATAGAGGCCTTGAAGGTAAGCTACTGGCTCCTTTCCGAAGTGCTCTTTTGCTATTGCAAAAGGAGTAGCCAACGGGCTATATCAATTGTCCCCGTTGCAATTGGGGGCCGCATTATTAAAGTTGACAACCTTCCCGAAGAGCTCATACTTACATACGAAGGCGCCGGCGCAAATGATATCCGTTCATCTCAAAAAGTTGGTCTTCGGGATTCGACTCGGAGGAGCTCTCTCCCAGAGAGCCTAGGAGAAACATTGTCCCGAAGGTCAAGATGATCTACTTCTTTCACCTCCACTGAGAAGTTTAGGCTGAAGCCTCTTCCCATGCAAATCTTGGAAGGTGTGCTAGTAACCCCATTATCTCGGTTAGATATGCCTTGACCTTTCCATGAGGCTGGAAGGAGAGCTCCCGAGATAGCTTAATTGCCGGTGATCGCGACATCCGAGTGCTCAGGATTGTGAAGATTAATGCCACCACGATCAGACTTGTGGCCGCCACTGGGCAGCCAGATTTTCCGGCGTTATAGACCAAGACTTGGAAATATGCCATCCCAATATACGATGTATGTATATAGCCAAGCCAAGGACGGCCTCGATCAATGAGCGTGAGCGTTGGCTGTGGGACAGAAATAAATCGACGAAGCTCCAATGAGGAAGGAGGATGGTCGGCCACTGGCCACCGAGCCGCGACCCCATGTCCTATGGTGGAATGTTCCACGCCTTGCGCCTATCATAATTGGAACCGCATCAGATATTATGTATGGGGTTGAATGGGCGAGGTGCTCGACCTTCGGCTCTTACATGCCTATATTGGAGGTTCCGAACCGCAGGGATACAAAGCGCTCGACTTGATGCCAGTCGCAAAAATGGGTCCGTGTGTACCATTGTTAGGTTAGCTGCGGCGATTATTATTAGGTCGAACCTGAGTGCCCTGCCGCTTTGACCCTCGAACGCGACTGTGAGGCGTTGTATGGGAGCGACATGACGTACAAAAGGCAGGACATTAATGCGGCAAACATACCCAGGTTGGCTAATAAATGAAGATCACCAGAGGCTTGGATCGGAGAGAAGTTTGGCGTGAAGAGACTTGCACAGCCTTCGCGTGGGAGGACTTTAAGTCGGGGGTTGCCGATTGAATTGGTGGGGTTCACTCTGCAAGTGGATATACTACCAACTTGGTTAGCACGTCTGAGATAGTTTATTGCGATTTGGAGAAAGAGTATAGGCCCCGCTAGTCACGGAGCTGGCTGTCAAAAGGCATCGAGGTACTGGAATGTCACGTTTTTATTTCTTTTGTGAGGGCCTAGGTTACCTGGAACTCAAGTTGGAGTACCTTTGAGACTGTTTGAGAGTACTTGGACTAGGACAATGGGTAGCTGTCGGAACCGGATCTCACCGAAAGGTACCTTGGGTGTTTGTTGAGTTCCCAAGATATGTGGCTAAGAATTTCGATTAATTGTCTACCGATATATAGCCGAGGTGGCAGGTGATTGGCACCTCACCATTTCTGCACGGTGTAGAGAAGATGAAAATTCCCATCGAGCGGATGTTGATAGCCGCTCAATTGTTTGTTTGGCAGGATCCTGCCAAGTGGTCGATAAGGGTTGTTGGGAAGCTCAGGAGGCCATCTGTCACTCAAATGTCGTTAAATGTCAAGGGAGTGTGCATTTTGAGTTGTACTTGAAGGGATTGCCCAGGAATTGCGGAGCGATTGATAGAGACATACATACGTTGGATTGACGTTACAATTACTCGAGGGGGATTACCCAGAAGGATGATTGCTGGAGGACATACGAGTTTTGACGTTACATTAATACTATGATAGACGGAGAAAGACGGGGACCCTGAATGTCGGGGGTTCATGGGTGACATGTGCGAAGCAACTTACCGTGGATATCCGAGGGTTGTACTGTGAGCTCGAACGCTGAGGGTGATGCCAATAATATTCGGGGAGTGCATCTCAGCGAACACTTCGCAATAACGAAAGAGGTGTGGTAGACGTGGCGGAGTATCGCGGAGTTCTGAGTTTTAAAAAATTGAGTAGATTGAGGAATTTTTTGAACACGCGGAAGTAGATTTATTATATTTTTTTTATTGATCGGGGATCAACACACGAACTCATCCCTAAGGCACAGCGGCAATAGCCTGATGGAACAACCGCAAATTGCCGACGGGGAAACTCTTTTTGAAAATATTATAACTACATATGTAAGTACTTTTTTTGTAGCAGCTGGGGCCGGCGGTGTTGAACAGTCAAAGGGATTTCCGTGACTGAGAAGGGGGATTGGGATGGGTAGGAGGGGGGGGGATCCAAAATGTCTCATCAAGGTTCGTTAAGATTTGATTCAAGATTGCAAGGAATCAAGCTTGCCACCAGGGTCGCATTGAAGACATGTCGGCTGACTTTTTCAAAGCGAATAATTCGGAATCCGAGGCACTGAATTCTTTTTGGAATAGTTGCAACGGCTTGGGCGTCAATTCTTGTGGAGTCCTTCAACGTACGCCAACTATAATAACCGTCCAATCTTTTTTTTTACAACCCCGAACTATCCTTCCTCTCTCTAAACGTTACGTTATAACGTTACATGTCCTCGATGGCTCACTCCGCTGCTGAATCTGTATCGTCACAACCCGATCGTCCAGAGCGTAGCCGTAATGCTAAAGCTCAAGCTCGCCATCGTGCAAAGCGAAAGGCCTACATTGAGCAGGTCCGTTGTCGCGCTATACAACGCGAACTTGACGCGTTTTCTTACTCGATGTTTTTAGCTCGAGCAGACAGTCACAAAACTTCAGACTGCTCTAGGTTTCACCCCAGACCAGGTCGCTGCTTTACCGCCCCCCTTGGTCAAGATTCGTGAGCTCGAGCAAGAAAATACCCGCTTGCAGAAAGAAAATGAAGAAATGAGGCGTTTGTTGGAAGCTGACCATCGCGGTAGTCATTTGTCCTCTGACTACCGCAGGCACTCCATGTCAAACTTCCACGACACTCGTAACTGTGACCGCGACTTCAAGAAACGGAAGATGGACGACCTCTACTTGGTGCGTTGATACCTCACTACAACACCATTTATAGTCTCATAGCCCTTTTTTTGTTCTAGCCCCAAGACGCCCCTCATGGTGATCGTCCCCCTCCCCTTACAATTCCGCAGCCGCTTTCCCATCACCAGTACGGCAATATACCCTCCCACAACGGCACATCTGGTCATGGCGGTGTTTCAGGCAACTCCTCACTCTTTAATTTGCACGCTCCCGCTTTTCATCATATGCCTCACACCCCCTCCGGATCAAGTTCCACATCAAGTCCTCCATTTTCGGCGAGTGCTTTTTCCTTGCGCGAGTGACATAATGTCCTCCAAACTCTATGAGAACTCTCTGGATCCTAGTGACCATTTGTTTTCTGTTTCACCCACCAGCAGCCTACCCAAATGCAACACTCATCGCATTCCCCGGTTAACAGTCGCCCAAGTTCATTATCACATCACCCGCTTCCAAGCAGCTATCATTCCAATCATTACGGTTCCGTCAAGGTTGAAGACGATCATTACAGCGTAAGTTGTGCGGAATAAATATTGCGTCCGCTCGTTGACTGGTTTTTGCAGTCATCAAACCATCATAACCATAATGGGCCCTCCAACCATTACCACACTACCCTCCCCCCATTTGCCCAAACTGTGCCAGAAGCTGAAGTGGATAACTGGCATGCTTATTCGGCCGAACGTGCTCAGGTTCATCGGTAGAGCCGAAATGTCTTCATTTGTTCTCTTCTCCTCGGTTTAGATGATACCCCCGCTCTAGTGCTATCATTGTTTCGCTGCATTTCGCCTAGCTCTCTTTGTCTCATCGCTATTTTTCTTTGCCATTCTAGAGTCTACGACAGCCTACCACTTCTAATACTTACCTTCGCCACTGTAAAAAGTTATCACGCATTCTAGTGGATATATGTGCATGAATTGTATAATACTTGATACTTATTGTAATGTAAGTAGGTGTGTTATGGGTATTATTGCTGGACTTGTATCCCCCTACGGACCTTATCAATTTTGCACAGCTCCGATCAACTGACTGTTGATGCGGTTTTGGTAACCCCGTCAATTTGGCCTTCGCGGCTGTTTCAAATGATCTGCCAGATTCTTCGATGACATTTACGTATATCCTTTCGTACACCTGTTCGAAAAGCTCAGCGAACTTCAACGCTCTCGTTCCTGCTTACCAGTCAGCGCGAAGCTGACCTCCTCGGTCATCCCATCATTTCTTCGCGGTCTTACACGTTGCCGACGTCGACGGCGAATTTTAAATAACCATATTCTCCCAAGCGCCAAGTGCGCACTAGAACAACCAAGGCAGTGAACATTCTGATGGAAACGAACGGGTCACTCTCTCGGGCATAATTCAAAACCCTTTTTGCCTCTAAAAAATCACTGCCCTCTTCATCTTTGGACTCTGCGAACAGCTCTACCTCGAGCTTCGGGCTTCCTTTGGATGTGCATCGGATTCGCTGGATCCATGATTGATGAAGAGAAGTTCTGGGCTCGGACTAACGCCGATTCGAGGCCTTCCTCCGGTTAGAACGACATACCCTTGGCCGGGCGTGCGTCCCCCACCCACCTGGCTGGCTGGATCTAGCAGCTTTATCGGAGCATTGAATTCATGAAACGAATGGCAAAGACCGCAGGGGCTCCGTTGTCAACTTGACGACTGGGCTTGACGGTCACCGTGGCATACTGCGCCCTAGACTTCCAACGCCCACATACCAGTGATTATGAAGCTCATTTTTTAACCTTTGATGCTGCGGGCTGGCTATTGTCGTCTTTGATGATTGATAATGATCGAAATTATCTCTCCGACGCATCAAAGCCGTTCAGATCTGTCAGAACGTGTCGGCGCAGCTCGAGAATGAAACGGAAATGTTCAAGTTGCCCCCCCTTTATCCCCCTTTGATGTGTTTCAGAAATACAGGAAAGAATCCCTCAGCGGACAGATGCCATTTTGAATGTCAAAGCACCGAGCATATAATGAGCCACATCCGTCCATCCTCGGCGTTGTGGACGTTCTGTTCCTTCAAAAAGCTGGCCGGGATGCAGGGAACGTTAACCTATCTTCTAGAATGCCCGTTTCCAACGCCACTGCCAATGAATATGTGCACCACCCACAAAAGCCCCAACGGACCTATTATCAGGGAACTTATCCGATTTCGAAGGAGGACAAGGTTCGATTGGACCTATGGATGAGCAGCAAATATGAGGCCCTCCCTGAGCCCTCATCTAACGAGGCAGAGGAAATGGGGGTCGTCCCCTCGTTTCCTTACAAGGATGTGCCGATCTATGGCGATACAGCTGATATTATGGGTATGTTCCACAGTGATTGATACTGGATGTGATTGATTAATGATATGAACAGCATTGAATTTTCATGGCGTTCGGGGATGCTTTCTCACCCCGAGGAATGTCAGTGAACTGGTGGAAACGACTGGCATTCGTTATCACGCCTGGGTTGCGGCTATGAAAGTGCTAGAAGCATTTCCGTCAGTCCTTTGGTTACCTATGTTTCAAGCGTGTTGCTCAGTGATCATACAACAGACATGGCCTCGCAGAAAAGACCTATGTAAAACATGTTCTTAGACATTTCGTGGGTTAGACTTTTTTAACATGCGTGAAGGCTCACTGGTGGTCTTGCAGCTTTTTAGGCTCGGCCTGGCCATGTTAGAATCAGTCACTGGCCCGGTGGTCGTATTCGTAGATTCGCGCTTTCATGACAATAAAGCTGCCATGGTGGACGAAGCCCGCGCGCTCATGGATCTTTTTGACGGAGCTGATGTCCGACGCTGGAGGGTTATTATCACGGTAATGCGCTCCTAGTTGCGTATGCAGCCTTCCCTTGACCGTCCTTAGCTGCCAGCGACAGAAGAAGGCATCCGTGCTGCGCACGAACTCACGAACGAGTACAAAATACGCATACATCTCTCAATGGTGACCTCCCTTGCGCATGCCTGCGCCTGCATCGAAGCCGGTGCGACTATGCTGAGTATGAATGTCGGTCCAGTAAGTGATTCAGCATCGCAATTAATCCACCGTTCAAAGCCACTTCTGCTATCAGATCATGACATGGTTCGAGAAGAAAGACGGTGACGAAGCCGAACACCAAATTGCTCCCGGCCACCCTGGCATCAAGACCGTTCAATCCTGCATAAATTACATTCGCCAAAACTCTCTGAACACTTCTTTGCTAGTCGCTGACATTCGAGATGTAAGATGTCTTACTCTTCGCAGTTCGCTCCCGCCGTTCGGAAATTGCTAACTTCCAGCCGATGTCCTTCAGTGGGATGAATTGAAGCAATTGAATGGAATTGACGCCGTCGCGCTGAATCAAAAACTGCTCGATCAGATTTCCATGCAAGGGCTTACGACCTGGTCCCCGGAGATCATGGAAGACTACGAGTTTTCGCCCGCATACCGATGCGCCCGCGAAGCTAAATATCCTTCCGACTTCCTGAATCACGAGAGGGGTATCGGAATGGCTTTGTCCGCCGAAGATCGTAGCCTTATGTCTTCCGTGGTTTACATCCCTCTTGGGCAAAACAAAGTTTTCATGGAACATATTCAAGACGTCATCAGAAAAGAAGTCAGGGATCGGCTCTACCTTGACACCTTCGATTTGCCCCGTACTCTGTACCGCCGTAAACATGAATTGATTTTGGGCAAGGATGCAAACAAGCCTAGGCGCCGCGAGCGGTTCTCTATGAACACACCAGGTTCGTAGGCGCCCCTTGACCTTGAAGGCTCCGAAAGAGGAGGTCCCAAAAAGAATAGCGTTACTTATTCTCTCGTTCAGGCGCGCCGCTTACTAGGAACTTTATGATAACCACAACGTGTATGCTCTTTACTCCTGTTTCATGCCATCTTAGCTGTATGCACGTCCCCCAAATCCAAGGAAGGCATATCAAGGGCGATCAGAATGATCACTCACAAAGTTCATCGATTGGCAGCGGCATCCGGCGCCACATGACCAAGAGCGGCCAAGAAAACGCCGTTTGGGCGCCCAAATACCCAACTTAGTAGTAAAGATTGATGCGGATGAGGCCATGTGGCCCCATCACGACGCGTGATTGGAAGAAAGAAGTCTCGCATCCATTTCATTATCTCCCTGTCCCGCGTTTCAGGCCGGAAATCTGCAGAGCGCCGGGGTTGAGCCAATATGACTTTTTCCCGCGCGCGAACCGCCCTTCGCGACATAGATTGAAAGGACCTCATTATGAGTCCCTGAACGACATCAAACGCCGCGCGAACCTTAACGTTCAAAAGTAGGTTGTATCTTATCTCGCACTCAATTCAAACCAGAGCAAATACGTGGCTCGTGATACCCAAATGTGCATTAATTTGAGGCTTTGGGATGGAAATAACCTGGAGGCGAGAACTTTGTTACAATATGGAAGCGATTGCGAGAACTGGGGAGGACTTGCTGTTTCAGTGGTAGATTGTTTAGAGACCATCCCAAATTCTCTGCAATCCAGAACGTGGACCTTGGAGCTTTTCCCGAGCAAGGAAACGTTCTTCTTCTTCATCGATTTCACGTTTTCCGGTAATGAGATCGGCCTCGCTAGCGGGGATTGTCGAAGTGCGGAAGTAAAACTTGTATCCGCCCCATAACAATAAAAAAATCGGAATGGCGATGTAAGATCTGGATGGTGATTAGTACTCCAGAGGATCATGATCGCCGTCGCCACTGACGTGATGAATGAGGACGATACAAAGGGCAGAAAAGCGCTGAAACCTATTTAGTGTGTTTAGCGCGAATTCTAAGACATGCTCAGATAAGTACTACCGTTGAAAAACAGCACGATGCCTGTGAAAATCAAGGCAAACCATGACGCATATGGTTGGAAGGGTGCCTTGTAAGGGAGAGTGTTTCGATCTATTCCTTGCGCTTTCAGCGCGCGCATGAAGGCGCTGAAAAAAAAAGTTACATCAGAAAACGACCATGCGCTCATTGCGAGTAACATACATATGCGTATAAGATATGCACATCCACGTTATAGCGCCAAAGCTTGCAATAAGGCTTGCGAACCAGCCGAACGCTATCGAACAACAAGATCAACGTGTATAAGACGAACAGATGACATTCATTCATTACCAACGGAACTCGACGAGGTTGCATTAAGGAATGTCAAGAAACAGACCAGAGTGTTCAGAATGAGCGAGGGCCAAGGAACCCCGGCGCGGTTGACCTTGGCGAATATGCGAGGCGCCTTGCGTTCCACAGCGAGGCCGTAGAGTGTCCTGGAGCCGATATAGAGGTCTGAGTTCGATGCACTAAGTACAAAGATTAACACCACGGCGTTGATGACATGGTTCAGGATTTTGATGCCGGCAATGGTAGTCGCTAATCAATGGGACGTTAGCACCGTTTGGCCCATAAGCGGGGACAAAGCACATACCTACGACGAATGGCGATGCAGCAGCACCAGCCGGAGATTTACTAGCCACGAAAAGTGCCTACAGCAAAGTCATGAACAGCCCCTTCCGCATATGATGCCACGTACGCTGCTATTACTTGGTACCGTCAAGCTAATGACGAAAGTACCGCCCACATAAAACACCAAAATACGGAAGAACATCCTACGGATAGCTCTTGGCACATTTCTCCTCGGATTTTCTGTTTCGCCAACGGTCACACCGATCAACTCTGTGCCGATGTACGAAAACAAAGCTGTGGTAAGGTTGCTCCAGAACCCAAGAAACTGGGCGAGACGAGAGTCGTGTACTTCAGCAAGAAGATATTCACGGAGAGGTCCGTAGGGTGCTCTCCAGTATCTGAAGCCAATACGATCGTGTTGGGGATTACCGCCGAGGTCGATGATGAGGCCCATCAAGATAAGGCCGACTAAAGCGACAACTTTGATGCTGCAGAACCAGAATTCAAATTCGCCGAAGACGCGGATGCCCAACAAGTTGATGAGGAATACTGATGTAAGGCATGTATGTTAGCTGAGCTAGTACGACCCGGTCGGACAGACGTCGTACTCAACAAAATGTAAATCACTGAAGCCAGAATCAGGTCATCTGCGTAATTGAACGGTCATAAGATGCACGCACCCATCCAAGCTTCAATCGGTACACTTAAAGTCCAATACTGCACCACAGCGCCAGCCGCATTAACGTTGTTCGTAGTCTGAATAAAGTACTTGAACACATAATTCCATCCGAGGGCGAAGCCGAAAGCAGGATCGACATAACGAGTCGCATAGCCTGCAAAGCCCTTCTTATGAGGGAGATATGCACCCATTTCTCCTAGCGAGATCATGACGAAGTAACAGACCAAGCCCATGAAGGAGTACCCGAACCAGAGACCCAGTGGACCCCCTCTGACGAGGGCGGTACCTGAACCAATGATGAGACCTGTGCCCAGCGAGCCTCCTAGCTAGGAAGAGCAAAAGAGTTTTAGTTAGTGTTGTAAAACACGTCATGACGGTTTGCAATACCGTTATCATGGATATCTGTCTCGCTTTCAGACCGCGATGCAAGCTCAACTCCTCAGAGGGGTCCACTAAAACGGGGTCAAAATCCTTATTAGCCTCGAAGCTGTCGAGCTTCTTCTCGGTGTCATCGCTGTGCGCGTCCATATTGTGGTTGAGGAGGGGACGAGACTCGAATGAAGATAAGGTCGCGCACTTTTTCCCAACATTTGAGCGACATGCAGAGTCGCTTGCAATTGATTTCGCCAAGGTGTTCACAGAGGGAGACTAAAAAAAGCGTCGCATGAATCATATCACGATAAAGACAAGGTACCGCTGGGCAGACTGAAATTTTAAACATACCGTACGACATGTGGTGTATCAGAGGACAGGTGGTATGTCTGTTCTCTTTTGAAGGTCTAGTAAGACGCCCCCCAGTCTCATAGGCTCGAGTTGGGTCATCGTGCCTCGCATTGTCGTCTGAGACAAGAAGTAGCGCTTGAAAATTGATTATTGATATGACATTTGGCAAAACCATGATGAGGGACTGGTCATTCTCAAAAAGGCAATCATAGTATTGGCTCTTCGTTTCCCAGCGGCGCCACTAGACGTACCCGCACCACAGCGGAAGCCCGTGACACGCTCCACCGCGCCTGACAATCATGATACCTACCTCTATCGCATAATTGACAAATGTTAAACTTGTACGACACCTGAATGTTATGTTCGACTCCGACGGTGTACTTTATGGCGCGTCGGATGGCACGGTGGAAGTTTGGGAGATCCTTCGGAAGCGAGGTGCGCAGTTCACATACTACGTTCTCAATTCGTGCAAAACGATGATGACGATCTTCAGGATATTCCTCGTATCAAGGGAATTTTAGCTCACTGAGGATGCGCTCAGCCATTTTGAAACGCCGCGCGTCATTGGGTGAAGCCGAATTCAAATTGAGCACCCAATTTGAATGGAATCTAGTAGTCGAGCCTCTAGTCGCTCCGGCACTATACACGAGGATCTTGAGTCAGGCCTTCCAGCTGATGTTGTTGCTGAGCGGCCAAGAATGTTTGTCTACTCCAAGCAATTACACAACGACCTAGAAATTGCCGTTGAGGAAGTCCAGATATCATGTCAATCCTTATATCTTCTTCCACAACAAAGCAGGGAGACACCGCGCAGTGTTTAGCACACCTGAAGACCAAGGAGGCGCGTCACGCGAGCAATATATAAAGATAAGCAAGACACACCTAGAGCGCTGCAGAGACCCACGGCCAGGAGCAGCGGTCCACAAATATCGGTGACAATTCATGCCTGCGTAGCACCTAGTGCCGGAAGGGCAGTGCTCGCAAAGGATCTGAGATGCAGCAATATGTATTGAAGTATAATGGAGAACAACCCCTTGTTCATGATGCGCAGCACACCTTCCGATCCCATTCGATTGTTTGAAGTCGACTACGAACATTCTGCGCGGTAAGCGATACCGAACTGTACTATGAGATACGCTGAACTGTTTGGAAAAACAACAATGACCTTTGCTTCTGGTAGCGTCATCGATGGTCTTGTTGGCTCCTGGGCTAAGACAATTGAGGTGCCGCTGAAGGGTTAGATTTTTTAATATATATGGCTAGTGTAGAGACCAGAGGGTGACTGCCCTTATTTGAAGTTCTAAGAAGCAACCCAATCGACCAGTCTCAATATTGCCTCGAGCGAGATATCATCGTGCCTCCTATCGCTATCTGAGATAAGTTGAACTGCAAAACCATGTGCATGACCAGCACCAAAAAGGAAATCACACACTGCATAGTGCTAGCATCTTCATCATGAGCCACCATGGCCATCTTCTAGTGTCCTTGTAAATTTAGTCTGAGGCCAAATTTACACTGGCAGGACACTGCAGCTGCTTTCAAATTGACGCATGTCATGTTTAAAAAGGCATGGACCTCAGCTGCTAACTCTTCAGTCACTCAAGTTTTAAAACCTTTGCGCACTTTCATCTAACTTTGAGCATCGAGGTTTCACATCTTACGACTTTATTCATCGACCATCATGCGTTTTGCTGCCCTTGTCGCTTTTGTCGTCGTTGCGTCGACTGTCCCTGGTCTTGCCGCTCCTGCTGGAAACTCGTATGTCTCTCTCAGACGGCCACCGAGAGACCCACTGAATGCATTCCTAGTCACCCACAGGTTACTTCCAAACGTGACGACTCCATTGCCGTGGGCGTGCACTTGTCAGTTATCCTATCAATGCAGCGTGTTCAGTGCGATCAATACTGACGTCTTGACAGTAAAAAATCCCCGGACGAGGTCATAGATGGCTCTGGGTCTCTAGGGGACGTGGTCTTGGGGAGAACCAATAGCAACAACACCAAACGTCAAACGACCAGACGTCCGCGTCAAGCGGGGTGGAGCACCGTTACGGTAAACGGTGAACACTGATCGCACAGCAGCAACGAGGAAGAGCGTATGATTCTGGTGGCGGTAGGGAACTGACTAGTACTGATCTAAATGGGGGGTGCGCGATATGTAACCAAATATCTGATAATAAGACGCGGTGTCCAATCAACGAAGAGTGTGATGAGGTTAACTGTCAGGTGGTGCGTCATGTAGTAAGCCAAGCTTGCACGGAGTCCACCCCTTTCTCTTGACTCGTTTACAGAGGGAACTAGCAGCAACAACGCCGAGCGTCAAGCGGACTCCTTTTTTATTGCGTGTAGTATTTCTTGGTTCGTACGTTGTTTTTGTACTCAGTAACTGGCACTGTACGGTTGACAAACTGTGCGCGTTCTTACTATTATATAGACTTAGTACATTCTATGTAACTCCACACCAGTCCAGCGTTCAAATGTTCATGCACAGATAATCTAGATCTAGTGAGTTGGGGCTGATGAAGCCGGTAAACTAGCATTCGACGAAGCAGAAGTTCAAACAAGGTTATGGTCCTACGTCCAACGATTGATCTGTAAGAACGTCTTGACCTCTCCCGGATCAATTAATTTGAATGTATGTTTACCCTTTTCCACAATTACATAATTATAAATCGTCGTTATATTAGACCCCGCTCCCAACTATTATTATTTTAAATCTATTCCCGTGTTCCATCTGCCTCTCACTTCATGCCGCTACATGCTGTGCCCAAGGGTGTACTTCTGCGCCCACAGTTCGAACAACACAAGCAAGAAGGACTCAGGAGCGACTGTCTATGATCTGGCTAGAATCCGAGGGGTGCGCGTCTCAGTTGGACTGGTTGTAAGGGATGCAGATGTAGAGGTTCAGAGAGAACGCGGAACCGGGGGCAATGCGTGTAAACCTGCCAGTAAAGAATCAGCGCCGTTTGGAAGCAAAAAAGAGAATAGGACCGCTCGGTACGCAATTCGAAATTGGCTAGGTCGGCGCGTCGTCAATCACCCCCGTCTAATCTTGGGATGGCATCAGTTTTGACATGGGACAAGGCTGGTTATGTGTCACATGCCGCCCTCAGCTATCCAGAGTACTGAGTCACCGCACTCCCTGATATCAAATAACACCTATTTGTAGACCTAAAGAACGTTCAAGGGCAGTCGATGAAGCTATGGGCACTCGACAAGTAGCTAGGGTTGGTGCAATTGAACGCCTCGTGCGACCTTAACGCACCGGCCTCTAGTTATATATAACACCACATGCCAGTGGTCACCGGTCATCTGCAGGAAACGCGTCATTGCTATGGATATCACTGGCATGCAAGATTTGTATCTAAATGAAACATTTCTTTCGCACACCAAACGATGTTTTTGATTGACGCAATCACAATGAGTGCCACCGCCACCATCCGACCTTTCAACAAGATCCTCAACCACGTGGTACGCCATCGTCATGCTAGTAAGTCACAGAAGGTCATAAAAGCATGTTTGATCTGTTGGGCGTGCAGGCACGTACTACTAGTAAGTGTTTCGTTCGGGTTGGGTTTTTTTGGAGGCTGCTTTTGACTGGCGAGCGTTTTTATAGCCCTCTTAGTATGATCCCCCAGGCGGGGAGTCACATCCGCAGCTACAACTGATGCTATGGACAAAACGCTGTGAGTTGGTTTCATTTATATATATCTTGTATTCCTAATATCCATTGTTTGCTCTCACGAGCTCTCTCCATATTTTGAATACGATGACTTTGCCACCTAATTTGTTAGGCGGCATCTGACATTGCATTCAGATAGCTCCGGTGGGTGCGGGTGTCATCTTACCCCGTACAATTAGCTAATATATCAATCTCCAGTGGCGCCGCGGGCCTGACTGATTGCTATTTACTCTACCGCAAAAATCCGAGTAGGACTGGCTTGTCCTTAAGAATGCTCTCATAAGGATCGCAGACCTGCACCCCCTGTATCAAGACACAATCTTTTACATTTCTCCCTGTTGATAAGTTATAGCCGTTTCGCTATGCCTGCATCGTTCGTACGCCACTCTGAAGTCGACGTTCTCATTATTGGGGCTGGCCCTGCTGGGCTCATGTGTGCGAATGCTCTGGCAAATGCGAGAGTAAACGTTCGGATCGTTGATCAAAGGTTAGTGGCCAATGACTGGCATGCATGCTTGTGATTTGATTTCCCGCTAGAGCTGCTAAATTAGCTGCTGGTCAGGGTGATGGAATTTCACCTCGCACTCTTGAAATTTTGCAGGTGAAAATGCTTCTTTGCTGACTGACTATGACTCGGTATTAACAAGTTGAACATAGAGCTATGGACTCGCCGAGCGCCTTATAAGGGAGTCTGCCCACATCAATCTAGCGGTACGCCTTTCAACACGGGCTTGCAGAATGCATGACTCATTGCATCCTAGGCCTTCTACAATCCTTCTTCGACCGGTGGTATCGAGGTTCGTAAATTCCCCTATCAACGAGGGTTATGCACTGAGTGTCCGTTATTAGTTTACCAACAGAACACAGAACATCACAGCTCCGTCTGCAAGATACCCATTCGAGGTGTGCTCATAAATTAGACAGAAACTGCATAAGCTGAATGAGATGAAGGCTGCACTTCATCAAGGAGCCATTGAAGCCATTTTCTTAGATTCTATGAAAGCGCTCGGCGTCGAGGTTGAACGATCGACAATACCAACTTCGATAGAGCTTTCCAAGAATGAGAATGAGTTGACGGATCCCACATCACATGCAGTTCGCGTTGCGCTCCAAAGACTAGACATATCTGAGGGTGAACCACGAGAAGAGATTGTCCATGCTAAATTTGTTGTCGGTGGTGATGGTGCGTTCCGAAGATATCAACCTAGCTATCATAATCATTTTCCTTGACAGGCGCCCACTCATGGGTCCGCAAACAGTTCGACATTTCGATGGATGGAGAACAGACTGGTGAGAATCTAGATCGATTTGAATTCCCGGCAACCTCAGTCTTGATTCATAGATTTTATCTGGGGTGTCGTGGACTTGGTGCCTGACACTGACTTCCCGGATGTTAGGAATAAGGCCGTTGTGCGTTCTAACTATGGCTCAGCTTTTGTCCTACCTCGAGAAGATGATCGCGTTCGCGTTTACATACAACTAGAGGACACAGATGTCATCAATCCAGCAACAGGCAGGGTAGACAAGGAGAAAACGGGTCCAGAGCAGATCCTTCAAGTAAGTAGTTTCTATCCAATATGACGAGCAGTCATCAATATTCCTCTTAGGTTGCCCAAAAAGCGCTTCATCCTTACAAGCTTATACCGACGAATGGGATTTTTTGGTGGACAGTATACATCAGTATGCATCTGACTATTTGCTATGAATTCGTGTTTGTTTGACGTTTGTGCTCAAGTTGGACAGCGAGTAGCCTCAAAATTTTCCATCAAGAATAGAGTATTTATTGCCGGCGATGCTTGCCACACACACTCTCCGAAAGCAGGTAAGTGTCTTAAATTCGGCCCCTCGCTTTCAGTCTGGTTACAATAAAATCCTAGGACAAGGAATGAACGCAAGTATGAACGATAGTCATAATCTAGGTATGTTTTTTTGCCTGAGACCTTCATTGAGCTAAAGGGCTTTCTCAGCTTGGAAAATTGCCCTAGTTCTTCGCGGGTGGGCAGACATGTCCCTTTTGTCGACGGTAAGCTCTTGTGCATTTATTTGACGACTTTCTCACGCTCCATTGATAGTACGAATCCGAGCGCCGTAAATTCGCGTTAGATCTGATTGAATTTGATAAAATGTGGTCCACCCTTTGCTCTTCCAAGTCCTTGACTGAGCAGAACGGCAATGGGGATTCAGGCGAACATGTCTTGAAGTGATATTATGCTACCAACAGTCTTGTCCTGTCACTAATGCCGCGAGGTTGTAGGGCTTTCCAAACAGACTTCACCAGTGGCATTGGGGTACATTATGACCCTTCGATTGCAGTCAATGACAGAAACCAGGAGCTGGCTAGTGGTCTCGTGATCGGCAAACGTGTCCCTCCATGCAAATTCGTACGTGCAGCAGATGGACGTCTGGTTGAGCTCCAAGACCTTCTTCCTTCGGACTTCCGCTTCAAATTGCTCATTTTTATTGGTGAATTCGGTGACCAACTTCAGCAGGCGAGGGTCGAGTCGATGGCCACGGACATGCAGGCACCAGAGTGCTTCTTGAACCGTTATGCGACACCCGGGAACTCGCGATTTGATATCATCACGATTAGCAAAGGCCGAAAGGAAGTATTTGAATTTTTGCGGCTCCCTACGCTTCTTCGCTCTCACTGGTCAAAGTGAGTGTTTACTAGTTCTTGTCAAGCGTGATGGTATTGATTGAGGTGCTCTTAGGGTGTTTATTGATGACACCGATGTCACTGGTAGCTTCGGAGGAGAAGGTTACTCATATTATGGAGTGGGACCTGAGGGCGCCTTTGTTGTTGTTCGTCCTGATGGCTATGTTGGAGCCATCGCACCACTGGATCACGTTGAAGTGCTTGACGCGTATTTCGCGTCGTTCATGAAGAATTGAAGATTCCCGCTTAGTTTTAATGATAAATTTTCTTTACATGCTGCTTCATTAATATTACCTCCCAGCACTACCTGAAATTCTCCCAGTTATTTACATATCCACAACCACTCTTGTACTCTTTGGCACGCCGCACAGCGCACCAAAACTCTTTATTCTTTCCTCCAGATGAGCAGCTACCGCCAGCCACTTTTACTGCACCTGAAACGTTATTTCCGCTGAGCCACTAACGACGAACTTCTGTAGTTGGCTCCTAGGCTAAGACAATTGAGGTGCCGCTGAAGGGTTAGATTTTTTAATATATATGGCTAGTGTAGAGACCAGAGGGTGACTGCCCTTGTTTGAAGCTCTAAGAAGCAACCCAGTCGACCAGTCTCAATATTGCCTCGAGTGAGATAGCATCGTGCCTCCTATCGCTATCTGAAGTGCAAAACCATGTGCATGACCAGCACCAAAAAGGAAATCATACACTGCATAGTGCTAGCATCTTCATCATGAGCCACCATGGCCATCTTCTAGTGTCCTTGTAAATTTAGGCTGAGGCCAAATTTACACTGGCAGGACACTGCATGACACTATAACCTGCGGAAGGAGGCACAATATAGTGCGTCACCCACAGTCTTCT